TAAACGTTTGAATGTCCAAGCATAAAGATATCACCACATGACAACTGCTGCTCCAGCAGCTGCTTCCATGAACAGGTTGCACGATGCGTCCATGGGACTTGTGGTCCGAAGCAATGGCAGTGCGTTACAACAGTGAACATCAGAGCCCGACGCTCACGCAAGACGTGTTTGACATCGAGCTCGTCACTACCAACTGTCGACAGCAAACTGGTTTCGCAACACCACCCCAAGCCGAGGGAGTACGTGCAGACAGGCAGGGAAAACAACTCTGGAACTGCAACACAGTTACACTTGATCCCGTGCTGCTGCAGCATCAAATGGTAGTCGGAATAGGACCTGCTCCGTTAGATGCAAGTCAGGCAGCGGCCGGGCACATCTAAACGGCATTGATACCTCTGTTCAAGAAGCTGACGTAGGCCGTAATACTCTGGTCGCCAGTTATCAGAATGCTGGACAACACAAGGCAACAAGGAGGCACTACATTATAGTTGTGTTTGCAGCTAACGTACCAGCATGCAGCGCAGAGCACAGCAACATGGAATATAGCGCAGAGCACAGCAATAAGACTCTTTCCAGCTCTCAGGGGGTACACATGCAAAAGATTCTGTCCTATTTCGGCGTTTTGACTTGCGTTCAACTGACACAACGAAGCACCCAAGGTGACTGTTTTCACACATTTTGCATAAGTAATGCACGCAAAGACAAAAAAAAAGCTGCTTTAGGGGAAAACCAACTTCATTCCAAGACATGGCATATAATAGTACATAAACAGAGTCTCCAACTCTGCTTGGTTTGGGCCATGGTGGATTTGTTTTTCTTGGCGTCAACTTTTCCGAAAATCACGAGCAATACTGTACGAGGCCTTCACTACGAGTCAGTGGCCGCGTCAACTTAGCCATGTTTTACTGCACTACAAGGAAGATGAAAAGCTTCAGCAATAGGTTGAAGGTTTAAACAACTTTCGTCTCGAAAGGGGCAAAAACACAAACTCGCGATGAAAGTCGTCTTCCAGCGCAGCATGCTTTACGCCAGCTTTGTACGACATGCGTCATGCGTCCTGAAAAGGTGACGTCAACTGCACACTCTTGTTTACGTACTCTTGATGGCACACACGAATATATGTCTGCATGTAAACAGGGTAAGGGCATGAATGGCACACCAATGTCCATACATGTACGATGCATGCAGCGCAAACATTGTATTTTTAATGTCATTTTCAAACAGGCAATCACCTCCTCTTACCTAGCATCCAGCGGCTCATCCAGGAGATTGTTGGCATTGACATGCGCTAGCACTGTGCCATTCGGTGCTATCACCAAAGACTCCACTGGGAAACTAAAACAGCACACACACACACACACACACACACACACACACACAGTGCATGCACATGCACAAGCACACACACACACACACACACACACACACACACACACACACACACACACACGCACACGCATACACGCACACACACACACACACGCATACACACACACACACACACACACACACACACACACACACACAAATACACGTACACACAGTGCCATTTGCTCTATAAATACCTGGCCATTCTGTCCCAATATACATTCTCTAAGCAATCTCCCGGTATCCTTTTTCTTTTTGTTCTCCCCAAGGCCAGGCCACACTTTCTCCTCTCGTCACAAACCTAACATCCTGACGGACAACATGTTCAGCCGAAGAGCCTGCCTCTCATTGAAGAGTGCAAACCGGATCCATGTTAGAGACACCTCTTCTTGCATCAAAATGGTGTTCGTTTTCCTTTTCAAAGATTCTTTTACAAGGTGCAAACAGGGCCGGTCAAGGCAGCTCGAATAGAGTGCTCGATATACAAATGTGCAGAGTAGTATACCCAAACTCTGGAGGGGAAGTTTACAAGGTGCAATATTGCACACAGCCCAGCTGTAGAATGAAAGTCCCACCCCAGGACAATAGTAATGAACAACAGCACAACTCCACAGCATTGTATGAATCCCAAACACAAGCACGCACGCACACACAACACAACACGACGCCGTATACAGTAACATAATTACGTGCATGAATAACCTGCCCACCAACAGTTAGTAAACTGTACTCTCACTACGGCGGTACTTACTTATAGGACTCCAGTGCCAACTTGGCCAGAGTGGAATTCTCAGCGGGATGATTGTCAGCAATGTCCTAAGCCAGAAAAAAGTCAAGAAAGAAAATCCGGTCTACTTGGCAGGGCTAGGGCTCAGATTAACTGGAAGACCCTACCTGCTGCTCGCCTACAGAATCCAGGACTTTCATTTGCTTCGGAACCTTCCTTACAAACTTGGAAGTAGTCAAGTGTCAAGTTTGACAGGAAGCGCAAACCACACATGGTAGCAACCAACTGTATTTACTTCCAAATTGAACAAAAAATGCAAAAATTGACTGACATGTTAATACTACACTGTCAGAGCACAGCATCAAGGCACCTACGCACAGTGTACCGTGTGAATCCCTTCACATGCAATACTGGCTGTGTAAAGACAACCGGCACAGCACAGCGGTGCAAGCTAGTTCACAGACTAGCTCATGTCGCGGACATGGAAATCCAGTCGATTGACCCGGGCCGGCGCCCTCAGTGCGTACAGAACGTAAGTCATTGCATGATCCTGGCCTATCTATGCGACCAGCAGCTAGCAGTGCATTCATGCAGCTACGGCTGCATGGCCAGCGCCCTGTGGCCACTAGACGTGCGACCGGATTTCCATGTCCACAACAGTAGTTGACAGACTAGCAAGTGAAGTGAAGATGTTCATACACTACTCTAGTACTAGTCCTGTAGTCCGAGGCTTCAACCCTTCTAAACAAACCGTCCCAGGATCTCCTACCTTCAGGTCTACAACCAAGGACCAAGTGCTGATGAACTTCTCCTTGAGAAGATTGAGCACGGGCGAGCTTGCGAGGGCACCTTCCCTCAAAGCTCGCCCGGAACCTGCACAATAGTATCCATGATATAGAAATCACATGTAACACACACACACACACACACACACACACACACACACATGTAACACACACACACACACACACACACACATATGTAACACACACACACACACACACACACACACACACACACACACACACACACACACACACACATGTAACACACACACACACACACACACACACACACACACACACACGCACGCACGCACGCACACGCCGCACACGCACACACACACACACACACACACACACACACACACACACATGTCCATCCTCAGCGTCGCCGTGTAAACACAGCCGTAATCTGGACCAGATAGCTATGGCTACCCGGTCTGGGCCAACAGATACACCTGTGTTGCTTGTCATAACTCAGGCAGGACAGGATTTCGCTGTGGAGGGGGACTAGCTCACATGGTAGAGTGCTCGCTTAGCATGCGAGAGGTACCGGGATCGATACCCGGGTTCTCCAGCCTATCTTTTTTTTAAATTTTATAGGGAGGGGAAGGACACAATGCAGAACACGAGTACAATTTTATTAAATAAATGGGCATCGCGTACCGGTACCTTATTGCCCAGACACGATGACTGTGTGACTGCATGGGTGTCACACAACAAACACAGGAAACATGGTGGAGAGTATTCCCAGCTTTTTTCACAAGACCGGCACGTTTGGGCTTTCCGCCTTCTCCGTGAAATAAAAAGATGTCCCAGGGCAACCAAGTGCACGGCGTACAAGTCACGGAATTTCGACAAGTCAAGAACTTCATTCCAGATGCCCAATGGGCATATAGTAAAACACACCAGACTGCTTAGCTCACCGGCAAACAACACGGCACAACTAGGATACCAGCTACAGGCCGTGAATGGTTTCCAACATGTACTTCAACTGACCTCAGCAGGACTGGTCATCCAACACGCCCCAGAGCAAGATGAGATGAACCAGCTTGCTCTCCTTCTGTGCGTACTGGAATGCATCCAAGAACGGCACGTACGGAACCTACACAGCGGTGGCGGCGGCAGCAGCAGTGGCAGTAGCAGTAGCAGTAGCAACAATGAACAATTTCAAAGCATTGACCAGATGGTACAAAATGCCCTTACCGAGAGCACACTGGAATGCACGAAGGTCTACTCCAGCTGTGAATATATCCTCAACAGTGCGGCTGTCAGTTACAGGCAAACAAGTATACGGTTACAGAGGACACCAGGTCCACCGCAAGCTTTCCTAGTACGACTGGCATATATCCTCAACATGGCAGTGATCAGCATTTTATACGAACCTTCTTGAAGTCAAAGAATGCCTTCTCCAGGATAGATGCAGCCTCTTCTTCGGAGATTTTCGAGTTCCACTTCATTTCACTGGGATTAGTATGTTGTTCCTGCGTGCTCTCATGCAGATTGTCAGCATCGGGCATGACAAAGACCCTCCGCGTGGTTCCATTCTCATCTTCTACCTCTCCTTCCAGGGGATCTGGAGCACGCACAGATGGGGCGTGCATGCGCAGCTCCATCTGAGGCAGGAAACCTGGGCAGCGACAGTGCACACAGACGTTGCACACAGACATTGCATACAAGCGTTGCCAAGAGAACATCATAGTAACCCCCCAAGAGTGTGCAACTCTGGATACCCTTTCTATGGGGTCGAGGTGACGGCGAAAACTCACATCACATGGTGCAGTGTTCCCGCTGTACGTTCGAAGCCCGTTTTAGCAAGCAATGGAGTTGGAAAATAAACAGCACTCGCTGACAGAACCCACTCAGCTTATGCGAGTCATCAGCATGATCAAGGACTGCATGCACGCTAGCCTTCGTTGTACGCAGTACAAGTCGTCCTTTGAACACGTGATGTGAGTTTTCGCCTCGGACAGCACACTCCTGGGAGCATATTTACTCATTGAATTGCACACAGGTGCTGCACACAGACATTCAAAACAGTGAAGAGTGAAGAGTCATTAGTTAGACCTTTGCTTACCAATATCAACTTCCATGTTCTCAATCCCACCGTGTCCAGTCTGCCACTCCATGTCTATAGCAAGGAAAACAGGTAGTGACAAATCAGGATTGTGCAACTGTATCACATACCTGCAAATAAAACCACTGATAACACTGGATACTAGTGGCTACTAGCTTACTAGCTAGCACTACTAAATACTAAATACAGTACTTTCATCTAAAACTGCCACCCCAACTCTTTGGTGTCTTGCATGTACATAACATAGTGGTGGACGTGCTGAAAGCATCCTGCATTGGGGCACCCATGCAATTCGTCCTTGCCACATTCGACGCGGGAAAGACCAAGGATAGGGAATCAGAAATTCGGCCAGCTTTTACAAAATTTGGACAGGTATACCATTGCAAAGGGTATGGAGAACCAGGTCCAAAAACCAGTTTTTCTACTTCAAAGTTGGGTTTCGAACCTTTTTTCGGTTAAAATCGAGCTTTTAAAAGGCAGTGGTACAATTCTAACTGAATGGACTGTAGTGACTAGTGGTCAACACTAGTGACTAGTGACAAGTGGCTAGCAGCGCACCCAGTGTGCCCATGGACATGGTGAACTTGGTATGCAAGTAGCCGGTATACCGCTACCACACTCCAAACACAGGGAGATGCAGGCGCAGAGGCTCTATGCACAGCTCCTGTTCCACACCGTCTGTGACGATGAGCAGCAGACAGCAATGCTATTCCCAGGATACAGTGTGACCAGAGAGCAGTAAAAATCAGGGAGTAGTAAAATTACTACTCCCTGATGTGAACCGGCTGAACATCTTGCCAATAGCCTCTATGTCATGTTTCATTTTGACAAGCAAGGCTGACTCACCAACATTGAGGGCCTTGGTAGCCGGCACATACAGGTGAAAGTGCTCGATTTTCTCCAGAGAGCGGTTGATCACCATACGGACCATGAACTGGCCCGGCGTGAACCAGAAGGCGTACTGTGGTGGCGCATTCACCTGAAACTCTGCATGCAGCCTTCCTTGCAGACACCGTGACACCGTCCACAACAGAGTATACACCACACACAGCCAGACAAGTAAATTAGCAAAATGCAAGAAACAACCCAATGATCTGCATTGGGTAACTGCCAACACACTGTCTTTCCAGTAGGTTCCAATCTTTACTACTTTCCTCGGTACACCCTACAACCTAGAAATCTCTCCCGGCGGAAATTTGCAAATCTCGCGGCTGCAACAATTCTGCAAATTTGGACTAAGCCGTGGTGGGATACTGTGTAACTGCATTTGAACACTACAGCCGTGGCCAAACAATCCTTCCCGCAAGTCAAACGAAGCACCACGTTTCCATTTAAATTGCATAGTGCACGGTCCACACTCCAAAAAAACACCCCATGGTCGCAGAGGCCACCCGAGCCTTGGCGCTGCTTCCAGCTCACAGGTCGGATTTCTTTGGCCACAAGGCTGTAGTACTGACGGGTACACAGTGCAATGAACTGCTGCTGCTGCGGCGACTGGTGCATGCAGCACTACCTCGTTCGATTGGAAACAACTTCAAGCAAGGGCCGAACGCTGCATCGCAGCCTCCTTGAATCAAAACCAGTCGATTCAGCAAGCAGAAGAATAGATGCTATGCGATTATATCATCACTTCAGATACCTTGGCAAAATCGCGGCATCGCGAGGCACTAGTGATTCATTAGCGATTCACTAGCTATTCACTAGCGATTCACTAGCGATCCACTAGCGATTCACTAGCGATCCACTAGCGATCCACTAGCGATTCACTAGCGATCCACTAGCGAATCACTAGCGATTCACTAGCAAATCTCATTGTACACATGGTGCCAATAAGCGGTTCCAATGACTCGCGCTGTATACATCGCGCCCGTAAGCAGTTCCGCTGGTTCAACACCACGTCTGACGACATCATTCACATAATTATCATCTCTATAGCTTCTGATACTTTCAACAGAAAACACCACATTCGCTCAAAGATGGTGTAAACGAGAGGAAATGCCGAGGACACAACGTTGAGACAGATAGAGAAGAGGAGATCGCAAAAGACGCTGCCATTCTTTACGATCCCAGAGAAACATTCACTTCCCTAAGTTCCCTTGTGCCATTTTCTATGATCCCAGAGCAACGTTCACTTCCCTTGTACTTACCGAATGAGTACGTCAAAGTTCTCTTCGTTTTCAGCAACCAGAACACCGCGGCAGCCAAAGGGTCCAAAACGAGGCATCACGAACGGTCGGGGGTGAAAGTGAGACATCAGCTTGAACAGTATGGACTGCATTGCACATGGTTCACGCCAATAATGACCGCACAAAAAGAGCAGGTCAACATCAAATGCACGTACATGCAGACATGCAGACACTTGTACACGTGGGCGTGCACACACACACACACACACACACGCACACGCACGCACACGCACACGCACACACACACACACACACACACACACACACACACACACACACACACACACATGTATGCATGCATGCGTGCACGCACGCACACACAGAATGCATGCGCACAGATGGCACTTCAATAGAGCAGCAGACCTCCAGCTGCCTGATCAGATCTTGCAGCAGGATGTGATGGTCCTCACAGACATGCCGAATGTTGATGTACTTGAATTGGGTACATCAGGGGCGTCACCGGACCCCTTCACAGGGGGTGCACAGGAATTTTGCACAGGAAAACATGAAAAAGTCCGCTGATAGTGAGCTGGCCAGACGCTTTCCTTTTTCGAGAAGACGACATTTTGAGAGGAAACAGCTCCAAAGACTCTTCAAGTGTGGTGACCTGACTAACTTACTTGCGACCACACTGAATTATTTATTTCTTCTGTTTCAAACAAACACCCAGCACGCCGCCACGCGTGTAGATTCTAGTACAGGTCCGCAGGGACCGGGGCTCTGCCAACCGCGGAAGGTTGTAGTAAGGTCACTGTTTCCGAACACAGTGTCCTCCACCTTTTTTCATGCTGTCAATCTAACAATAAGGCCAAAGGATGCAGCGCTGCGCACATGTGCACGTGCGTAGTAGGTAAGTACTAAATTAGTAGCACTAGTACAAACGGTCATGTACATGTACATGCACTCGCTACATGCACTCACGCGATCGCGGCCAAGTACAACTAGTTTTAGTGCATGCAGTTTATTACCAGCACTACACTTTTCATAACCAGGAATTCGCAAAAAAAGGTCGAATTTTTTAGGGGGGTGCACGGTCCACTCCAAGGTCTGCCGGATGAAAGCGGGCTGGGCGTAGGGCAACCGGAGGAAAGGCTCCACCGGACCCTTATATTTTCTTCGTATTATCACTACCAAAGTCATCCACTCCAAGGCCTGTGGGATGGAAGCCGGTTGGGCGTATGGCAACCGGAGGAAAGGCTACACCGGACCCTGATTTTTTTTCCTATTTATCACTACCAAGGTCATCCACTCTTAGGCCTGTGGAAGCCGGTTGGGCGTAGGGCAACCGGAGGAAAGGCTCCACCGGACCTTGATATTTTTTCTTCGTATTATCACTATCAAAGTCATCCACTCGAAGGCCTGTGGGATGGAAGCCGGTTGGCCGTAGGGCAACCGGAGGAAAGGCTACACCGGACCCTGATTTTTTTCCTATTTATCACTACCAAGGTCATACACGCTTAGGCCTGTGGAAGCCGGTTGGGCGTAGGGCAACCGGAGGAAAGGCTCCACCGGACATTGATTTATTTTTTCGTATTATCACTACCAAAGTCATCCACTCCACTCCAAGGCCTGTGGGATGGAAGCCGGTTGGGCGTAGGGCAACCGAAGGAAAGGCTCCACCGGACCCTGATATTTTTTCTTCGTATTATCACTATCAAAGTCATCCACTCCAAGGCTTGTGGGATGGAAGCCAGTTGGGCGTAGGGCAACTGGAGGAAAGGCTCCACCGGACCCTGATATTTCTTCGTATTATCACTATCAAAGTCATCCACTCCAAGGCCTGTGGGATGGAAGCCGGTTGGGCGTAGGGCAACCGGAGGAAAGGCTCCACCGGACCCTGATATTTTTTTCTTCGTATTATCACTACCAAAGTCATCCACTCCAAGGCCTGTGGGATGGAAGCCGGTTGGGCGTAGGGCAACCGGAGGAAAGGCTCCACCGGACCCTGATATTTTTTCCCTAATATCACTACCAAAGTTATCCACTGCAAGGCCTGTGGGATGGAAGCCGGTTGGGCGTAGGGCAACCGGAGGAAAGGCTCCACCGGACCCTGATTTTTTCTCCTATTTATCACTACCAAAGTCATCCACTCCAAGGCCTGTGGGATGGAAGCCGGTTGGGCGTAGGGCAACCGGAGGAAAGGCTCCACCGGACCCTGATATTTTTTCTTCGTATTATCACTATCAAAGTCATCCACTCCAAGGCTTGTGGGATGGAAGCCAGTGGGGCGTAGGGCAACCGGAGGAAAGGCTCCACCGGACCCTGATATTTCTTCCTATTATCACTACCAAAATCATCCACTCCAAGGCCTGTGGGATGGAAGCCGGTTGGGCGTAGGGCAACCGGAGGAAAGGCTCCACCGGACCCTGATATTTTTTCTTCGTATTATCACTATCAAAGTCATCCACTCCAAGGCCTGTGGGATGGAAGCCGGTTGGGCGTAGGGCAACCGGAGGAAAGGCTCCACCGGACCCTGATATTTTTTTCCTAATATCACTACCAAAGTTATCCACTGCAAGGCCTGTGGGATGGAAGCCGGTTGGGCGTAGGGCAACCGGAGGAAAGGCTCCACCGGACCCTGATTTTTTTCTCCTATTTATCACTACCAAAGTCATCCACTCCAAGGCCTGTGGGATGGAAGCCGGTTGGGCGTAGGGCAACCGGAGGAAAGGCTCCACCGGACCCTGATATTTTTTTCCTCTTATCACTACCAAAGTCATCCACTCGAAGGCCTGTGGGATGGAAGCCGGTTGGGCGCAGGGCAACCGGAGGAAAGGCTCCACCGGACCCTGATATTATTATTGTCCGTCATATTGTACTGCGAACCGCCCGATGTTGACTCCACTCAAGTAGGTTCCATAAGGCAGGCTTACTGCTTCATCTACATTTTAAAAGTTTGCACCTTATCTTGGCCATTGTCCCCTTGAAGGTGATTTTCAAAGTTTCGCTCTTTGTTTTACCTTCGACACTAGTGGCTACACTTTTCTTCGACCTCACGCTAATGTCAAGAGTGTCACAAAATTCAAGGGCAGCTGGTCTTCAGCCTACCACTTTTAGACGCTTCGACTAACTCTAACTTAGACAGCTCAAAAAATCACAAGCTGCGACGACAATAATATTACAGTGCTGGAGAAACCAATTTTCGAAACCAAATTTCGAAGACCGCAGCAGCTCAACAAGTGCACATTTCTCCAAAGCAAACGCGTGCATGTACCGGTGCAATGATTATGTATGTGTAGCTGTACGTTCAGTGCGGACCTAGAAGACTTCACCAAGCTGCATAGCTGGCGGACAGCACTAGCTCTGGCCTGGGCCAAGTGGGACACGCAAGTAACTAATCATGGTAATACATGTGTAGCTGCATAGGTGCATTAGTGCCGCGGTCACACCTGAACTATGGTTGGAAAAATTAGGGAGGTTGTTTGAACCCCCGAACTCCCCCCCCCCCCCCCTGGATCTGCCCCTGCTTACGGTCAACTTTGCGTATAACGACACTCGGCGGGGCATCAGAAAAGTGTCCTTATTCGCAAAGTGTCCTTATACCCGAAGTCTCATTATATGTTACGTATTACAGTTAGATGGGGCTTTGCTCCGGGCATGGAAATTCTGTAGTCTATATTCACGAATTGTCGTTATATCCGCAGTCGTTATCAGCAAAGTTGACTAACTATTCAGCCAATGTGTTCAGGTCCGGCGCGACTGCTACGGCCGGTACGGCCATGGCTGGTACGGCCATCGCTGGTACGGCCATGGCTGATACGGCCATGGCTGGTATGGCCATGGCTGTACCAGTTTTTTTGTTTTTTTTTACCAATTCCAACGTTCATGGAATGTCCAGAGTAACAGCATTTATGTGGAAGTGCTAACAGCTTAAAGCTGTGTTCACAACTGGCGCATGTACGCGTGAAACCACACGTCTGTGCGTATTTTGCTGGCTTTTGGGGCGTCATGCGTGCGGAAACGCGCTGAAATGGAAATTCCAACATGTATTTTCAGCGTGTATCAGGCGCGTACCAGCGTACATGCCAGTCACTTTGACTGGCGGGGTCAAAAAATTAGTACTCGAAGGCGTCGCACGCGCTATAATACGACTCGGATTGCTGTTTTTTTGTGAAAGCCTGAGCGCGGGTTTGGGCACGCATGAACCACAAGCGTACCGCGTCCACGCGCCAGTTGGGAACACAGCTTTACTCGTACATCCCCAGCTAGAGTCCAAAAATGTTCTTTCTGCCCAGTGAGGACTACTGTGCTGTCTATATCTTGGTTGCTAGCAATAAATGCAGCTGAAACAACCAGACACGATGTAGCATGGAGCCAGAGGTTCATCCTCCCATGATCAGCCTACGGTGACTGAAATTGGGCATAGGGTAATGATCAACCTGGGGCCGTACCACCTCTAATCAGCTTGCTCTGGGCCCGGTGTTGGCATTGATGTTTAGAGCCATTGGTCCCAATATTGGACACTGGTTCGACTTTACATTGTCTAATAGCCTCGGGGAACAAAGAATAGACTTACTTCAACTGCCTGGGTTGGCTTCGGCGGGTATATCCTGGTCGACGAGAGGCCGTGGTTTCTCTGCATGTAGCTGGGTGAGAGAATGTCCCAGACATCTCCGACCACTGGCATGCTGTTCATTCCCTCCAGCAATGGCCTGAGGTAACTGACACTCAGTGCAGACTTGTTGTGCGATGCCTTCTGCCAGGCCTTCAAGCCGTGGAAAACACGACTGTCAAATCCCACTCCCTGCAGACAACGGCATCAACACACACAAGAATCCATCAAGGTCGTAACGTGGACCAACACTATGCTGAACGGGTAGAAGGGACCTGTCACCATCTAGCCACCGGCACCGTGCACTTTAACAGGCTCAAAGGCCCTGGACGTGCTCAGCGATCACCTTTGAGTTTGAGGACTTTTTTTCTTTTCTTTTTTACTAGCAAACACTAATAATCAGGGAAAGAGGACAACTGAAGTGACACTGGACAACAAGACAAAGACATGCTGGTAATCTCTTCCAGTGCACGGGTTGCTCAGCACACACTGAGAGGTGTAGTATAATCACCACTGTAAGCAGTGTGCGCTTCCATGTGCAGTCCGGAAAAGTACTAGTCCCTGCGGCTCACCAGCTTATCATTAGCTTTCTCCATGGAGTCCATCACAAGTGGTTGGAAGTGTGACGTCAGCAGCAGCACCTCCCCCAGATCATCAAAATCGGTCATGTTGGTCTGATTGTTCATCTACAAAACACGAAAGCAGAAACCAGGCACAACGTTTAATAGCACACTGCCTTGCGTTTGCGCATGAAGTCGGAATCAAATGAATCAAACATTAAACACCAATCTGGTGTATGGTGTGATGAAAATGTGGTAAGTGCAGCACTAATACATCATCATAAAGTGCTCGCCGTAGTCTAGTTTCTACCTTATACACGATTGCAAGGTTCATTGTACAACTGGGCAGTGCATGAATAACCGTACTGGGATAGTTGCGATTCTAGCCAGGGAAAACAGAATGGGGCGGAGAGGGCAAGGGAAACAAACAGCTAACCCATTTTTCATTTCCAATGTTGCTCTGTCACGCAAAATGGAACGGTACAAGCGGAGGGTGCAACTGGAACGATCGATTTGTAAACGCATTTTCCTTGCGTGAACTGATAAACACAAAAATCCAAAAAAATGAGTAGGTGGCGGCACTTTATCAAAGGGGTCATTAGAGTGAGAGTTGGGGGGGGGGGTCTCTGTGTCCCCTACTCCCTTTGGCTAGAACCCTGGTAGTGTTGGCATTTTTATTCTCGGGACTTGTGAATTCCACTGCCCAGATCCACTGTATTGCTGGCCATTGAAATTCATTCCTATGACTAATGAGTGAGACAACATGTGTGTGTGTGGGGGGGGGGGGGGCTGCTTGACAGTGGCACTCCACAGCAAGCACCAAGCAATGCACTGCACAGCAAGCACCAAGCAATGCACTGCACAGCAAGCACCAAGCAATGCACTGCAACGCAGATACAGGGCTGATGGACTCATGGCTGCAATCTGCATTGACTCCAGCGTGACTGCAGCCATAGCCAAACAAGTACTGAATGCACATTGGCTATCTGACTTCGCAAACATTTTCGTAATGCTGCAATTCAGTGCACCATTCGCTACAACTGAGGACAATCTTGTACACTCAAACGTCTCTTATCCGGACGCCTCAGATACGGGCACGTCTCTCTACCGGGCACCTTCAGCTTGAGTTCCTATGGCAAAAATGCTTCGAATTTGGGGGTTTGAACTTTTTTTCGTATGCACAAGTGCTTATTTTGTCACTATCAACCTGTGTAATCCACGCGTCGTTATCGATCGATCACAAATAAACTTCTTCAACGAATGATATGAAACATAAATGAGTTAGCCTGAGATACGGGCAAATCTGAGATACGGGCAGTGCCCGGTTCCAAGGTGCCCGGATAAGAGGCGTCCGAGTGTACTGCATCTAGCCAGGGGGGGGGGGGGGGGCTACTCTGATAGCGCACCGCCTTAATTATTTTTTTGTGTTTTGTATTTCACACAACATAAATGCGGCCACAAAGTCCGTCCGGGTGCTCGCTGCGCCCGTACATAATCATTGCATTTTGTGTAGCAAGGAAATAGTGGAACATGGGAAAAATGGGTGAACCGTTTGTTTCCCTGCCCCCCCCCCCCCCCTACAATTTTTTTCCTGGCTAGAACCCTGAGACACATAGTAGCACACACGACAATGTTACTGTCCCGTAACTCTGTAGGCTTCACGTGAAAAGCACCCATCACTGACTCAGGCAGGAGTGTTTTACACACTCGTACTCAGAGTTACCAATGATTCATAGAATTTTTTTGGTGCAACAAATGCAACAGTGACCACACATAGCACATGCATCATGAAGCCGGAGTTCAATGGTTCATAGTCATAGTCATACCTCCAGCGCACTTGTCGGCTCTTGGCCAACGAGTTTGGGATAGAGCATGGTGAACTCATTCATACTCAAGTAGCCATCCAAATCCTGGTCATAACCCATGAACATCGCCTGCACGTTCTCGTCCACGTCAATTTCCAAATTCTCGTAAGAGTAGAAAGGCGATATGAAACCCAACTGCACCATGCTGCTTCGCATCATCTCGTAGCCACTGATAGCGAGCAGAACGCCGAACAATGGCACTGCTAGCGACCAAGTCCACTGCCAACAGCGTCTACACGCTCCGGGCTTCTTCACCAGACCGCCACGCTCTCTGGCGTTCTCGGCTGGTTGCGGAGCTCCGCCATTGTCGTCAGCCGCTGGTGACGAGCCAGTCGAAGGCTCCACCATGGCCAAGTTTCTTGTTCACACCGTCACCAAAATGCACTTTTTCTCCTACTTGCCTCAGACGGTTTGTTTTCACTTTGCTTCGAGCAAGCAAAGTCTTGCGAAATATTTTATTGACCCCTTTTTCATGCCCAGGCCATGGCCACGGCATGCCGTCCACGTTTTCAGAGCACATGGTCACGGACGGTCTGTTCTCGGCCTCCTGTCGATCTGTCGACATGCATGTCATGCACCGCCATGCGGCGCGCTAGTCGCCACATGTGCACATGTGCACGCTCATTTCCTGGAATAGTCCATAAACAGGTGAGCAGTCACCAACTACCGGTACGTGCTTGCCATCTACATACACTGCACTGTACTGTACTGGCACAGGTGAAGCGATGCCGCACACGTGGGGATTTGCGGGAAATGCGGATGTCGGGATGAAGACTACGACCGGAGCACTCACTGTCTCTGCATGCAACTATTACTTGTAATTTAGTTGTAGTGTCGTCCCCACGGCGTCGGATGCATGGTCAGTAGAGAGTTCAGCCAGCAGCGCAAGGTGGTGCTCCAGGAAACGTCGACCCTGGACTGGTTAGGTTGACAGACAGCTAGCTGGCGTGGGCTGTAAGTGTGCCTTTCGCGTTTTCGCCAATTTCGGCTTCGAGTCGACGTTGTGTGGCGCTGTACCAACGTCCGCGACGAATGTATGTTGGGGGAGATAATTCAAAATCCTTTCCGCCAGAGCTCAAACAACCGGTGTTGTACAGTAATGTACATATGTAGATCAGTAGAAGCTCTTTCGTTGGCAGCCTGCACTAGATTGTGTAGTTTGCCACAGCTCCATCATGAAAAAGGGAGAGAGCGAGCGCTTCCACTGCATTGAATCCCCATCGAACCGGCGGAAAGAGCGCGGAAATTTTGAAGTGACGTTCCACACCTCTCTAGGCTAGCAGTGTTTTTATCTGAGCAGTGCAGTGTGGTACGAGTGTAGAAATCTGCACTGAGCGACTGAGTGACGTGAGTCTGTTTATGGACGTATGATGATTGATCATAAAGTTCTCTTGCCATGGCTGGCTAACGCCCCCTTCTTTGCATTGGCTTCTGCCATTGGACGGTGACATAATAATAAAGTATTATTGTGAAGTGTTGTGTGAGCTGCATGCATGCAGCACTCCGATGTGGCACAAGTAAAAGTTAGTTCGTTGTTCAACTACTTCATGTCGCCAGTGCATTGGTGGTGACAATACGCTCCCACTGGTCCTAAACATGACAACAGATGACTCTAATACTCTTGATCTTTGCGGCTTCCCATGGTGTAGATCTACGACTCGTACTCGTCCGATCTGAGTCTCTGATACTCCAAGCCGTGTCTTCTCGACCTCGTCGATCGGTTCGGCTACCGGTACTGCATGCATTTTCACGTGAAAAACACGTCACGAAGGCGGCATATCACGTGTACGTGTATGTGTACGCACAGCACAGAGTCACACAGATCGTGCGTCATCATGGTCATCGATCAAGATTTTCCGCTCAGCCAAATCAAAGCACTTTGATGATTTCTCTCTGTCTAGTCTGCGAGTGTGTGGTTTGATAATAATTATTATGGACCATTGGCATTGTTGACTGAGAATCATCAAACTGATGTTTGAAGTGAAGAATTAGGATCTACTAGTACCTGCTTTTGAAACACTTTCTTTCGAAACAGCTGTGCTGCATTGTTTGCTAACCGTATCAGGATGGGCCTTTGTAAGTGCCCCAAAAGAAAGGTGACGAATTTGTTCTGTTTTGAACATAAGGTGAATGTCTGCGAATACTGCATTGTCGGAGAGCACTCTCGGGTAAGCCTGATACGTACAGTCATCCGGAGTAGCGGCCACCAATAACAATCATCGAGGATTATTTTCCTGTCCGTATTGTATGTTTTATGCAGTGCGTAGTCCAATCGTACCTTCAATGGCTTCAAGATAGTGATTTCAAAGCAGAGTGTGGCTTATGCTCGAAAAGTCTTGCTCAGGGCGATGTAATTCGTCTAGTGTGTTATGGTGAGCGCCTAGTTTTTGCATAGCACATTGAAGAGAAGAACCCACTGCCGCACTGCCACTGGCCATATAAACTATCGACACTACTGTGTGTACTCTGGCACGTGATGCTTGTAATCTGCAGGGTCCCAAATACTGAAATAGACTTGCAACAGCACTATTTGCACAGCATTTGGTGTACAGTACAGTAGTACTTAGTAGTAGTAGTTTTTATTATTTTACTAGGGGAGTCCCAACAGGCTACTGCCTTTTTACTGGGAACCCTAGGTGAAGTTTAACCATGTTAATGAACAGAGCAAGAGAGTGGGCCTGTCGACAGTCAGTGACTATTACAGTTATAGTTCATCAATGCAGGAAGCGCGTCTACTAGTAGTTGCATTCAGGTGGTCACTTACTATAACCAGTATAAGGAACCGTGCAGTGCACTTGAAAACGCCTCCAAGAAACGTCCTGCAATAGCTTGTAGTATCATAGTCAGCACTGCGAGCCGTGGACAGTACTAGTAATCATCGGGCTTCACTTCACAGTCTCCAGTAGGACGAGACCGAGCTGTGCAGGTTGACGTTTCCAGCCAGTGTGCAGGATCATGCGTGCCACAGTGCCGCTCAATGAAATCCGATGGCATGAGTGAAGTAAGCGGCGGGCGCTGTAGACCTGCGAATACTGGGCTGGAACTGGTGCAGGCGATTGGATCTGATTGAGCAGCACTGTAGTAGTCGTTCCATAGATCCTATACCATAGGCATGTGACTGAATGCAGCTCGTCCTTATTTTGATATCATGTGGGCACCAGTTTGCTGCCACCATATCCTGGCCTATATTCCTCTTGCATGCTTTACGCATGCGGGTGAAAGGTGGGTACCGGTATGTCACTTGTCTATTGATTACATGCACTAGGCTGGTCTGCACACTGTAGAATGATCACTACCGTGTGGGTGCTGCTGCTGCTGCAGTTGTCGTTGCTGCCGCCATGCTCATTTTTGATTTCCCTAATGGTGTCATTATGCACTAGATGTATTCCATCTGTCGTGCCTGGATCGCCATGCATCCAGTCTGCCCGTCAACACTGCACCGGCAGGTTATACGTGTCCAAAGTGCAAGGTGAGTGAGAAGTGTAGCGTGTAGGCACCAAGGCGCTATTACCTCTTGTCCATGTGTTGCTGTAGGAATTTTATTTAGGCTGTTTGCTAAGAAGGAGTATTCATTCCTTTCATTTAAACTGATCTCGAGAAGACTAGCAGATGCCTAGGTTTTCATGTTGTGTGTGACATCTCAATCCTTGTTGCTCAGCTGTTCATACATTACGTTTGTATAGATGTTCAGCAAGTCCCTGTTTGTGGCTCACATGTTTTGGTAGAGTTTTGAATGCATGCAATCATGCCACACTTGATTATGTCAACATTGTGACCTCAAGCTCTGGCCGCCTGGGTTTGTGGGTCTTACTAGTGATCAAATATGTAGCACAAGCCCCGAGTTGTAAATGGCATTTTGTTTCTTCCATAGTTTCGTTGAACCACCCATGTGCAGCTCCCTTTGGCTCTTCAGATAACGCGAGTGCCTTTTCTGAGATGTGTGTGTGTGTGTGTTTCTGTGTGGTGTGTAATAATGTTGTATCCAGTCGGGTATCTTCCCAGGGGAGAACTATGTGTCACCAGTTGTGGATGAGATTCGCCGTCTCTTGGCACCGTTTCGCTGGGCACAAGCTGGACTCGGCAGGCCGGTTGTCAGTGATGTGGTAGGTGACAGGAGGGGTGTTTTTATCTGGCTGTCCTGTTCAAACCTTTCCGTGTATCGTTCCGATCATGCAGTCAAGCTTGTTTCTTGCACTCTTCAATGAAACCGAGCAGCTGAGCATCTCGTGCAAGATGCGATGTATTCGGGCTGTTGTTGAACTTAGACTTGACTTATGCTTCCATATCTATTTATATGCTAATTGTATTCTCCGGGGCATGCGCTCTTTGACGCTGACATGAATATCTTTTCTTGGACTGGATCTTGCGTCAACTGTGTGCTAGCTGAACTAATGTATAAGAAAGCACTTTGGGTGTCTCTGAAGTACCTCTCTCTTTTTCCCTGCTCGTTTTGTTGTAGAATTCTGAACGTGATATGTCGCATACGCCTTCAGGTGAGTGAGATGGTGCATACAGTACTGTAAAGTGAGAAACTTTCGCTAGAGATTAAATTTCGCTATTTTCGCGACCATCACACATTCGCGAATATAAATCGCCGCAAACCTCTCCATACATTGATTGGAGACCATACACGATCCGGCTGAAGAGGTACAATCGCAAAAGTTTCTCATCGTGAACCAGCCCAATTTAAGAAAACGCTAAAATTGCGCGCCGCGAAGGTTTGTCGTTTTACAGTACTTGACTTATGTTCATCTTGTGTTTGTACAATCTGGGAAAGTCTTTGTATCTTGCGTAGCGACACAAACACACAACCTAGCCATTGTGCTGCATTTAACCAGTCCTATCCGCTCCATGAAAACAGCTCACTGTGTGTCCTTTCTTCCTATCACAGGTCTCGACGAAACAGATTATCACAGCACAACGACGGCAACAACAACAATGTCGGCGCCATCATCATCGCTGGATGAAGCCGCTGCCCAGCTGGACCAAGCTATCGAGAGAGCAACAAGCACGTCCGGACGAGCAACAACGACAACCAGCGGTGTGACACGGAAGAAGCCAGAGGTAGCGGCATCAGCCGGCTATTCAGAGAGTAAGTCATCAATGGACTATATGTACAGGTCCTTGTAAAAGCGGTATTTGAGACCGCTGTAGCACGAGACCTATTCCGGGTCACCTGAGAAACTGCTCATCTCGCACCCCATACCACACACCTCAACATGCATTATGAATTTATGACCTGTCTATGAGCACTGGCTTATCTGTGCACACAGAGGTGGATAAGCACTTACTTCACTGTATTGGCACATACCGTACGTTTGTATCCCCTTACAACGAAATATGATACATGTACTCTTAGCTGCCTGGCAAGAACACTTCGAAAGTTTTTTGAAAAAGCGATCCTTGTAAACAGATCCCTTCTAAAACGGCTCTATATGACAACTTGTGAAGAATTAACTATGGCTCAGCTCTACCTGGTGAACTTGCCAAGTCAGACCAGTTTTTGGCCAGCAGACCTTGTATGTTTAATGTAGATTGTTGTGAGTCATAATTATGCTGGTTGCGGTTAGGTTCCATCTGTATCTGAACTGGTACTGCTGTGCGTGCCGTGTGTCTGATGTTGTCCTGTACAGGCCAGCATGTCCAGCGCAAAGTAGTGGACACGCGTCCCAGTGGCGAGACACACGTACCCATGGGGGTGGACCACGACGAGGACAAGTATCGTCGGCGCGGGGCGCTTGACTTCCTCGTTCGCTGGACAGGGTAAGACACGCCACGAGTATGGAACTGTAACTGTACTAGCAGCAGGCTGAAAACACCAGAAAGTGTCCATTGGCATTGAAGAATGTTCTGTTGTGACTAATGAATGATCTTCATATACAACATCATGAGCATTGACTATTGTTGCTGCTTGTTTTATTGATGGATACATAGTTATTGACATGAGTTTGCGACGTTGTGCTCTGGTGCAGCTTGAAATTCGGCGGCAAGGTCGGCAAGGAGCGTGGTGCCGGACTCCATCGGCCGGTCATTTTCATGCTGCTCGTTCTACTGGGCATCATGAGCTTGATCATACTGGCCACGCGCGTTACCCACACGCCGACTCACGAAGCCGGCTCCCAGTTCGATCCACTCAACAACCCCAACGTTCATGTGCAGCAGAATTAAGCCCTCCTCGTCCGCCACAGCTCTGAGATCTAGGCTTGTCTACCGTGACTGTTGTTCGTCAATCACTTTGCTCGCTAACCAGTAGAGGTTGTCTTAGCAAATATCTCTCTACCTTACTTTGTAGGTTGCATTTAGAAATGATACTCTATTTGAAACAGCTGTCAGCACACGCATATTTGTGCTTCGCTGTCTGTACAATACCTCAGCCCCTTCTCCCGTCACTGTGTGTGCTTATGCTGATCGTGTTTGTGTTTGTTTTGTTCGGTGCCGCCACGGTAGTTGCACCTCCTCCGTTTTAAACTGTTCTCAAATTACTTTTGGTTAATTTGATACCATACTTCATTCTCAGTGCGTGTTTTGCACAACAATCATGTACATACGCAAATGTATGGACCAAATGGTCCATTTACGCTCGTCATGCCTACCACACGTGCGTTTACTAGCAGGCTAGCGCCAAAAGTCCGTAAAACCCCTAGGCCCTGGGGGTTTATGAACTCTTGCTACCGCATGACAAGCCTATTACTTGTATCTAACAGTTAAGTTAGCCAGACATGGCGGGTTTTCTTTAGTATTTTCACCTCGTGAATTTCTGGCACCGTGTACAAGTATCACACCAGTACCTTTAATATTATTGGTTTTTTTTATCTCTTTATAGGGATAGTTTCCTGCTTATTGGTCAACAGCCGGGACACTGATGTTGCACCATTGTTGTGTGATGGGGGGTGTCCAGCGTGCAGACACAGAGTCAGCGGTAATACGATGGACAGTGGACGTTTTGTAGTGAATGTGCATTGAACTGGCACACAAGGTCTCAGATTCAGAACAGCTCAGCATCAATTTATCGGGATTAATCGCGAGTAGCCAAACAAACCCAGAAAGCATGACTGCAGTGTATAGGGAAACCAATATCTGTCCAACTCGGATGGTGAGCCAATTAAATTATGGTGAAAAAGGAGAAGGAAAAAATGTTACGAGTTATGACTAACTGTCCACCAAGTTTTGTGCCATTTTGTCGCACTCGCTGACCGTATATAAGATCTGGTTACGTTGGTGGACAGTTAGTCAGAACGGTTTTTTTGCTCACTCTGCTCGGGATGGCCGATGAAACACACGAAATAAAAATGCAACGCTGCTCACACTGTACTTGTCTTTGATCATGACTCAATGCAGTATATCACTGGTCAGGCAGTATCTACCATGGTAACACCGGTACATGAATTATGCAGGGAGGGGGACAAGAAGTGGTGTGGGGTTTGCTCCTGGGCTACATATTCCAGTGGCTTCCGGGCAGCACCAATTTATGCATGTCTGCCTCTGGTCTGGGATCACCAAGTCATGGCAATTATCACGAGCTGCATAGACCACGGATCACATAGAACATCCGAACCCGAGGCCGAAACGCACATCGTTCTGGGTCTCCATACAATACATACTACGACTCACTGTCCCTGACCAACCCTGCACATATGCATGTGCAGTGCACCCATGTGTGCACATGCGCACAAAACGTACCCACACACGCACATAGACAATACCAGTGGCTGTAGTGAGGGGAGTGTATACACATGTAGTTATAATAGCAGTAAAGCGCTTCACTGAACATGTTTCATTTGAACTCTGAGTGCAGATACAATTTGTTACTTACAATTCAATAAAAATTAACTGTACAAGAGAGAAGTGCAAGCAAAATACTGTATTAAAAAAAAGGACAAGACGAACGACAAATACAGACAGCAACACAACTATGGGGCAAGCAAATCAGTCGAATAAAACCAAAATAAAATGATGCACAAGAACTAAGTGGAATACAGCACACACAACAGCCTAAACCTGACCTTGAAGAATTTGTGTGAGCGCCTGCTGTGTACCTGGCACAATGTCAACGCCCCTCGTTTTGAGCGCTACCGCCACGTTGCCAGCGGATGGGGAGAACTTGAACTCAGCCAGTATGAAGATGCCATTGACGTACTTGGCAGAGGCGTAGATCATCGTCTGCAGCTCAACATTCCGCTTGGCGATGATGAAGAAGTTCCATCTCTTTAGTTTCTCTTCGGCCGTCTCGACGGACATGGCACTGGAAATTACTGACGAAACTTCATTCGTGGATGGGATCTCCTTCCATGTGGTGAGGAAAGACTTGCGCTCCATCTCGCCATCTGGCATCCACAGCAAGTGGAACGGAACGTTGGCAGCAAAGTACACCACGTCAACGTTGGTCTTGACGGCAACCTGCAGCATGTTGAGAGGATCCATGCGTTGCACTTGGCCGGCTGTGGTGAGAGCGAGTGAGGCGGTCTCAGTGCAGTTGGGCATGACCATCGGTACACTGAGTGCTGCGGCTGGTGCAATGCCAAAACTGTTCTTGTTGAACTGAATGGCAAATCCACTGATCGGCTGCATAAGGCAGTTGGTGAACTTCAGCTCCATGAAAAGCTGTTCTGCCCGCCGTGAGAAGGTACCTTCGACACGCAGACCCTTGCCCTGCTGCTCCGCAAGCCAGCCTTCGTACTGCAGCGCGGGTGCGCCGTTAGGAACACCACCACTGAGAAGATCAACTTGTGCAAGAGCAGGAGCAGGAGCAGCAGGCTGCTCTGCCACTGGCTGAGCAACAGGAATGTCGGCTGGTGATTCGTCCTCATCACGGGTACTTGACTGTGTGGCGCGCTGCTCAGATAGACGCTGGACTGGCATTGAAGTTGAGCCAAACGTACTTGGAGGCTTGTGGTAGACCGATGCAAGAGTTGCAATGTTCGAGATAAGCTCATCCAACAAGCCAGAGTCGAGCAAGTCGGTCTCCTCGTTGATGCGTGGCCGATCGGTAAGAACAACCTCCTTTGCTGCCGCTGGGTCGGTGGACAGGAGACGCCAGTAGATGTAGCCACGATCACGCAAGTCCGGGTTGTCACTATCCTGCGTGGCCAAGCTGAGTACAGTTTGGACAAGATCCTGACCACTCGATGGCTGCTTGAGGAAAAGCTTGACAACAGCCGTCAGGATCTGCAGCTGAACTTGCACAGTCTCGTCAGAGAAAGAGTCGACAAAACTCGTCAGCAGCTCTCCAGCATTGTCGATGCGGTCAGCATACTCTCCCAGGATCCACACCATGGCACCACGCGCTTCGGGCTCATCAAGAACATCTAGGTTCTCGCAAAGTGTGGCGATAATGCCCTCGTACTTGTTGGGGAACTTTCGGAAGATATCCTTGATAACAACCACTGCTTCCTGCACCACATAATTCACTTTGGTTTCAATCAACTCCAGCAGCGTCTGGACAGCACGCTCCGTCTCACTGGACACCTTGATAGCACACAGACCGATGGCACGCACTGCCTTGCGCACAAAATCGATGTCAACTTCGGATGCATACTCCTTGAGCTCGGTTAGGATAGCGCGTGTATTTGTGTCATTGCACAAGCGCACAATCACGGCCAGCTTCTCCAGCTTGACGTAGATGGGGTCATTGTACTTGACAAAGAACACCTTGATGTCGCCACGCAGGACCTCCGGGTGCTTCTGCAGAATGAGAGAGATGTTGCGCAGTGCAACGTACTGGATTTCTGGATTACCGGCCAGCAGAGTAACCAGCGGCGGTGACAGCTTCTTCAGCATGGTGTCATAGAACTCTGATGTCTCATCCAGCATGGCCATCAGGCGGATAATGACCTTGACAGCCGACAGGACGACTGCAGCGTTGGCGTGAGCCAAGCGTGGAGCAACGCGCTCGATGATGCTCTTCGCTTCACGGTCATCGCCCGGCTGATAAAGCGACAGCGAGTCCAGAATGAACGTCTGACCCCACTCAGTGCACTCATTCAGTGCCGCTAACAGCTTGTTCACAAGTGTTGCATTCATTGCAAACGATTCAAGGCCTCTTCCACTACTATCTGAGATCTCAGCTAGGGATGCAGCAGCATTGGCTACTACCATGGGATTTGAATCAGATAGTAGCTCCTTGAGAAGCTCCAAAAATCCTTGATCTTCCACCAGGTCTGCATTGATGTCATACATCTTGGCAACGCAGACTGCTGCAGTCTTACGAACGTAGGGATCGGTGTCCTTGAGACACTTGCGCAGTGGGTCACACAGATACTCCGTGATTTTGTCAACACGAATGCAACCCATAGTCCGAACTGCAAGTGCTCGGAGAAGTGGGTTTGGATCATCACAGTCCCTTACGAACGTATTCACAGCCATAATCGCCATATCCGGCTGGGTCTTGGCGTAATTCATCAGGTACAAATACACTAACTTCTTCAATTCCAGGTCAGGAGTCTGCATGCAATTTATAACGTCAGGAAACAAGGAGCTAACATCTTTGCCAACTGTCATCATTGCAATTATCTTCTTCACGGCTTCACGCTTTTTGTCCCGCTTGTCACCGTGTAGCTCGGCCTTCAACTCAGCTATCTCACCCTTCTTGGTGGTCGAAAAGTACTTAGAGTCCGTCATGATGACGGTGTTGGGGAGTTTTACACAGCAAGAGCAACTTCACACAAGCTTTATTGCCTTGCCCTACTCCTACCCCAAGGGGACGCGGTTCGAAGACGTATCAAAATTAGGATAGGGTCTTCCTGGGCTCAAATCTGCAGCGCTGCAACCAGCGTAGATCTGGTGAAAAAAATCAGCAGTGGCCATTTTTTCACGATCTCTGACTTTGTGTTGCCATGAGGATAGCTCATGCACTTCAGCTAGCGAGTAGAAAAGGTGTGCTTACCGTTCATGTATGACGTCTAGCGTGTCATAGCGCCTCAAACGGATCCTTATCTTGTCACATCTTCGCACAAAAAAACGACATACGAGTTGTCGTACGCGCCTCGAAGGCTGCGCACCAAGACCAGGAGACGCACCCCCAAAAGAAGATCAAAGAGATAAACAAGGCAACAATGCCAATCATTGAATGCCAATGGGGTAATAATAATGCATCGTCTTTTTTGTAAAGCAATGGTTATAGACAACGTGTCTGAATAGCGGTGTCGTTAGGTCTTGCCATGTGAACACAATAACAGAAAAGCTGACAGGATCACTTTTCTAAATGTACGGCACAATCATCATACAGTACCGGTACGATGCCCTATCCCTTATAATATAGAGGGCCGGGTTCCCGGGCCACTGCCGCTCTCCGCGACACTTGGCTGCATGCTGCGGAGCAGCGCGGTTCCACTGACACTCACCATTCGCGGTACCGCGGTTGTGCTCGCATGAAATCAAAAAATCCTCATGTTCTGGCCTGCGCAACGAATTAAAATTTGATTTTTAAAATTCTCGCGTATAAAACCGGGCAAAGTATGGAAAACAGGCCAAGCCGCGACCGCGCCTTGCAGTTTTTGATCAAGCTGCAACACGAAAGCTGGTGGTGAGCTGCGACCTCGCTGCACCTCAGTGCTTCCAAACCGTCCGATTTTTCGGACAGTGTCCCGAATTTTGAAGGCTCTTCCGAAAACCGGTCCGAAAAGGGAAACGTCCAAAAAGCAGCCAAAATGTCGGAGATCATTACTTTCCTATGCAGAAGTCCTGTACTTTCACTTTTTAGCGCAACTGAAGGCACAAATCACTGTACATTTGCTTCTAAACAGGCTAGCGCTTGGCTGTGGTCGAGGAGTGTGGAAGTGCAAAGTAACATGCCTGGATCAGGCTGGATGGCATCTACGCTGACAGTCTGTACCGAGTCAGTGTGCGACCACACTCATCATCACAAAATTCATGACAACTCCGGGATTACCATGGCAACGAAGCGAAATTTCATGGTGTTTTAGGCGATATTTTGAATTCTCTGTAAAAAAATTGCCAAGGAGAAAAATTCTTTGCAGCCTAGAGAGCGTGTGTGGGCAGGCGTGTGTTTACCGCCATATTGCCAGGTGTGTCTTTACCACCATATTTATTAACCTCTTTCTTTGTGTTATGGCATTTCTGTCGCCGAGGAAGCTTTGTACGCCTTGACTGCATACTTCGCTACGGAAAAGTCAGAAGAAAAAAATGTTTATCACCACCAGGACTCGGACACCCTCTAACCACTGAGCTATTATATGGTGTAGCTGTCATCCCAGCAGAGACCCTTCCACATTTTCTTCAGACTTCATGTACTTCGTGAACAAATTGCTTGAGTGGATAATGCGGGCTTGTATGCTATGCCAACGGTATTGCGACACTTGATAACTTTGAAAGGGGTGATTAGCGGCGAAAGTCTGCTAGAAATAGATTTTCTAAAAGATCATGGTTTTGGGTCGTGACTGATTCGAGTGGTCTTGACCTATCCGAAGAGACTGCAGCACACGGCTCCACAATTGAACCGTTTCAAAATCGGTCATTTGAACCCAAAGTGTACTGTTTGTGTGGATCTTTACCTCTGTGGGCTGTGTCCCAGTGATGTCCGCATGGAACTTGATGCAGCACACTCAGCATGTCATGTGGGGAGTTCGGGTAGCATTTGACGGACGATTAGTAGACCTTTCGTCTAGGGGTCAAACGGGTGTACCTTTAACTAACGAACGGGCAATTTTCTTAACGGGCGGGTTAATTAACGGGTACCCTTTAGCGGCCCATGTTTAATTTTTTGCGCAATTTTCACATAAATCAAGATTTTAATTCATCTGTGCTCGGGTTGCATTTTGATATCACATTATGATTCGCAAATCGATTGGTGTCTGATAGTTGCAGGAGTAGATCTACTAGGTGCGAAAATGCAACAACAATGCAGACATCCAGCGTGGAGTTGTAAATAATTGACTCCCGCCTGGAATACACGATACCAGCAGTGTTGCTCCGTACTGCCTGGTTCATCAAAATCCAAACGGGTACCCTTTTACTAACGGTACCTGAGATTAACGGTCGGGTACCCGGTACACCCCTTTGACCCCTACTTTTGTCTACTAAGACCAAAGGTGGCAAGGCCAATGCGGTGCACTCTTTGGACCCTGGCGCTCTCATTTCGGGGTACTGTGGACGTATGGCACTTGCGGCAAATGTATCATCGGCAGAAGAGTGATGACCCTGCGTACACAGCAGTGCTCATAATCATTTACATGTAACAGTTACCGTATTATCTCCAATATAAGCACAGTCTCCAATAATAGCACGTCTCCAATAGTAGAACACCTTGGGGCGGCATTCAAAAAATAAAGTGCTCAGTCTCCATTATAGCACACTGTCTATCAGTACCTGGTAAAATGCATGTACCGTATTATCTCTAAAATGCAGTACCGGCGAAAAAACCCTGAAATGTGTGTGTCTGACATGAATTTGGCATGGCAACATGCCTCTGAAATGAGGTTGAAATAATAATGGAACAGTCTCCAATAAAGGAATGTCTCCATTAATAGCACGGGGCGGAGGTACATTGAAAAATAAGGACCGTGCTTATATTAGAGATAATACGGTATGTACCCCAATGCTGCGATCACAATGATGACTATGCATAATAACTAGAGTATATAACCCCCCTGGGGGGTTATAATATACTCTTGTAATACCCCCCCCCTGGGGGGGGGGGTTATATACCGTAAAGTCGCGGATAAAAGCCGGGCTTAAAAGCACATAAGCCGCTTTCTGCATCAGGCTTCAATGCAAACCAGGCTTGTATGCAAACCATGCTTATATGCACCACTGATATTTTTGCCAGGCTTGTATGCACATCGGCCGATCCGGGCTTGCATAGAAGCCAGGCTTCTACGCGCGACACACGTAGATTTACCACTGACTACCGGTATGGCGGCAGTTTTACTATGCACTGTACATAGCGCATCCACTCTTGACCTACCCGATCCGCGCTTGCATAGAAGCCAGGCTTCTACGCGCGACAGGCTTATATGCATTGACCCGTTTGATTTTCAGGCTTCTATCCGCGATGTGCTTGTATGCAAACCCGGCTTTTATCCGCGACTTTACGGTACTCTTGATAATAATTACTAATTAGAACAGTAGCATAGGTACTTGTACATTATGATTATTAATAGGTACGTTTCTAGAAGATCGAGCCACGTGTTAGATATGTTCTACTACTCGTCATCACTATTAGTCATGTCCTGCTGGCGCTTCTCAATGTGTTGCCTAGACTCGCCCTTACCACAGAACTGTAATTGATTGTCTTGTCTTTCCGTCTGCCGGTTTCCATTCAGCATATTTATAGGGTTACTAGTGACTTTCCTTGCAGCAACGTGCGCGCTTGCTCCTGCTGACCTTTGCTCGCGCTCTGTTTGCCGCTGCCTGCTCGATGCTTCTCTTCGCAGCTGCTTGCTGTAGACTTCAGCTGGTTTAAGTTCGCTGACTCGAGGTAGAGTCTGGCAGTTGGGTAGAGTTTTATGTGCAATAGAGTTGTTGAGTTGAGTTTATTAGAGAGTTTCCATTACCGCTCAAGCGGACTTGTCCGCTTGAGCCGGGTTTTGCATTTTGCAGTTCCTTACTTTTCCTTTGCATTTCCACTTTTACTATAATTATCGGACCTTTGTGCTCCGCCACCCTAATTTCTCTGTGCGCTGGGTCTGAGGTACGCTTGAGTGGAATGACCAAGAGGCGCACATATACTTTGTGCAAACAGGCTTGGGATAACTCACACGTAGGGACGATTGGCCGACCACGACAGAAGTGATTTTCAATTGGTCCGTGCGGCATGGTCTTTCATTTGCGCATGATATGGCAGTTACTTCAGTACTGTACAGAACCACAGCAGTAAAGATGCGTTGGTGGCCAAAGGAAAAGAGTGAGTCTGGTCAAGGCCTGACCAGCTTTCTCTTAGTTAACAGGCAGGGTAAAAAAATGAGGCTGCCATTCCTGGTCTAGCCTTTCAGTATTCCTCCCGTGACTGTGAGGCAGATTTGACATAACAGCATAACACGTCCAGTGCTGCCAACCAACTGGGTCTGTTTTGCGTTCTGTGACTTCCTGTATTTTGTAGTGTTTTTGCATACATGTACTACCAATGTACGGCCATGTTCATTGCTTGCATTGTTTTGTTTTTGTTTTTGTTTTTTACACTCCTACGCTTGTCGGTGGCTGGATTTGCTAGTGCAACATGTGTGACTTGTACCACGGCATGATATCGTTTTGTGCTACATGTACTCGAAGCATGGTATGCACTCGCTTTGGCACGGGGATGTTAATCGCTCAGCTTGTGCTTGCCATGCTTCTACATACATAGCTGTAGCTGATCTTCAATTTTCAAAGTACCACGATTACTAACTAACTGTTAATTTGTTTGGATAAGTACAGTGCTGCTCAATGAAATCCAGTCGTGTCACTCAAGTTTGCGCCTTGCACCATTTCGCAGCCCAGTGTTCGCAGGTCTATGGCAGCGCAACGCCCGGCGCGTACTTGAGTGACGCGGCTGGATTTCATTCAGCAGCACTGTATTAGCAAGAGTTTACAACTCTGTATACCCTTTCTATGGGGTCGGGGTGACGACGAAAACTAACATCACATGGTGCAGTGTTCCCGTTGTACGTTTCCAGCCCGTTTTAGCAAGCAGCAGAGTAATAAAAATAGCACTCCCTGACAGAAAATCACTCCGCTTATGCACTTCCCCAGCATGATCATGGCAGATATTCGGATGGTCTTTATGCACGTTGTACAGTTGTACGAAGTTCTGCACTAGGGCCGTAGGTGTGTACATACCTGGTTGGGTGTTCATTGTGTGCTATACATGTGCATTTAGCCTCATTATTCATGGCAAACAATCGCCTTTTCCAGCTTCTTCACTTCGGACAGAACTAATATCAGTTACTGCATCTTTGTCAGAAAAAGGTTTCAGGGCCCATTTCTTAGTGGAAATAGCAGTAAATACAAAAGGGTCCTGCACATTCAACACCCAACCGGGTCTACGGGATTCTACGAGATTGTACGATATTGTACGGGATATCGTGCATCTGTACAACGTGCATACGGATTATTGCTCGCATGGTATCCTTCGGTGTACGTACATGTACATGATTGTAGTATGAAACGTACCTCAAAACACGTGATGTGAAGTTTAGCCATGGGAGACCCCATAGAGAGTTGCACACTCTTGGTAGCCGATTTATTCAGTATTTACTCTTGGTATTAGGCTATTACTAGCGACTTCAATCACGTGACCAAAAGGCAGAAATCCTTCGTCGCACGAATGTATGGTGCAAGCATGGCGTGCACGGAACAATTTTTCTCTCGACGTTCTACGCCTGCCTACGCGTTATTCATGTGCCCAGCGCCTTCGATTTTTACATGATGGGCAAGCACACACGAATAGCTTTCCAACGGTGTGTCGCATGTCAAGTCATCGATTTTTGGATATATCGCTCCGCATTTTTAGTTTTCAAAGCAAACTTTCGGCATCTCAGCTACCTTGCCCGTCAATGACCGAGTCACCATCGTGTTCAGAGCCCTCGAATTAGTTTAGATGGGTTCATGGTAAGGTTCTCCTCCGTAGCCGTTTTTAGCAGTTTGAAGAATTTGTGCGCAGCGGCTGAAGTCGGCTATGGAGTGCACTATTTGACGGGCTCTGCGTGACAGAGCGAGCAGACCTTTGGCTTGTAAATCTGCTAGTAATGATTATGTTCTTCACGTCAAGATTCTGGAGGTGCTTGAGCAGTGAGGAGGTGATTAATTCAATCCATCGAAGCAGAGCACGTCCCGTCCAACATCTACATGTACGACGGTTTCTCCGTCACCCTCCAAGAACACCAAAAACCCGCATATCGCGCATACATTCACTGTGTATGCATGATATTCATGAGGTCCGGGAAACCCACTTTTGTGCCATTGCTCTGCATACAATTGCATGCATGGCCTCCGACGATTGCATACCCACTTTGGGGCCTGATATCTCCGGTTTGGGACAAGATATACCCATGAAATTTTCTGTATGTGTTCTGCAGAGGTTTCTCTTTCCAGTCGTGTAATTTGTTGGCCCTAATTCCGATTTTAGAATTTTGGACTGAAGTCGCTACTATTAGTATTACTTATTAGCTAATTTAGCTTGATGACTAACAGGCTCACAGCGAAATGTATTATCAGTTACAAGTCAGGGTGTCACATACGGTGCCACAGACTACACAACACAGGACACACGGTGTCACACTCAAAACGTTGTTACTCACCCGTACTGAAGGCTGTCGGTAGTCAAGTGGTCCTTGTCTTGTCATCCACAGCTATAGCTCTTGCTCATGCTCAGTAGCCTGTATAGTAGTTAGTGTTACGGAGGAGCATCGCCCACGTGCGTCTTCAACACCAGTCCTGATCAAGCAGCTGATGCAGTGAGGCCCTAGCCCTAGGCCAGCTAGGATCACAGATAGACCACGGCAGTCTGCTTGCTACCGCTAGCTAGCTGCTCAGACGCTACACTGCAGCATGCTTCATCCTTTCCACCTTTCACTAACTTTGTACAAGTAGACAGTCTAGTTCTCCGCCGGTGTCGTCGTCCCCGGACGCGCTTCCGTTGGTTTGGTCTGTGCTGGCTGAGACATGACGATGTTGCTCCGTCGCTCTAGCTCTGCACGCCGACTCTAATCGACTGCGGGATCGACCGCTCCGGCGTTGTCAGTGCAGTAGACACGCCGTCACGGTGTCGTTACCTGGTTACCCGATCGGCAAAGCAGCTGGTAGTACGAGCATTTCCTCCTCGCTGAACTGGAGCTGAAACTCACCACCGGCACCCGGCAACGATTATGTCGACGCCCGCCGACCCAGACGGCCTCCAGTATCCTCAGGGAACGCTGAAAAACTACGACATACTCCTGAAAAGCATGTTGATTGGTGACAGCGGGGTGGGAAAGAGCTGCTTCATGGCCAGATTCGTTGGTGGACATGTCAACAACACACACATCGCCACAATAGGTAAGACAAAAGTCACAAAACATCTAGTATAGAATGATTCGAAGATGGATCACCGGTGTAGATCGGGTGCAGTACGCTGCGACGAGTCAGTCAAACACACAGAATGATCTCTGTACTGTACACGGTAAAACCTGTTAAAGCGACCACTCGGATAGGGCGACCACCTGCAGGTCACTGAAACCAGGATCAAGGGATGCTATTTCCAGTCAGGCTGTGTTTAGTAACTGTTTACATGAGAAACTTCAACCCGGGTCGAGTTCACCCCGGGTCGAGTTCACCCCGGGTCGAGTTCACCCCGGGTCGAGTTCACCCCGGGTCGAGTTCACCCCGGGTCGAGTTCACCCCGGGTCGAGTTCACCCCGGGTCGAGTTCACCCCGGGTCGAGTTCACCCCGGGTTGAAAGTCTGTACGATAGACAAAAAAAGGTGAGCGTTTACGTGAAGACAGTTGACCCGGGTCAAATACTGATATGCCGCCAAAAGTCCACTTCTAAAGTCCTGTATGGTCACGTGAATCCTTTCGCGCGAAATTTGCATATGCAGTGCTGTTCAAACCTGGTGCGAGATACGCACAGAAGTACGTTAGTACGATTTCTCGATTTCAACAGCCCCTACAGCCCCTCTCGTTGTCAGGAAATGTTTGCTTGTGCTACTTCTCATCCAGTTGACTTCTTATTATGACTTTGTACGTTATAATTTTGTTGAGCTCCGGTTTTCCCCTTCATTCTAACTCAAGTGCAGTTTAGCGTGTATTGGCTTGTGATTTCCTTTCTTCTGTTTGCTTGGCATTTTATCGCTCCACAGGTACCCCCGGTCTCAGGTGCTCTCACATTTGTGCAATTGTTGATTTTGGTCCTGAATTGTCCTCCCTGTTGCTTTGCTACCGTCCTCCTCCTTCCTCCACCTTTTTTTCTTTTCTTAATTGGCCTCATTATGGCATTCGCTTCCATGTAATTGGGCTTGTAGCCCGTGTGTACTTGCGAATTCAAATAAAAAAAATATACATACAGTCAGGCTGTGTTTAGTAACTGTTTACATGAGAAACTTCAACCCGGGTCGAGTTCACCCCGGGTCGAGTTCACCCCGGGTCGAGTTCACCCCGGGTCGAGTTCACCCCGGGTCGAGTTCACCCCGGGTCGAGTTCACCCGGGTTGAAAGTCTGTACGATAGACAAAAAAAGGTGAGCGTTTACGTGAAGACAGTTGACCCGGGTCAAATACTGATATGCCGCCAAAAGTCCACTTCTAAAGTCCTGTATGGTCACGTGAATCCTTTCGCGCGAAATTTGCATATGCAGTGCTGTTCAAACCTGGTGCGAGATACGCACAGAAGTACGTTAGTACGATTTCTCGATTTCAACCCTCCCCCGAAGTGGAGGGTTGAAATTAACCCGGGGCGAAATTTCAACCCGGGTCAAGCGCAATGCGTCATGTAAATGCGCCATTCATTTTGTGTACAAGGCGGGTTGAAATCTGACCCGGGTCGAACTCAACCCGGGTTGAAATCTGACCCGGGTCGAACTCAACCCAGGTTGAAACCTCTCATGTAAACACATCCTCAGATGACCCTGGATAAGGAGACCACCTGGGAACAGAGACCATGTCTAGCTAGAAGGTCCTTTGCGGAGCAGTCATCTTAGACAGGTTTCACTGTGCAATATGTACACAAGGATGTGCTGTCGGCACACTGGTCGACATCCTGGCTAATGACGCTTATCATTCTTATGAGTTATGACTGCACACTAGCATGGACTACAGTACAGTAGGAGTGGGATGCACACATGCATGCACACGCGAACCCAGTGGACTGTGCTGAGGCATGATATTAATTATATTTTGCATTGGAAGACCAGCAATTATGGAGTCAAGGTTATTGTTTCGCGACGGCTTTGTTGCTCTGTTTGTCTTATGAGCGAGAAAAAAAAAGAAAAAAACTACTGCAACACCGTGATTATCTCAGTAGCTGTCAGTACCTCCGGGCCACTCAAGGGACCTTAGTGTGTGGTTCCCGCATACAGGTGACCCTCTTATCCAGGATCATTTAACTGGGAATAGCATCACTTGTTCCTGGTTGATGGTATTGGTCCTCTAGGTTTTACTATACCCCAATCATTGCTCTCTGCTGTGATCTGCTTGTTTTCTGCGCCTGGCGTCAATTCGTTTTGCCAGGCATTGACTTCAAGATGCAAACCGTCACCGTGGACGGTGTGCGTGTACGAATGCAAATCTGGTCAGTAACCATGGATGATCTATATCTGCTTATACAGTGGCTTGTGATCTCGGTGGATTGCAGTGCTGTGTTATAAGTTGAAACTTTTTCTTGAACACACACACATTCCTCCTAATATAGCCCGCACTAATATCACTGCATGTTACATCCTGCACTAATATCACTGCATGTTACATCCTGCGCTAATATCACTGCATATTACATCCTGCACTAATATCACTGCATGTTACATCCTGCACTAATATCACTGCATGTTACATCCTGCACTAATATCACTGCATGTTACATCCTGCGCTAATATCACTGCATGTTACATCCTGCACTAATATCACTGCATGTTACATCCTGCACTAATATCACTGCATGTTACATCCTGCGCTAATATCACTGCATGTTACATCCTGCTCTAATATCACTGCATGTTACATCCTGCGCTAATATCACTGCATGTTACATCCTGCGCTAATATCACTGCATGTTACATCCTGCGCTAATATCACTGCATGTTACATCCTGCGCTAATATCACTGCATGTTACATCCTGCACTAATATCACTGCATGTTACATCCTGCACTAATATCACTGCATGTTACATCCTGCACTAATATCACTGCATGTTACATCCTGCACTAATATCACTGCATGTTACATCCTGCGCTAATATCACTGCATGTTACATCCTGCACTAATATCACTGCATGTTACATCCTGCGCTGCTAAAATTATCTACAGTATCTGCAGTCGTGGCCAAAGAAATCCAACCCATTAGTCAAAGCAGCGCCGCGCTTCCATTGCAAGTACAAATGCATTATCCACGGTCCGAACACCCATCCGCGGGTCCCAGGGGCCGCATGAGTCTTGGTGCTGCTTTCGCCAATTGGCCCGGTCGGATTTCTGTAGCCACGACTGTATGATACTGCTTTTGGGTGTGTGTGTGTGTGTGTGTGTGTGTGTGTGTGTGTGTGTGTGTGTGTGTGTGTGTGTGTGTGTGTGTGTGTGTGTGTGTGTGTGTGTGTGTGTGTGTGTGTGTAGGGACACAGCGGGTCAGGAACGATTCAACTCTCTGACGGATCAGTACTATAAGCGAGTAAATGTGAGTAAATAAATCACCACGTATTGCTCGAGAATATGAATGAGCGGCTTCACCAGAGTTTACTGGTAGAGCATTGCTGGCCATCAGCGAGTTTGCATGGTTCAAGTCCTGGTGGTGGCAGTCAATGTTATTCTTTGTCTTCAGACCTATACCGCTTCAATTCCCTCCAACTTATGAACACCGTACCGTGCTGCTACCCACATTCAACTGGGAACTTGTGGCCTGGCACAATGGGTACATGGATGTGGCTAATGGGGTTTCTCGGCACTTGTGCCAGTGGTTGTGAGACTTGTCCACTCACCCCCACTGTTAGGCACTGCATCTGCCGCTAGGGTTTACCGGGTGTTAGCGGCCGTCGTGAGTTCCCTTTGGGAACGGCCACGATAATTTACTTACTTTCTTACTTATGAACACTACTGAAATGTCACTGAGCATTTAATTGAAATATACCCCATGGCCCAGTGCATTAGTACGTACCGGTACAATGTGTTCCAGCACCACTCCTTACCAACTGTGTGTATGTGTGTGAGTGCGCTGGTGCGCGGGTCTGTGTGCTAATGTGTGTGAGTGTTTGCATGGGGGTATTGTGGTGTGTGCGTATGCATGTGTGCCCTACTTCTGCAGGGAATCTTCTTAGTTTATGATATCACCGACGTTACATCATTTCACAACGTCCGGCGTTGGATGGATAGTATTTCAGAGGTTAGGGCATTAGATAGGTGTGAAATCGTTTTCATCTGTCAGACTGCACAGGCAATCTGAGACCTAATTAATGATATCACCATGAACTACCAAACCCATCCAAGCCATTTTTCAAGGAAAGTGATAGCGTAGACGCCTCCCTTCTCTCTCTCTCTCTCTCTCTCTCTCTCTCTCTCTCTCTCTCTCTCTCTCTCTCTCTCTCTCTCTCTCTCTCTCTCTCTCCTTCCTTCCCGAGTCTCTCTCTCCCTCCCTCTCTCCCCCCTCTCTCTCTCCCCCCCCCCCTCTCTCTCTCTTTCTCCCTCCCTCTCCCTCTCTCTCCTTCCCTCTCATCCTCCTCCAATCATCACCACCACCAGCACTACCACAATAAGACCCATGTTACCATTGGTTACCATGGAGTGCAATACATGCACATGTATTACTTTCTCCTCAGCAAAATGCCTCCCATTCCAGCATACCAGACTTGATAGCAACATTCTCGATCAAGTTCAATACCGTAAAAGTCCGTAAATAAGTACGTATTTACTTTCGAATTTAGTGACCACATCCGTACTAACTTTCGGGCGGGTACTGACTTTCGGGCACGAACTAACTTTCGGACCTGACTTGTGTGTAATGGAGAAGTCATTTGTCATGTTCATGTACATGCTACGTGCTGCATGTGCGCATCGTACCGGTACTTATTTCGGGCAGTATGTTTATCGGGCTTGACTTGATTTCAACAGACAGAGCCAAAAGAATGAAGGGGGTATTTCTTTCGGGCAGGTACTTATTTACGGACTTTTACGGTAGTTGATTAAAACATGGAAATCTACTGTGGACAATTCAAAAATCCACTTCTTTTTCATTGATTAAATATGCATTCAAAAATGTGATACAACTTACAAGCAAGCAACAAAAATGGTAAGTAGGTGGCACAAAAGAAGGTGAGAAAACCAGAATGTGACAACTGTGAAGTGAGACTTGCTTGTATTTAAGTTGTATCACATTCTTTTTCATTTTAATATATTTTCAATTGTTCATGCAGAAAGCCGATCGTGATGTGAGGACAATGATCATCGCCAACAAGTACGACCTGGCACGCCTACGTGTGGTCAGTCGCAAGGAAGGAGAGCGGGTGAGTTCAACGGGAACTCAACAGGAATACCGTATTGACCCGCATTTAATATATAGGCGAGTTTTCGCCATATTTGTCATTTTTGCATGTCGATTGGTCTCCGCATATAGGTGCATGCGCTTGTAATTGTGTTACCAATATGGACTGTGGACATCGCACATTAAACTCTGTAAAGCCGGACGGCATCATGGTGGCATCAATGTGTTCACTTATAAGCCCACACGCTTATATGTGAGGGTGCACTAACTGCATGTATACCCGGATATAGGCACATGCGCTTTCAAGTACAGTAAAACTTGTCTAGGTGACCACTCTGATAAGGCGACCACTCTGATAAGGCAACCACCTGTCCTAAAAGACCACTAAAACAACGACCAATGGATGATATCTCCAGTCAAATGACCCTGGATAAGAAGACAACCTGTACACGGGGACCACATTTTGAAGGTCCCCTGAGGGGTCGCCTTTGATAGACAAGTTACAGTACTATGTATGCATGTGGCATTTCGTTAGCTGTGCATGCAGCCAACCGCCTGCAGTTGTTCAAATAGCTCTGCTCTGTGGAGAGGCTTTGGCCGGGTCCGGTAATAGCTATGATACTGTGCTTGTGACCAGCTACCAGCATCCTGCACTGCTGTTTGTTCTCTTTCCTGGCCGGACACATGTAGCTTGCAACAGAGTATGGAGTTCCGTATGTAGAAGCGAGTGCAATGGAAGGCATCAATGTGCAAGAGGTAAGCAGGAGCCATGACGTTACATGCCTTGTTTTGTGGGAAAGTATTACTCGGTTGAACCAAGGAAAGGGACATTTTAGCCTTTATATAGAATTTATTTGGGTAAAGAAACACACCGGCTGCTAGCACACCCCATGTTGACAACACACATCGTAGCAATGTGTTTATGTGTATGTGTGTGTATGCACAGGTACACATGCTTGTGTGTGCATGGGGGGGGGGGGGGGGGCGCTGGTCTTTCAAGTTATGCTTCAAAGTATTCTGTGCAGTGTATATGTGTATTTGTTTAGTCTCCTGATAATTGCATCACTGCATGTGGCTTGGGAGTTGAGGTAGCTAGGTTGACATTCCACGGAACCCTACGTATGGCAAGGCTCTACAGTCCTGAATTTTTCCCCACTGCAACGATGTCTAGTTGGCACTTTCATTCTGCAGATTGATCTGGTGTGATGATTACTCTGTGTATCTGCTCATGCATATGCTGTACTGTCTGCCACGTGCTAATTACTGATCCAGGCAGTCCATAAGCTATGTCGACTACTACTGAGAAAGGTAAAGTCCATTGCACACACTCACATACATACATGTGAGTACGCACACCGACATGCACGCACTCATGTAACCACATGCATGGGCAACATTTGCTGCTTCCCAGCGCTACAGTGCTTTGTAGCACGAGCACACAACCCACGAGAGCACTAGGGTGGTGTAACTTGAAGCGATGATTGCTGATACGCAACGCCACTGTTTTAGGCTTTTAGCAGCCCCAAAGGGCAAGAATGCATATCAGACGAACGATTTTATTGTGAACTCGGATGGAGGGCCAAGGGTAAATTTATAGTAAAGTATAGTAAACTTGTAGTTTCTTGGTCCTTTTTCTTTACTATGATTTTATTTTGGTACTTGTAATTAAGACGGGTACATGCGGTTGCCGTATTGTCCGCATCCTGACCGTGTATCAACTTTACTTCTCACTTTTTCCCGTCCCTTGTAGAAGGACATTGGTGCTGGAAGGAAGAAGTCTCTGAGTGGCTATGAAGACATTGATCAATCCGAACAAACCACCCTAGTGCTGGAAGCAGATGCCGAGAAGGAGGCAGGCTGTAGCTGCTGACCAGTTCTGTGAGTGCTGTGTAGTGGAATGGTAGTGACATGCCGTATGAATCACCAGTCCTGATCTCAGCTCGGTGACATGTAACGACTAGGAATAACAGACCGTACTCACAAGCCACTGCCACTGCCACCCAGACCAGAAGTGAGTGCCGGAGAACTGCAGCATGGACATGCATGCTACTCGTTGTCTCCATGACGCGGATCACAGCCCGTGTACACAACAACAACACCATGATGTCGGCATCTATTATTTATGCGTGGCCATGTCACCTCAGATCGACACCCATGAATACCTGTATCAACTCAGTTGAAGGCACTCATCCGCCTGTCTTGTAGACTGTACATCATGCTCTGCAGCAGGTTACATCATGTCTATGACCATCACAATCATCGGATGTTTGCTAAAGTCTATGTCGCACCGGCACACTAGCCCTTGAGTGTTTCATAAGAGAATGCGCCGTTGCGGCATGCATCTGCAAACTGTCCTGTTCAAAAAGTGTGCAGTGGTGATCGAATTTGCTTCGATAATAATAGACGTGACTATATTTTCTAGAACAAATTCGACGTGTCTCCATTTCTTCAATGTAGTACGTGCATCTGCGCGCTCCACACCAGTCCAAAAGAACAGTGAGATTTTGTTATCTATTATCCAAAATTTTACCGTTATGTCTGATTTTAGTCCTGAACTATTGTACAATCTGCGGTTGTCAGTGGTTGAATGCCTCCTGAGGGAATGAGCTTGCGTAGTTGCTGTTTTGTCATTGTTGATATCATTGATTAACGATAATGTTGTCTCTTTTATTTCCTGACAGTGAAGTTAATTATATCATCTGCTTTGACTCTTCATCGGCCTACATTTGCATGTAGCTACTGTAACGTTTTGACTGTTGTCAGTGACGTGGTGACCTGGTGACCTGGTGACATCGTGTATTCAATGATACGATGTCATGTAGTCGGTTCTACTTACTAATTTAGTTACTTGCAGCTTGTGCATGTAAAGTGCCTTTCTTGCCCGTCTGTTCTAACGGCTTGCGGCAACCAACCACTACAGAAAGTAGTCATACCGACTTTGTGCCCTTTACCACTGAAAGTCGTATGCGTGTGTGTGTGTGTGGTGGGGGGAGGTAGAAGATCTGGCCAGACATAAAGCATGGGGAAGGGCAGTTCATGATACATTCCAGAACCTCGTGCAACTCATTTAAAGTTAATAATTAACCTACCAGAGCCATGCAAATTGGATTTTTCGTCAGTAAAAAATAAGTTCATTTCCCGTCTGATACTGTATCAGTACGCAGTGTACGCTGCACTGTTCATATGAAGACATTAGTTATGTGGTCCTGTCACCAGGTCACAGTGACTGTCATGGTGTCACTCTCAGCTCTGTCAAAAAGTGATCGCTGCTCTCTCACGCGTCTCAGGCGACCGTGCTCAGTTTTCGACACTTTATTCGGACAGTAGATCTATCGAGTATCGGTACCCTGATCCTGCGTTGGTTGGTAATGTGAAGTCTGAAGTAGTGAAGAGGCTCAGCGCAGGACAAGATTATCTTAGCCCAGACCTATTTGTAACACTGACCAGGTTGTAGAACAGATCGTTGATACGGTCCGGTTTTCGTCCGAGGAAGACAGTGAGGGCCGAGGGGCTGGGTAGCTAGTGATACTATTTCATCGCTTCTTCATTCAATCCCCGCCGGTTGCCAACACTAACAGACGCCGACACAGTTCATCACCAGCCTGCCTCATCATGAGCACATTTGCCATCGCCCGAAGACCAGCATGCCTGGCACGACCTTGGTTGCGGCTGCGGGGCAACACGAGGGTAGTGATCGGTGGTGCGGGACTGGGAGTTGACGCTGGCAGTGGGGTGATCGGAAGCCAGCGACGTCATTTGGCTTACAATGCTGGCTCGACAGAGCTGACCACGAACGTGCTCAGCTACCATCAACACAAGGACTCTTACATTCGCGATGTGAAGCCGACAACTAACCAGGTGAGCACTTTGCATTTGGCCCGGTCTTTGCCACGGTTTCAAGTTTTTTTGGACAGGAGCTTTGGCGGAGATCGAGAACTCTTGCTCCATTTGAAGCGCTGCTGCTCGCATTTTACAAAACGCCCAGAACTCGCCTGAGGTGAACTACTCTCGCCAATCTTTGCCTAGCAGTCAATCCTCGGTAGTATAGTGGTAAGTATCTCCGCCTGTCACGCGGAAGACCCGGGTTCGATTCCCGGCCGGGGAGGACATTTCTTTTTTTCTTCTTTTCTTGAGTCTACAGTTTTAGTGCAAATGGGGTCTTCAGCCTTCAGGGCTTCATAGCAAAAGTAAAGCTCCCAGGAGCTAATTTTACTCTTGTTCACAGCCATGACCTCTGTTATAACATGACGTTGTTATAGGAGTCACGGTCGCACCAACACATTTTTTGGAGGGGGGGGGGGGGGGGGGAGAGCAGGGCACAGGACCTAGAGACTGAAAGATAGAAATACACCAAACAACCATGAGTACAATGTAAATGTGCCTTTCCCTTTCTTCAAAAATAATACTTTAACCCTTTAAGAGCCACAGGAAAAATTCAAAATTTTGCATTTTTTCGTGTTCCTTGGATCATAGCTTCAGTTCTACTCACGCAATCCTCACAATCTAGGGCTTCCTGGAAAGGTCTCCGTGAGAGGAAGAGAATGAGGTCGATAATGATAGCCAGCACACCGTCTATCCAGCGCTAGATCGCAGCGACAGTACGAAATATGCCCCAAATGCGTCCAATTGCGTCCCGCTCCAGATATTAATTCTACTCGATCGTGGAGTTCCAATTTTTTCGCTGTGTACTCTTGACAATATCAACAGTGAAACCCGTGCAAATTCGAGTAAACCAGCGTGCCGAAAAGTCTCAAAGTTCTCAATACTAAAGTCGCACTGCGCGCTTTTGAAATTGCCGCGATCGCGGCTCAACTTACGAGTGATTTATCTCAGGAACCGGTGCTCGCAGCGCTTCGCGGATTGTTTTTCCCGACAGGTGAGAGTTTTCTCTTTGCCCTAGATATTTCGATCACTGGATTCGAGCGAGATTGGACTGAGTTACGATCTTTTGAAGTTTTGCATTTGAATGCGTCGTTTACGACGCATTCAAGTATGGGGCGGCTCTTAAAGGGTTAAGTACTTCTATAGGAACACTGCACTGCATACTAGTGCATATTATTCACACATATCCGCCGGATGAGTACGCGTGGCCCATGCACCATGGGGACCCACAAATACAAACCAGCATATGTTCCCTCAGCAATACAAGCAAGCAAGCAAGCAAAGATAAATGAGAGCCCAGGCAGCGAAAACAAAACGAAGAGAGATGAGGACATAGGCAACGAAAACAATTCCAAAGCGTAGCCAGGGATTGAATTTGGCTGGATGCAAAGCCTTCTATAGTCATCAGGGATCTCCCTAACGTTGAAGCTGAGGCTGTACAATTGCTACGTTCTAAGCATTTTGCTTTACAACTGCGCTACCTGGGGCCTCACCGAGGCACTCAGAACGTCTCTGGACGTTTGCCACCGCCGTCACCTCCGCTCGCTACTAGTGCATAGGCTGCCATAATAATAATGTTACCCTCCATGTGCACCGTACATGCAATGACCAATACTACGAGCTCATACATGTACGTGAAACAGAACGGTAAAGGGAAGAGAACCCGGAAACCCCAAACTTCATGCCTAACTTATGATATGCATGTTATAAGCAACCCACTGCTAACGTTATGATGCTAATGTCGTGGTACACAGCTAGATTATAGTGTGTGTGTGTGTGTGTGTGTGTGTGTGTGTGTGTGTGTGTGTGTGTGTGTGTGTGTGTGTGTGTTTGAGAATGTACATGATGTGCACCGTGCCATTGTACCCTACTGCACTCTATGCCTGATTGTGTTCCATTGATTGTTCTCCATTGTCCATACAGGTTGATTTCTTTCAAGAAAACGGTTATGTGGTCATGGAAGGTCTCCTTGACCCGGATCACCTGCAGAAATGGCGTGATGTTATTGACTCAGCTGTTGAAATGCGAGGTAAAGATTGGTCGTTTCCCGTAAAAGGCCAAGTGGATGTCACGAATGTCGAAATGGATTTCTACCAGAAGGTAATAAGAGGAGAGTGGAGGACTTTGACTGATTATCTGCGTGATCCAGAATGTTCGTTGCTGCTCTCAATAGTGCATGGGGATATTGCCTTCGTGTACTTGGCAAAGTGTTTGGGGTGAGCGGGAAATTACAATCGGCTCAATGTACTAGTACATGGTAGCACTACCAGTGCCTAGTGCAGGGCTGTAGCACCCGGCCAGGCCGGTCCGGGGCCGGACCTTCTTTCGAAATAGTTGACCCGCCCAGTTAGAGTCGTGCACACCGGTACATGCAGACCGAGGGTTGAAAACCAGGCAGTCTCTGATTGAAGTGATGTCGACTTTCTTTTCAATTCCATTTTAAAGTATTAACTTCATTAGGCCGGATCACCTGAAATCCCGGTGCTCCAGTACTGTAGTAGATAGCAACATGATTACTACAACAGGTTACGAGATAGCGGATTACCTGAGCAGAGTCACATAGTCCATAACTTATCTGAACGGTTCTACGCACAGAGCTCTGAACTAGCCCATTGCTGCTCTCTTGTGTGCGTTGTTACCACCGCCTGCAGGTCTTCACACAGCGCATCAACCTATGGATTACCAGCGAGCAGGCCCGGCATCTGCTCTTCGCTGCACAAGCAGTACTGGCACGCGCTGCATGTAACCTGGGCGGCATTAATCGCGTACGTCTCTGGCACGACCAGGCACTCTACAAAGAGCCGTGGGCCAATGCCACCAGTTGGCACGTGGACGTACCGTACTGGAGCTTCGACTCGGTGAATGCCATCAGCGCCTGGATAGCATTGGACGACGCGACGATGGCTAACGGCTGCATGCACTTCATACCAGGTACAGAATCGAGCTACCACGGTACACTGTTCACGGCACCGCTGCACACAGCTCAACATACGGCGCATATTCCATCACTAGTTTGATAATTCTTCTGTCTCACCTACGTAAGTCCATATCGGGACCATACACATAATCATGTCCTGGGTTGTTCTCCATGCACTGCAGGTTCACAGAAGCTCGTCGAGAAGGGATACGCAGAAGATGGATTCTTCCGCGAGATAAAAATCGGCAAGAACATGTCGGACGTGTTTGAGTTCTTCCCGGAAGCTAGGACATGGCCGAGCACGGCGGTGGAGATGAAGGCAGGATCTGTGTCTTTCCATAGTGGCGCACTGATTCACGGTGCTGGGGCAAACATGACACCGGGCAGGCGCCGTGCGATGACAATGGGCTTCATGCCCGATGGCTCCGTGTTCAATGGCAGGCAGAACATACTGACCAATGAACAGTGCGCTGTACTCAAGGTCGGTGACAAGCTGACCGACGACACACAGAATCCACTGCTCTACGACACCGGCGTGTGATGCAAATAGTTCGGATAGAACCGAGCAGCGGTACATTCATATAGTCTTCTGGTACATGTTGAAGTACAGCACTGGCAGCGTGGCTTTGTCTCGCTACTCTAGTTCTCAGCCAGTCATAGTGAAGAGCAACGTCACATTCAGCAGTCCGCTAAGCCTTGGCTGGCAAATGCTGGTTACAGAGTGTCGTGCTGTTACACGTAGCCCCACATACACTCACATACGCACACCTAAACTCACACAAGCAGAAGCTGTAACTGAATGCAGCCAACCGTGGCTGTAGAGTGTATTTACATTGTCTCTTATTAAATACTGCCTTTAGCCTAAAAAAGGTTACTAGTAAGAATGTACACTATAATACAGTACTGTACAAGTTAGTTGTCACAAACCTAGGCAAGTGTGCCTCAGTGTTACAGCAGGTGACTAGGATTTGGTACACAAACCTAGGCAACTGTGCCTCAGTGTTATAACAGGTGACTAGGATTTGGTACACAAACCTAGTCAAGTGTGCCTCAGTGTTACAACAGGTGACTAGGATTTGGTACACAAACCTAGGCAAGTGTGCCTCAGTGTTACAACAGGTGACTAGGATTTGGTACGTTTTGCTACAGCAGCTTTCCGTCGCTTGGTCGGGGGAGGGCTTTCATCTTCTGAGGCAGATGATGCACCCTCGTCACTCTCGCCGCCCAGCCGCGCTCCAAGTTGAACTCCTGCATCTTCGTCGTCACCGTCCTGTGAAGCAGTCAGCACAGAAAACACACAGAATTGGATATGCACATGCATACCGTATTCGCGTGATAAGAGTTAGAGCCGTCTCTTGAATAGTGCCCCTGTCTCTGAGTGCCAATGAAAAAACGCCCTCTCTTGAATAGTGCCCCCTTCCCGGGTTTGTAATTGTATTGCATTGTATTTGTATTTATGGATTCTCCACTGTAATCAAGTGGGTGTTCAAGTTTGGGTGTTATTTTGCTGATGTTCTTGTCCATGTACAATGTAATTGACCTACTAGTATTGGATTCGGGATCAAAATTCTTGCAGCTTCTGTTGACCCACGAGAGTTTATTGTAAACTTTAGACTCTGGTTTTTCAAGTAATATTATTATTATGGTATGGTGAATGACGCAATCGTACCAACATTGAAAAAACAGCTCCCTCTCTTGAATAGTGCCCTATCTGTGATGAACGTTGAAAGAATAGTGCCCCAGGGACACTAATCACGCGAGTACGGTACATACCATGTACAGGATACATTGGCATGTTTACTGACTGCTGCATCAAACTGTATAGCGTCAGCGCGCATACATCACATGTACCACCGTGAGCTGAAGTACAGTGCAGTGCATACATCACATGTACCACCGTGAGCTGAAGTACAGTGCAGTGCATACATCACATGTACCACCGTGAGCTGAAGTACAGTGCAGTGCATACATCACATGTACCACCGTGAGCTGAAGTACAGTGCAGTGCATACATCACATGTACCACCGTGAGCTGAAGTACAGTGCAGTGCATACATCACATGTACCACCGTGAGCTGAAGTACAGTGCAGTGCATACATCACATGTACCACCGTGAGCTGAAGTACAGTGCAGTGCATACATCACATGTACCACCGTGAGCTGAAGTACAGTGCAGTGCATACATCACATGTACCACCGTGAGCTGAAGTACAGTGCAGTGCATACATCACATGTACCACCGTGAGCTGAAGTACAGTGCAGTGCATACATCACATGTACCACCGTGAGCTGAAGTACAGTGCAGTGCATACATCACATGTACCACCGTGAGCTGAAGTACAGTGCAGTGATAAAGCCTCTTGTACGGGCAAAAGCGACACAATGATGAGAAACCAGGGTATGATAGGAAGATAATATTAAAAATACTACACAGGTGTGGACAATATGTCTCCGGAATGGCGAGAGTCACACTAAAACACAAATGGTTTTAGATCCGGCTTTCAACCACTGCCAGCTCCCTGAGCTCGTTAGCTGGACGATGGTATGCCGACCGAGACCCACGGACACACATGACAGCGGACCGGAGCAGCGCGAAAGACAGCCTGCAGCGCACATATGCAACATGGTGTGCATAGGGCATGCTGGAATCAGCCCTGGCAAGCAAACCACAGAGGCGCTTAAGGAACCTTTCACATTCAGGGGCGGCAACACCAGAAGTTGACAACACCAGCGGGCTGAATGTGCCACGATCCACATTGACGATTCGCTCTCCGTACTGCAGCTTCTTCTGGCGCTCGTGCTGAAGCAGTAGGGCATCCAGTGGTTGGGCCGAGTAGGACGCCGCATCAGGATGGAAGACGCGTACATCAAAGAAAGCATCCTGTGCTCGGGTCCAGAAGCCACGGGCACGGACATCAGCGGCGGCATCCTCGGCGGTGTTTGTTGATGCAGCCATAAACACCTCTCCAGAGAGCGGGGCTAGCTGAGGCTCGATTGCCACTGCGTGGCAGACCTCCGTGAGTAGCTCCCCTACCATGTCACGGACTTCGTTATGGCGGATTGTAGGGAAGCCACCCCGGGGGCAACACATGGCATGAGCAGTGGAGAACAGAACTCCGCAGGCACACTTCGTGGGGACATCGAGGAGAGGCCAGTCATACCGCAATGCAAGGCCGTCCCTGAACTCCTGCTTCGAGAGGTGGAACCCATGTTCCTTGAGAGGAAGAGCAGTGAGCCAGGAAGAGGGGCCTTTGCGGGACAGCTCATCCATACGACGGGTCAAGGGGCGGTCCGCAGCTTCTCGGAGAGCAGCGAAAGAGGCAGCACTAGCTTTCTTGGAGGACTTGGCAGCAGATGCTCTCTCACGGCGGGCTAGCTGATCCACAAAGTCGCAGGAATGATGCTGCCACTCTCGATCGTGCTGGTGGATGATCTCGTCAACCTGGCTGCTCGTGATGACTTGGGAAGCCTGCAGTTGGGAGGTAGCAATTTCTTTGAAGTATGGCAAACCGATTCCACCGAGCCGGCAAGGTAGCCGTAGAAGAGAGAGGTCATCCGCCGTGAATGTGCGTTTCCCTGTCAGAGCCGGAAGGAAGTGCTCCGTGACCGTGTCATCCAGGCGCTGCAGCTGTTCAGCTGAGAACTCCAGTGTACGAAGGAGATATGTCCATCGACCACGCAATCCGTGTGTGAGGGCGGCATACGCCGCATGAGGTTCGGTAGTGGCAATCTCGGACAGTCGCATAAGCTCCTGCTGCCAGTCTTGTACTTTCCCAGCTGTATAGCCAGCGATGAAATCCGGTGTCCCTATAGCGGCACCCAGGTAGCGTGCTCCATCCGTGACCACTTCAATGCCAGTTCCTGCAAAGACACTGTGGGCCAGGTTGAGCAGGTCAGGCTTGACGAGGAGGAGAGTCTTCGAGGCGTTGACATGGTAACCGTAAGGTTTCCCGGTCTCGTCCACATCATCCCACCAGCGTCGAAGGGCCCGTAGCTTGCCTGCACCACTTGAATCATCGGCATACCACAATTGACGGATGTTGGCGTGGGTAGTGCGGAGGTGCCGTACGAATGGTAATGTAGCGAGGGCATAGAAAACCATCGACAGAGGGTCACCTTGTGTGGTACCCTCTGCGGAGGAAAGCTCACCACCGCCAGAAACGAAGAGGCGGGCATCATCTTGGTAGCAGTTCAGCAGTGTGGTAGCCAGGGAAGGACACAAGTGGCGAACATTGTGAAGAGCTGCTTGGCGGTTCAGGCAATTGAAGGCATTCTTCGCGTCAACTAGTAGGACTCCTTCAGTTGTGGCGTCCTCATACAAGCGCTTCATGGCGTGGACCGCTGCTTCTATCCCAGCTGGCAATCCAGAACACTTCTGGAGAAAACCACAGGCCTCCATTACATCGTCTGACGTTACTCGGAGAATGGATTTGGCTAGAATGCGACGGAGGACCTCAGACACCCCAATGGGCCTGACACCTGGGTTCTTGTCCAGGGCAATTAGACGACAGGCGGTGAAGGGGGTAAGAGAGTCTGGCGGCAAGGTTTGTGTTGCTAGCAAGCGGCCGAAGGACGCCATCGCCGAGCAAAGGTTGTTGGAGGCCCCTTTGTACGCCGAGCACATACGTCGCCATGCTGACGAGTCGAGACCAGAGGGACCTGCCGAGCCTTTCGCCTGCATGGCCACGGTTTTCACGAGGTCGGCAGTCAGGGAATCAAATCGGATTGGGTGGCACTGAGGCGCTGCTCCCGCTATCAGGATGTGCTCTGCTGCTGGAGTGCCGCAAGGATGCTTACTCTCCAGGGCTGCCCGCACGGTTGTGGTGGAGTCCTTGATGGTGATCGAGTCATCGATACCTAACACACCGGATGACTGCGTGGACTCAGCTTCAGATAGGGAACGCAGGGCATCGTGCACACGTCCTTCTGCCATGAGGGAACCAAAATGCCTTGCCTTGTCCTGCTCACCTCGTCGACGTGCTCCTCGGTGTGGCTCACGATGCCGTTGCAGGCAGCGTCCTTCCTCAACCAGAGCAGTGATATTACCATCTGCCCAGAGGGCCATCCGGCGCTGGAGGTGACTCGTGTTGTCCTTGGGCTTGGATCGACGATACGTTTGTTGTAGTAACAGAGCTGGGAGCACGGCTAGGTTGTACAGCGCTGTTCTGTGGGTACCAGCAGACTGAACAAAGTCCTGGATCTGTTCACACATCAATGTTACAAATCGCTTCCCGGCCGAGCCTGTTGGGAGCTTGAAGAACCGCTTCTTCCAATGTACGACCTCAGAGTATACGTCCGAGACCGAGTGAGGAGTGGTGTTCGCCTCACTCAAGTGGGCAGAGTGCACAGATTGACTTGTGGGTTCCATAGGCTGTGATTCGCTCCTGGTTTCTTGTGACTGAGAGGGGGAGCCCACTGCTAGCGCTGGGAGATGTACGGCTTGTTCGTTGCCGTTGCGGATGTTCGTGTTCAAGGTGCTTTCAGCAGGCCGGCTGTCAGAGTCCCGAGTAGTTGCTATTGTTGTTGAAGTTCTCTCTCGTGGCTCAGTTTGTCCCATGTCAACGCCATGACGGCACTCCGTGATGAGTGCGTTGATGCTCTGGGCAGTTGCGGAAGCGGCTGCCGAAAGCTCTTTGCACTCACTCACGATTTGGCTTGAGTCCGCACGTAACGGGTTTGTGTCGTCAACCTGTTCTACCACTGGCAACGGAGACGTACGCACTTCACGCGTACACCCTACCGTAGGCCTGCGATTTGAACATTTCTGCTTCTTTCCCGGAGTGCAGTTCGAGCACGGACGTTCTGCTTGGCGGCAGGAACAGTTGGTTCTACAGACGCCATTACCCGCACAAACACAGCATCGACGTCCAGCTGGGGCTTGGCTGGTGGCCGCATCAGTATCACTACCCATAGCCTGCTACTAGTTGTCACATGCTAAATCTACACGGTCACGTTCACAGCTGCACAGATGCCCTGGATCGGAGCTTCAAAATTTCAAACCGCCCATCGCGCTGTCAAGATTGTGGCCGTGTACAGTGCAGTGCATACATCACATGTACCACCGTGAGCTGAAGTACAGTGCAGTGCATACATCACATGTACCACCGTGAGCTGAAGTACAGTGCAGTGCATACATCACATGTACCACCGTGAGCTGAAGTACAGTGCAGTGCATACATCACATGTACCACCGTGAGCTGAAGTACAGTGCAGTGCATACATCACATGTACCACCGTGAGCTGAAGTACAGTGCAGTGCATACATCACATGTACCACCGTGAGCTGAAGTACAGTGCAGTGCATACATCACATGTACCACCGTGAGCTGAAGTACAGTGCAGTGCATACATCACATGTACCACCGTGAGCTGAAGTACAGTGCAGTGCATACTTTTAAATAGACGCACTGTTTTAGGTCCAACAACCCTGGTCAACCATGTATACGAACAACCCTGGTCAACCATGTATACTGGATTTTTTTTTAAAGTGGATGTGTTTCCACAACGTACAACGCATGCCGGTGCTAAACAACTCGCACTCGGCAACACATCAATCAGACACACTGGACGGTACCTGTAGATGTGCTACAGGGAAACACCAGGGGCAACACTGGAAACTCACCTCATCCACCTCTCGGCGGTTTTCCTCTCTCTCTTTCCGCCGCTGCTCCTATATACCAGACAAGTGCAGGAAAACACATGAGTCACACCAAGCAAGGCATACCGTTTAGTATCGTTTAGGCTCAACACGCTACATGTACAACGCACACAAAGAGTAGGACAAGGGGACTGCATGAATGCAAGGTTCAGCAGCTATCCAGCTGCTCTATACGCCCGGTGGTCACGCAGACACTAACCTTATGCATCTCCTTGACACGCTGCTTATGCCGCAGTCTGTCAAGGCGGTCAGCACCGCGCATCTCTCGACTTGCGGCCACCAGGTCCAGTCCGCCAGTCGCCTGGGAGTCTTCCTCGCCCAGGGGAACAGGCTGCAAGTGGCCAAGATCATCCGAGCCGGGGTTTGCTACTGCGGGTGCCTTGAAGCTGACAGACGATTCAACCTGGAACAATTGAACAGCAGCAGCAGCAGCAGTAGTACAGATCACTTACAAGGTCACCAGATAGGGAACAGGAATCAATGTAGTCGAGAATGGTAAATTCGGCAACGGTCCTTTCCCAAAGCAATCTAGTCTCACCTCGCCATCTTCACCATACACGACGTGACTGTTGGTTTTGGCTAAGGGCTTCTTCAGTATTGAACGGGCTGCTTGCACTTTCGTCTTGACTTTGGTGCTGGCTTTCTGTTTGGATTTCTCGACGTCCTTGAGCATTTCCTTGCCACATTCCTACAAGATAGAGGATAGATATGTTTGCGCAATGACAACAAGTAGCAACAACAAGATCAGTGGCTAAACTAAAAAATTAACAAAAACCACAGCCACAGCCACAGCTACAACAACAGCAGCAGCAGCAGCAGCAGCACCATCAACAGCATCACCAACAACAACAACAACAACAACAACAACAACAACAACAACAACAACAACAACAACAACAACAACAACAACAACAACAACAACAGCAGCAGCAGCAACAAGCAGCAGCAGCATCTATAAAAGATTTCAAACAAAGCAACAATAGCCCAGAATTAGCGTAAGTGACGAATTCCATCAAAGGCCTCTGGCAGGCCTCTGTGCCTAATTCAAAGCATCTACAAACACCCCGTTTGAAAGTGGTCTTCCAAAAGCCATGCTAAAATGACGACATTCGCACAATTATGCATGCTCTCATTGCTGCCGTGTGCTTGGAAAACCGGTCTGGTAACACTGTGTCCAGGCATAACCTAACGGGTGCATGGCAGTCATAGTAAACTGAGGAGAGCAACAGGGCGCAGCACGGTATCCGCTAATGACGAACAGGCAAGGCATTGCTAGTAGTAATCTGCTACCTACCTCATCAAGATGCCGCTGGGTTTTCCTGGGCTTGAGTAGCGTATCATCATTGTCATCATCATCACTGTCCTCTTCACTGCCACTGTCACTGTCAGAGACGTCCTTCAGTAATAAAGTGAACGGGAGAGGTAGAAACAGAGAAAGAAAAAGTGTGTGTGTGTGTGTGTGTGTGTGTGTGTGTGTGTGTGTGTGTGTGTGTGTGTGTGTGTGTGTGTGCGTGTGTGTGTGTGTGTGAGTTAGAGAAAGAGAGGGGCATAGAGAGAAAGCGAGAAATAGTGAAAGAGACTTGCTTTGTTATCCAAGAGTACAACATCCCAAAATACAAGTAATCTTGCAGAAAGGCATATGTACTTTTGAAGTACAAGTACTTGCACTGCAAACGAACAAATCAGTACAAGTACAAGTACAATGCCAGAGGTTCTACACTGCGAAGGCAGCAGATATCATCGTTTCTCATTTTCCCAATTTTCCCAATTTTTGAACAATAAATTCAGTGTATTCTGTTAAATGCAGGGTAAATACATTGCACCAGGAAAGAACATAGTGATCAGACCACAACAAGCACTATTCACTAGGGAGAGGTCATACCAGAACTCTACGCAGAAATGGTATATATTGGGACATGTAACTAGCACATGGAGAGCAAGCCAAAACATGCACCTACACACACAGTAGTGTACTGATAATTCCACATGCAGGCATGCATCCCCTAATGAATCAGTAGGGCGTTAGCTCAGAGTGACTAATGAATCAAGAGTTGAAGGCTGTAATGAGAGCTGGCATACATACACGTACACACACACGCACGAACGCACGCACACCATGCATGTACACACACAGGACTCACAAGTGCCTCCTGTCTCACCAGTTTCGGCCGTTCCGCTGAGTGCGCAGGCCTGGCTTCCACCCCACTGGCAGCAGCTGCAGCCTGAGCTTGACGTTTCTTCTCGGCTTTCTGCAGACAGAACACCATCGAATAGTGCACGAGAGACAAATTCATATCACAGCAGTTTAAGACTATCATGGTGCTACCATCAGAATGTTTAAAAAACAAGTACAGTCATCTTCGCTAATAACGACTGCGGATATAATGACAATTCGCGAATAATGACAGAATTCCCATGCCCAGAGCAAAGCCCCATCCAACTGTAATACATATAATGAGACTTCGGGTATAACGACACTTCGCGAATAAGGACACTTTTCTGATGCACCGCCGAGTGTCGTTATAAGCGAAATTGACTGTACTTCTTCTAAAGTAGACCAAACGTATAAAGAAGCAGGTTTGCACCTCTGCATGTCCAAGATTTTTAAGAGCAGCCCTGTCCTCTAAGAAAATCAGTTACTTGACTTCAGAGCTACCTCAGAGTTACTTCAGAGAATGGCCGTGTTTGTCGCTAATTTCTCTTATGTCTCTAAGAGGCACAGAAATACAATGTCTCCATAATCCCATACACATGTACTATGAGTGTATTCACGTGAGTGCCGGCTGTTACATACACGTCCTCTCACAAAGGTGCACTCTGGCTACCTAGATTCACAAAAAGGAAGCAGGCTGCTCCCACACCGGAGCTCGTGCTTTCCCCGCCGACCTGACTTGACACTCGACTGACTCAGGACTGCCATCCACACGAGAAGTCCATCGAACCTTCCACTCGGCAAGCCTGCAAGAAAGCACCACTCGCTGCTCAAAGTCAGGTCGGCGAGAAAAGCGCGAGCTCCAGTGTAGGAGCAATGTACTTCCTTTAAAAAATATTATCGTCGAGGTCGCTACCACTTCGTAGATTCACAAAAATTGAAAAGAAAAAGAAAGTATAATTATGGCAATGGACTGTACAATGGCAGCAGGACTGCAGGAGCCCAACTCACCTCCACTATCCGGACATTAGGCGTCACGCTAAGCCCTAGTGACCTGCAGGCAGTGAACGGAACAAAACAAAGGAAAAAAAGAGCTTTGACTTACAGCAAACAAAGCGAGCCGCACAATGGCAATCTACACACTTGCGCACAAGACACAATCAAAAGCCATTCGATGAGTACCAGTTCAGATAAGTTCAAGCACATTTGTCAATGCGTTTGACACCGCAACAAAGTGACACCACCTTCACTGACAACTCTTCCAAAACGTGCAGTAGCACACAATTGATATACTTGATGGGTCATCAAATCCTCACGTAACTACATGTACTGTAAAAGCAGAAATTTTTGGTGGTGTTATATTTTCGGTAACCTTGGTGCCGACAATTTTTACCGAAAATTAAAGGCACCGAAAATTTCGGTACTACCGGTACTGTATACGTGTAGTACAAGTACACTTACCTGGAAAACGGGTTTTACCGAAAATTTCCCTCCACCGAATCGCCGATTTTGGAGAATACCGAAAATATTACACCACCGAAAATTTCTGCTTTTACAGTAACTACATGTGAAAACTGAAAAGACTCCATGAACAGAGTGCATGCAGGGCTAGGGGAACCCCAATACACTTACGTAGCATACGACTGAAGCGGAATCGAGCTGACGTCGAAGATCTCCTTATTGGGTTGAATATACACGGACTTGACATAACACACAAATGCCTGGCAGAAGAGCACGTGGGCACAGGAAACATATCAGCATCATCAGCACAGCCACAGCCAAATCCTGAAACATATTGCATGCACAGAAGAGTATTCAGGCATTTGGGATAGCTAGGATTTCATGTGCTAAAAGGGCATCTTATGCTATTCGCTTCTGCATACTACTCCAGCAGTGTGCCTACTGGTTATCTGTAATTGCTGTGCGTACAAAGTTCCTGCACATGCGTCCTTTCGCGGCTTCAATCTTGTCCTCATTTCGTTCCACCGCTACTTTTGGAGTTAGTACGGCGTACTGATATTTTTTTGTGTTTGTTTGTGGTGTGTGTTTTATGGTGCTACGTAGGATATGCATGGGATGTCCTACTGCGGTCCTCCTAGATTAAACTACAGCTGCTCACAGATGTAGACATGCATCTGTTTGTCGAGGCCGGTCTACGTGGGGGCATCTCCATGGCGTCGCAGCGGTACGGCAAGGCCAACAACCCAACTATGGACGAGTACAATCCTGCCCAGCCGACAACACACCTGCTGTACCTTGATACCAACAACTTGTATGGTTGGGCTATATGTTAGAGTATGCCGACATCCGAGTTCGCCTGGTGCGACAAGAACCTGTCCGAGATACTGACATACCCTGTAGATTCGAGCACTGGATTCATCGCCGAGTGCGACCTTGAGGTACCCACTTCGCTGCATCACTACTTCAACGATTACCCACTCGCACCGGAAGTGATGAGAACATTCTCAGACAAGCTATCGCCCTACCAACGAGCACTTGTTGAAGAGCTAAAGGTGTCAACCATAGATGGAGTCAAGCCTTGTTCTTGACGAGACTTTAGGGGCAGTTGATAACTGTCGCCATGTATTGCAATCGTGCGCAATGTAGGCTTTCCGAGACACCACTGCTCCAAACCGCATACGCATCGTGAAGTCACTAGGGAGCCATGGTCTGAGAAAAGGGTGCTTCGAGTGCTTCTTACATGCTGATAATTGTGGCGGTCAGAACAAGAACAAGACTAATGTGGCATACTTTACTTGGTGTGTTCTGACTGGCCTCCATGCCCCCACATTACGCTAAGCTTCAGAACAGCTGGGCACACGGGCTGCCTTGTTGACGGTTGCTTCGGTGAGTGGAAGAAGCGATATCGATCAAGTGACTGCTGTATCCTCCCCCGGTTGGCAGAAGTGGTCAGCTCCAGCTCCAGCACAAACAGAGCTCAACTCTTAAGCCAATCATCAGTGACGTGCCATTCCCGGGGATACTGCCTTTCCAGACCGCTTCAAAGCCAGTCCGCGTCATTCACCACATGGTGTTTGGCGCCAGCAAGCCTGGAGGTATTGCGGTCACTCTGGCCAAGAATGCCTGAACGGCGTGGAGAAAGAAATCAACAAACTTGCATCAAGCAAAGAAGCTCTCCTTGCTGCAGGCCTCCCACCTGTGGTGTAGCCTCCTGGTTATGATCCGTACTAGGCCTTTCACACCACGAGAAAAGGTCAGAGTGCAGATGAGCAAACGAACATGAACTTGAGCGCATTCATTGTTGACAAACCTGTCGGCATCAATGACGTGCTTCAAAGCCAGCCCGCGCCATTCACCGCGTGGTGTTTGGCGCCAGCAAGCCTGGAGGCATTGCGTTCACTCTGGTGAAGAATGCCTGAACGGCGTGAAGAAAGAAATCAACAAACTTGCATCAAGCAAAGAAACTCTCCTTGCTGCAGGCCTCCCACCTGTGGTGTAGCCTCCTGGTTATGATCCGTACTAGGCCTTTCACACCACGAGAAAAGGTCAGAGTGCAGATGAGCAAACGAACATGAACTTGAGCGCATTCATTGTTGACAAACCTGTCGGCATCAATGACGTGCTTCAAAGCCAGCCCGCGCCATTCACCGCGTGGTGTTTGGCGCCAGCAAGCCTGGAGGCATTGCGTTCACTCTGGTGAAGAATGCCTGAACGGCGTGAAGAAAGAAATCAACAAACTTGCATCAAGCAAAGAAACTCTCCTTGCTGCAGGCCTCCCACCTGTGGTGTAGCCTCCTGGTTATGATCCGTACTAGGCCTTTCACACCACGAGAAAAGGTCAGAGTGCAGATGAGCAAACGAACATGAACTTGAGCGCATTCATTGTTGACAAACCTGTCGGCATCAATGACGTGCTTCAAAGCCAGCCCGCGCCATTCACCGCGTGGTGTTTGGCGCCAGCAAGCCTGGAGGCATTGCGTTCACTCTGGTGAAGAATGCCTGAACGGCGTGGAGAAAGAAATCAACAAACTTGCATCAAGCAAAGAAGCTCTCCTTGCTGCAGGCCTCCCACCTGTGGTGTAGCCTCCTGGTTATGATCCGCACTAAGCCTTTCACACCACGAGAAAAGGTCAGAGTGCAGATGAGCAAACGAACGTGAACTTGAGCGCATTCATTGTTGACAAACCTGTCGGCATCAATGATGTACCACCCTTGGGATACTTCCTTTCCAGACCGCTTCAAAGCCATCAATACTCGAAATAGAAATCGTCACAAGCTAAAGAATCGATTATTCGAAAAGTTTCGATTTATACTCGATTATGCACACAGTATCTCTTTTAAAAACTGTCACCAGCAAATCCTATATTATATAGGATTTGGTTTTTGGCTAAAGGATTTAGATAAACAACCTACCGTATGTCCGCACCTTTAGGGACCGTCTGTAATTATCAATCTTTTTCACAAAGAGAAAAAGTTTCGTTTATGGGTGGGTGGGTTGAGGAGAGTTTCCTTTTGAAAATTATTGATAGCTGAAACATCAATCTATTCTAGCTGTCAAGTCAATCTATTTTTCGTTGAAGGAGGTGGGGGAGGGTCATAAGTTCGTAACTAAACTTTTTCGTTCCGTGAAAATTATCGATAATGCCGGATGGCCCCTTAAAGCCATGGAGGTATATTCGATTATAAAGCCAGTCTCAGTTATAAAGCCATGGGCTTCATAACTGAAATGCCATTTGAAGTATGGTTCGTAAAAATGAAGGAATAAGTACTATACTGACAAACTTACAGCCCAGCAGGAAGGGTGAACAAGTGGATTTAGATTGAAATTTCTGTGTGGACTTTGACTTTTATGGCATGGTGTAGTGGGCGAGTCATTTTGCACCTAAAATGTCTAGGAAAGCAGCGGTGTTTCGAATATAAGGCCATGGCTTTAAAGGCGCTGACATACGGTATGCAAATTGATGAAATGGGTTTCATGAGGTGTTTGGAACTGTTTTCCATAAACTTCCGTAGGAATAATCATATTTCAAGCCGATCGGCCAATTTTCACAATGAAACTTCCGCTGTAGTACGGTTACAAGCACTAGATGTGCCACCCTGTGGCAGTGCTCCCCAATCAATCACAGGCATCTATTCATGGTATCTGCGTACTTCTTCAGCATACTAAGCATTCAGCTGCATTCTATATTGCTTTCCTTGCCAGTTCTATCATCATCTGTATCCATTACAACACTCTGGATAATGAAGAACACTCAAATCCTATACATGTATATAGGATCATCTGTCAAAACAACTGACATGTCCTCTCTAAAACACCTCTGTAAGTCAAGTGATAATACTGGCACTCTTGAAAACTTCTGAAGAGAACTTACTGATACTGCCCAAACACCTTATAATACAATTTAGGAACACAACTTATCCCGCGCGGAAGCATGATCATGATTATTGGAAAAAAAATCAAAAAATCCTATATATAGGATTAGACAGTGATACATGATCATACACGTATGGTTGTAGATCGACCAACGTGCGAGAAAAATTCTCTTCTCCACAGCATCAACGAAACTTCCTAAGCTGGTTGTGTTTCTCAACGCAATTGTATAGCCGGTGGTAACGCGGACGTGCAAACTTTACTTTCCTTACAGTATCAATTTTAAAATCCCTCATTTTCGCATTTTTTCGCCTATTAAATACTGCTTTTATCTGTGGAAGAAATAATCGATAAATAACGACTACACCATAGCTCAGTGGTTAGAGCATCGCTGGCTACAAGCGAGGGTCCCTGGTTCGAGTCCTGGTGGTGACAGTCAATTTTTTCTTCAGACTTTTCCCGTTTGTCTCTTTCCCTCAAACCAGTTAATATTTTATGACTTGGGGCTCCCCGCGTGCTAGTTTGTACGTGAAGTGCGTGGGTTACAGTGAGGGCTGCGTCCCACCCGCCTGTGTGGATTCACAGGAAGTGTGAGTTACGAAGTCTGAAGAAAATGTTGAACGGCCTCTGCTGGGATGACGACTACACCATAGCTCAGTGGTTTGAGCATCGCTGGCTACAAGCGAGGGTCCCTGGTTCGAGTCCTGGTGGTGACAGTCAATTTTTTCTTCAGACTTTTCCCGTTTGTCTCTTTCCCTCAAACCAGTTAAAATAACCGATAACCGATCAATAAAGGTTTAGGTTATTCGGTAGTCAAAAAGTGTAATCGTTTCACCCCTACAATTTATAATTTATACCAGACAGTGTGTTTTCTCCTAATGGTACTAGCTGTTTTACATGGCACTAGATGCCCCCCCCCCCCCTCCAGACCTCCGAAATATTTCTCTCCTAAATGTTCGCCCCTCTGAATCAGAGCACTCATCGTCCATCTCGTACCTGACTCCACTGTGCAGTGCATACTACGACGCATGTACTTGCACGTGTACTTTACAGACCTCTATTCAAATCGTGCTTCTGTGTCACGGCACGCTTCGAAAATCAGCTTCTATTCGAGTCATGCTTCTATACATGTCATGCAGTTTCCTTGTGTTCGTCTTTGATACTGTAGTGTCGCGTATAAAAGCATGACATGTATAGAAGCATGACTCGAATAGAAGCTGATTTTCGAAGCGTGCCGTGTACATGGTGTGTGTGTGTGTGTACATGGAATACGAGCACATGTTTGCAGACACGTCCATAGCACATGCACACGCACACACATGCACACCCACGAGTGCACACCCACCCACGAGTGCACACACACACACACACACACACACACACACACACACACACACACACACCATGTACACACACACACACACACACACACATCATGTACACACACACACACACACCATGTACACACACACCATGTACACACACACCATGTACACGCACACACCATGTACACACAAGCATACAGGCATACAGGCAAACATTCCCAAGGAGGAGGATTCTCCAGCTTACCCGCCGTGCACATCGCATGATCTCCTGATCAGCAGAACAAAAGCCAGCCAGTTTCTGAGTGATTGGCATCAGCTTCTTCGGATCCGGTCTAAAAGAGAAATGATACGCAAGACATGCATGGAATCAGAAACAATAAACCAGATGGCGAGACAAACTGGCCTTGCACCATGTTTGTTGATGAGCGTGCCATCTCCACATGCCATGAACGATACACTGGCCTAAATCGGCTATCCGGCCATTACAGGAATAGGCCTTCTGAGGAGTTTCACACGGTCATAACTACGGCTTCACAGACCGCACACCCAGTAACGGCAGCACGGAGAAGTAGCATTTCGTAAACGATGTTCTCTTAAACTAGAAAGGCGAGACCATGAACATATTACTAATTTAGTATCCATTACACGTGGACGTTGCAAATATAGTCAGTCTGAATGGCTCTGCATGTGATCCGTGAAATTTACTCCTTCTATTTATGGATGACCAAAATTAATGAAGAAGTCAAACTCTTACAGAATGTACAACACAAGCAAAGATACATAATTTTTATGCTGTACCTGGCTTCGTCAATTGGGACTTTTCTTTTCTCCAGCGCCTTGTGATCAAACAGAAACAGACAAGGGAAACACATGTATAGGTTGAACAATGGTGTAGCAGTGAGGTCAAACGGTAGGCAGGCACAGCATCAGTGGAGAACCCGGAGATGCCCCCCCTCTCTCTCTCTCTCTCTCTCTCTCTCTCCTCTGGCACTATTGAGATGGACTTCTCCATGTGTTGCTAATTCTCATGCACACGCACATACATGCATGTGCACCCCCCCCCCCCCCCCCGCACACACCTGTTTTACTGTTGAGTATCGCATAGGCTTTTGACCTTCTTACTAGACTTGACCACTTAGTTACCTTGAGCATTCCATCCTTTTCAGACGGCGTCAGCATAATCAGTGACTGGCCGTCCTTCTCGTAGCGCGCAGTGCGACCCACGCGGTGTATATACGTGTCAACGTCCTCCGGGCAGTCCATCTGTATCACCCAGTTGACGGCGGGAAAATCGAGGCCACGCGCCGCGATGTCCGTGGCGAGAAGGTACGCGTATTGCTTGTTGCGGAAGTCGTTGTAGATAGCCGAGCGTCGGATTTGCTTCAAGCGCCCGTGCAGCGCCAGCAGTGGTACGGCCGGCCGCAGCTTGCGGAAGCACTCGTATGCAAACTTCACCTACAGACATGGAACAAGAAAGTGGATTAGACGTGGCCCTGAACTACCAACAGATAGGAATTTGTTACTTTTCAACCTACAGTAGAACACAGCTAGTCAGGGGTGGCAGAACCGGTATGGTCGGCCAGGCCATGGACGGACCAACTGTTTGGCTATCAACGAATGTTTACTGCTGAGGACAGTCATGCATACCCGCCATATCATAACTTACACAAACTGTATGAATGACTGTGGTATGGCCGGGCCAATCAAGAACCTGTTCCGCCAGTCCTGCTAGTACGCACACTCTGATAAGATGTACATTTGCTGAGTACAGACAGTATCTAGGATAGGGGTGAATTGCCCAATACTGTAAAACATGTAATTTTAGGTGCATTAAAATTTCGGTGCCAGAAACCTGCCAGGTTTCAGTGTACTAGTAATGTAGAATTAGATGACCAGTGTTCCTTTCACATACAGTGCATACTCTAGTGCCTTTTAGAAGTAATCTACATTTAGGTGCCTGGTTTCTCTACCAAAATCACCGAAATTAAAGTTACACCGAAAATTACATGTTTTACAGTCTTGAAGTAGAGTCATGTAGGTTGGGATAAGAAGTGCCTCCGATACTAGCAACACTTTTCTGTTTTCAGTTTCCATGGTGTATGATCTTATCTGAGTTGCACTGTCCACTTCAAAGCAGAGATGCACCAAGGGTTCAGCTGGACGGTGACCATAATATTAGTAGAGTGCAAAACTTGACACTGTAACACACACACACACACACACACACACACACACACATGTAGTACCTGTTTGCAGCATGACAGGAATACAATAGCCTTGGTGTGCGGATTGGTACGGATAAATGAGTACAACGCCATCAGCTTGTCCTCCACGTTGACCTCCATATACACCTGCCGAGATAATACACAACATGCACATGCACATGCACACAAACACTCACTCACACACACACACACACACACACACACACACGCATGCACACACACATACACACACACACACACACACACACACACACAACCCACACACACAACCCCCCCCCCCCCCACACACACACACACACATGCACACACACATGCACACAGTCACACATGCACACTGTACTTGTTGCTCACTGCCAGAACTGGTCACGTGAGTCCCCCCGGGAGAGGGGAGAGAGACTCAAAAGGAATCTTGGAAAGATGACTCAATTGGTTATTGAACCGCCCAACGGCCGACACCCCCTGAAATCCCCAAAACTCTGGGTGGACTTGAAAATGATCCCACTTATGGGCTCACCACACCTCAGTAAGTGGGTGAGGACAAGGTGCAGAAAAAGGATTGACGGCATCAGGTATCCGTCCCGGGATCCAACTGCAGTTGCCCCTGCCCCCAGTGAAGGTAATATTTGCTACTAGTGTGAGTGGCTAAATCAGAGTGCACACACATGCACACACACACACACACACACACACACACACACACACACACACACACACACACACACACACACACATGCACACACACATACCATACAGCAGCAGTTGCGAAAGGGAATCAACACAGGTAAGAGGACTACAGGAACATACAGAAGTTGGGTAAACAATAACCAACTACCTATAGCTGGGGGTCAAAACATACTTAACGTTTGAGTTGACCAGTAAATGGCAGTAATAGTATAAGAACAGTCAAAGTGCTTACCTGTGTCAGATTCTTAGGTGTGCTGTGCTGAGCAGCTTCATCCACTGCAACATACTCCGGATCCTATTATTACACACGCGCGCACACACACACACACACACACACACACACACACACACACACACACACACACACACACACACACACATGCGCATGCACACAGAACAGAAGACAAGGAGAACACCAAGAACAATGATCAGCGTGTGGCGTGGATGTGGTAATTCGCACACATTCACACAAGATACAAGCACAATTATTGCTGGCACCCTCCTACGTAAATCCTCTGGAGGACAATTACGCCATCTACACGCCATCTACTAGTACATGACAGAGAATTCCAAACGAAAGTATTTTGAAGTAAAAGCATTAAACACCCCCCCCCCCCTCCCCTCGCGTGATCACGAGCGTCCACATGTACCCTCACACAATAACCACTCAACCGTCCTAGCAGGGAAAGGGGAGACGAAGGAAGAAAAAACCTGGCGTTCTGCAAGCTACAACAGTAAGAAGTGCCGGTTGTGTAAGGCCGCTCGACCATGAGACCTTCCGGATGATGCTGTGTTTCCAGCATGCATCTTTCCCTGCTGCTACGCCTACGCATACCTGTATACGGTACGCCTACCGAGCTGCCTGACCCCACAGGCTTCCCTGATGTGACCCGGGGTGTGGCCCAAGCGCCTGTGTTGCTTCCGTGATCCAAATGTGAATGCGACCTTGCAGGTCGCGCCCCAGGCTGCCGCGTACGTGACCAGCCTGGGGCTGACCCTGCCGCCTTGAGCGCTTGTCACAACTGGGATCCCGTAGGCAACACCCAGTGCTGCCGAATACGCCGCTGGCCAGAGGGCAACCCCCTAATTCCATGCCGCGCGGCAGGGCGCCCAGCTTAGGTCACACGCGGCAGCGGCATGACCTGGGCGTGGTGAGGGTTGGTGATAACTACAGTTTCATCCTCCGGATTACATTCTACATCAACATGAGCTGACAAGCTGTCCTACTAGTACTACAGAAAGACCACAGAAACCGTACCGTTAAACTCAAGTTGGCCAGGCGGCGGACAGATCTGCAGGACGGAGAAAGAACACGAGAAGAAATGTACACATCATGACCTGCAGGTAGATAACAGAGTTTGTTGGTCCTCCGCCTTGTGACATGCTGTCAACTAACAACATGTTTTCAACAAAACAAGCTTTATTTAATACCATGACAGAGCTTGCGTAGTGCCACGGAATGATAACCCCAGAATGTGCCAGCCAAACGCACATGATGACATGAAAAGTAGTGCTGAAACGATCATATCGATTACTCGTTACTTACTCGATAAGAAATAGATCGAACGGTTATTTCAATTTTATCGGCTAAACGAGTAGAAGGTACTTACGCTCGGTGCGGGATTTCCCCCCTTTTGGGGGTCACACAAAGCATGCATGCATCAAAAGTGTTGCGAGTCCGACACGAATATGTACATGACTGTACACTTGCAACCAGGGAGTAGTAAAATTTAAAAAAAAGTATTTTACTACTCCCTGCTTGCAGCATCGATGTACGTGTAAAGACTAGCGCGATCTGAGAAACATCGACGCGATCACCGTTGCCGTCTTTTGAGCTGACTACTTTTCTTACATCCAGCATGCAGAACGGGCAGGTATGTGTCTACACTAGCTGCAGGGGCTGGAGTTCCCTCCACGTGCGAGTAGTTTTGAGCTAAAGACAGTAAAGTGGTATTCAGTTTCATGTTTTCCGTTCTGTCGACGGTTCCCGAACCAGTTTGCTCGACGACGAGCTAGGCCTGGCGTCTGGGCCTATTTTGAGCGTAGACAGGAAAAGCAACTAGTTACTTGTTGGTGCGCCTCAAGTCAGCTCATCCGTCGAAATTCGCCGATCTGCACCCCGGGCCGGCTTCTCTGACTTCATCATCGGAGTCAGCGAAGTCACAGGCGAAGGGCACCATCAGCTCTTGGGTTGCAACCAGTGAGTTGCCTCTGTCTTGTCTGTATTTGTCTCAGTGGTCAGGCTGAACAGCTGACAGACTTGTTCGGATCATCAGATCTATGCGACCACTTTCCATCGCTGGCGATGTTGGATTCAGAATTTTTTTGAAATTCGCAGAATGTACATGTACTGATGTAGTTACATTAATAATCGTTTAGCCGATAAGCCGATCGTTATGGTATCAGCTAAGCCACTAAGGAAAAAACCTAATCGTTTCAGCACTAATGAAAAGGTACTCTTTTGTTTACAGACTACCGTACTGGCAATATATGTTGCCGCGTAACGCGTAACGCAGGGGGGTGCGGCGTAACGCGCGACCAGGCTAGTGCGACAAATTTTCGTTGCGTTCGTAACGCGCGTCCGGCGGGGTGCGGCGATCTTTTCATTGCAGTTTGCAAAAAATGATGCGGCAATAGCAAAAAATGATGCGGCAATAGCAAAAAAAGGACTGCGGCAATAGCAAAAAAAGGACTGCGGCAATAGCAAAAAAAGGACTGCGGCAATATAGAAACCTGTGTAACGGCTCCTGTGCGACTTTGCATGTAACGCCCTGCGTGCGGCAAACATGTGCCAATGTAACGCTTCATGGCCTCACTGCGACCAGATATATTGCCAGTACGGTACTTGGAAATACTCGTCACGAGGCCATGGTCACTTCTGGAGGGCACCAGGGCATGGTTAACAATAGCGAACAGTACAGACTCAGGCACCAGGCCATGGTTAACAATAGCGAACAGTACAGACTCAGGTGCAACAAGGCCTATTAAATGTGGCGTGTTAGGTTCACATGTACACACAGCAGAACTCACTGAGTACATACTCTGATAAGACATGCACTCTTGCTTAGTACGGACATTGTCCGGAGCACGGGTGTCTTGATCAATACTGAAGTATGTTAGGATAAGAATCACCTCAGATACGAAGTACTAGTACACTTTACTGCTGCCCATGTGGGTACGTCTTATCACTGAGTTCCACTGTATATAATATGGGGCATTGGGAGGGCATTTCATATGTTCATGCTCAAACTCACTTAGTCTGCGTAGCGGAGAACAACATAGTCTGCCTCTCAGTCGGCAGGTTATCAACCAATGCATTCACGGTGGTTGAAAAGCCCATGTCCAGGATCCGATCAGCCTCGTCCAATACTGCACATATCAACATACAGGGGTCCAAGCCGAACGCTCATAGTACAGTGGTTCAAAACTCACGCGCGTGCACACACACACACACACACACACCTACACACGCACATGCATGCACGAGTGTGCACACACGCACACATGCTCATCGCCGAAGCAATGATCGCAAAAAAGCAATGTCAGGCGTAGCAACAGGTACTAGGATTACATCATTCTACAGCTTGCAAGGCTAAGGAATTGATCGCCATGGTTTAGCCTGGTACTGTACTACACAGCTGCTTGAAGTGGCTTTTCTGGCCAGTGAGGTCCTATTTTGGATGTCCTTTTGACGCACGCACGAACGCACACACCACCGCCACATACTTGGATATGTACTGACTGTGATGGTAACCACTCAGGAGAATGAGAAAATGGATGAACACCCACACACGCCCACACACACCCACACACACGCCCACACACACACACACACACACACCCACACCCACACCCACACACACACTACTACTACTACAAAGTACACACTAAGTACCGCAATGTCGCATATAACTGCCGGGATTATTCCTGTAGACGCCGATGTCAGGGCTAGGCTTCTACTTCGAAGTATTCTAATCAGCTATTTCTATGTACTTCAGTATGTGCACACTAAAAGCAGGCCTATGTGCGGAGAGTGCATGTTGAAACAAGGCGTCTGTATGAGGCAGGCTTCACAAGACACTGTGGTGCATGTACTTTATCGCTCACCGAGCACTTGCAAGCTATCACAGCGGAAGTCTGGCGTTTCGTCCATATGCTGCAAGAGACGTCCGGGTGTGCACACAATGATGTTCGTGTTGGTAATGCGCTTGCCCTCCTCAGCAAAATCCTGGACACGGCACACAACATACGATGGAACAAAGCAAATTAATCATCCTGATAGCAGTGGGCAAGTCTCGTCAAGTGCAGCAAACGTCTTAGCTGTGGCATTGGAGGTTTGGTGTAGAAAGGGACTGTCAGCTACCAAAGAGTACACTTGAAGGGCGCCTACAGCTACCTCCTACCATCCCAAACTGTGGCAACAGAGAGCCCCCGGTGCAGGGCACTGTCCGGGGCCTCTGCTGCTTAGCCTGCCCGTACAGTGCATGTCAGACAGTCTACTACACTCCACAGGGTCTGTGTCAACGACACCAGACTGTGGCGCCTCAACTAAATTTGCCACTACATCATTACAGCATGACATCAAGCTTTCTATGCCGGGTCCTCTCCGCCAAGGATCTGTTTCTACCCCCCCCCCCCCCCCCTCAACACACAAACAAGAAGACACAGTTCCTATATTTTGCAGATATAGCAGGCCAATAAACCCGTACACCTGATGGCCATGGGCACAACGGTAGACTACTGCAGCCAGTGCAGCCAGTGCAAATATGTGGGTGCCATCATTGATATTCGATATTATAAAGCACCTGACTAGAGGGATCCTGTGGATGCATTGTGAACAGAAGTAACAAAACCGCCAAATAACTGGCTATGGAAAGAACACGAGAGGGACATAGAGAGATAGATAGTAGATGGATGGATAGACAGACAGACAGAGAGAGAGAGAAAGATAGATAGAGAGAGAGAGAGAGAGAGAGAGAGAGAGAGAGAGAGAGAGAGAGAGAGAGAGAGAGAGAGAGAGAGAGAGAGAGAGAGAGAGAGAGAGAGAGAGAGAGAGAAAGAAAGAGAGAGAGAGAGAGAGAGAGAGAGAGAGAGAGAGAGAGAGAGAAAGAGAAGCCTAGTTCACATTCGACGGGGCGCGACGGGACGCGACGTAAGGATCGACGGGACGGTCTGACGGCGTCCAATGTGAACACCAGGAACGGGAACGCAACCGTACTACCGTACAGATCGGGAAGCGACGGGAAGAGTTGGATCGATCCAACTTTTCATACCGTAGACGGGCGTAGACGGGGACGCAAGCGTACAAAACGGCTGCAATTCGAGTGTGAACGGAGACGGCGTCGTGCGCCGACTGCTCCCGATTCGTACTTGGACATTTTTAGCATTTCGAACACTGCGCTTCCCATGATAACTCACAGAATGGCTAGCACGACTTGAGTTGAATTTTAGCAACATAAGATCTCATGTCACTTATTGTATTTAGGGATAGTTCAGAAGCGTGACAGACGAACTATTCTATCATTTCCTGGGGCTATTATTTGAATGCCACAACTTTCAGGGCTAATTTTTTGGTCTTCACGAAAAACTGGTATTGTGAACTTGATTCCGCTTCTTTCAAGGAGAAATTATTGAAAAGAAGTCTCGAAAAACGAGAAATTAGGTCCAAAAGTCACCCCGTCACGGACCGTGCCTTATGACTCGCGCCGTTCGACGGTGAACGTCGCAACGACTGCTGCATGTCGTGTCGTACGAATCGTACAGGATTTACAGCTCACCCCAGCCCTCCCGACAAGCCCTTACGTCCCGTACCGTCGGCGTTGCGTCGAATGTGAACTAGGCTAGAGAGAGAGAGAGAGAGAGAGAGAGAGAGAGAGAGAGAGAGACCGGAACATACCATTCCTCCAGTCACCATGCCCGCATTCATGTGTTCATGGAAAAATCCAACTTTCCTCAGCACCTGAAAAATCTGATATGCCTACAAAAACAAAGACAGAACCAATACACCCAGCACCACACACACACAGAAAAAGAATTGCTATCATGTTACATGCAGTATCACAAGTGCCCAGCATCAATTTCCTGCTAGCACTGAAAAACTGAATTAGCTGAAATGGACTGTGAGAGTGAAAAATTAGTAAGAAACACATGAAAAATCACACATCACACTAAATCACACATCACGCTAAATCACACAGAATCAAACAATCACACATGTAACGGTTATACTGTACAATGTTGACAGAATGAGACCGCATTAGCTACTGTGCCACAACCTGCAGCAGAGGCAGCAGTATTCATATCATCATTGGTCCGTGCGTATATTTAAAACCAAAACACCTTCTAGTAGCAGCAGAAATAACACTAACATCATCACAAGAAATAGCAGCAGCGGTAGCGATAGCAGTAGCACCACCACCACCACCACCATCACTACCACCACCACTACCGCCACAAGCAGCAGCAGCACCACCACCAATACCACCACAAGCAGCAGCAGCAGCAGCAGCACCACCACCACTACAAGCAGCAACAGCACCACCACCACTACAAGCAGCAACAGCACCACCACCACCACAAGCAGCAGCAGCAGCACCACCACTACCACCACAAGCAGCAGCAGCAGCAGCAGCAGCACCACCACCACTACCACCACAAGCAGCAGCAGCAGCACCACCACCACCACCACTACCACCACAAGCAGCAGCAGCAGCACCACTGCCACCACAAGCAGCAGCAGCACCACCACCACCACCACAAGCAGCAGCAGCACCACTGCCACCACAAGCAGCAGCAGCAGCACCACCACCACCACAAGCAGCAGGAGCAGCAGCACCACCACCACCACAAGCAGCAGCAGCAGCACCACCACCACTGCCACCACAAGCAGCAGCAGCAGCAGCACCACCACCACCACCAACAACAACAGCAGCAGCAGCAGCAAACACAACAGCAACACCCAGTAGCAGCAGCAGCAACAATAGCAGTGCCAACAACTCACCAGTTCACGTGTGGGTGTAATGATCAGTGCTCCAAGACCGTCACTTCTGGACCATTTCTCGCGCCAAAGCCTCTCCAGGATCTAGACATCAACCAGGCCATGAAAACAATACTTCACGCTGACATATTATCATTTAATATCACACTATATCAGAGAAGCATTTGATATACAATGTGAAATTTCAGATTTACTAAGATATATATTTGTAAGAAGAAGACTTCAAGAGTAATTGACGTACAGTCAGGGGTTGCGGGAATAAAGTACTTGTAGTGTTATAAGACTTTTTTAAAGAGACAGACAGAACGACAGACAAAGACAGGCAAACAAATAAGCAGAGAAACGGACGCGAAAGTAGACAGGTGGACAGCGTAGCGTCATGCAGTTGGAACGGAGCTAGGATGTTCTTGAGAGGAAGAAGTAACGACTAAACATACCGGGATGAGAAACGCCAGCGTCTTGCCGGAGCCTGTTTTCGACGCACCAAGGACATCCCTGCCCTGGAGGCCAAGGCGGAGCGACGCTCTCTGAATGGCAGTTGGTATTGCATAACCGGACCGCCGCAAACCTAGATAGAAAGCCAAGTAGATACAGAGTACAGACAAAATGAAATGGCGGCACAGTGAATAGCGAAAGTTACTGCCTTCGGCCCTTGGAAGAGGAATCTATGACAGACTTTGCCATTACGCGAACATCATCGGGCTATAATGAATGGTAAAGGGACTACTTGTAGGAAGAAGGTGGAAAAATTCCCAATGTCTGCATGTGATGTCATGAACATCTTACAAAAGGAGGCCATCATTCTAAAATCCTGAGGTCAAAAATAAAAGATGGATAGACAGCGTACAAAACCCAATAACATGTATTTTAGGATGCTCCTGGAGAACAATATCATGCAAATGCAACTATGCATGCCCAGTCAGTTGCCCAAGTATCATGGGTGCAGAAACCCCTTTTGCCTCAAAGCACTACCCTGTTCTCCACTTTGTCATCCTCCCCCTCTCAAGAATGCAGTTGTGGCTGCCAACATGCAGACGGTGAACAATCTAAGTTAGACACGAAAAGGGACCTCGTAGTGCACCTACCCTTTTGAGTCCGTGTTGAGAGTGGAAAGTCAGTGAATTTGGAAAACAGAGAGTCATCTGTTGGCTGAAGCACAGAGAAGAGAAGATACAGTCTTGTGAATGACGTAAAAGTAATCGTTAGGTTACAACCACGCTGGGTACAAATTCACAACGTACAAATAGCGTCACAGTGAAAACCAATAAGGCAACGCGTGGGAAACGCAAACATGCTGTGTAGCTTTCTAGCAACTCCAGCACCCCTGTCTCTAGTAAGCCTCACTTTGTCGCTTTCTCACTCCCAGTCCAGCTTGCAGCTAATTCCCTGATCACCATGTAGCTGTCTCCCCCTTTTTTTTTGGTCAGACCTGTGCTGGTCTGAACCATCGTGTCACAATTTGTGTGTTATAGTATAGTGCTATATGGCTAAGAGTATTAAAGCATTCTTAACCCTTTATTACCGGATTACTTGCACAGCATGCACCAGGATTACGAATTTCAGCACAATTTCCAACTTCACCAGGTCATAACTTTGGTCTCCTTCACTTGATTTTCACAATCTAGGGCTCGTGGGAAAGCTCTTGGCGAGAGCAACGCCAGGGTACCAAGCTCCATTTTCCAGTCGCCACAGATCAGGCGCAGTAACATAGCAAAGTCGTCTCCAAGCCCGATATGCAAGCAAATTCGTCCCACCAACGCCATTCCACTCTCCTTCATCGCAGAACGCTCAAATTTTTTTGAGACGATTCAAACTTCAGCTGACGTCATTATCATGTGCTTAGTCGCTCAAAGAGCGCACGAAATGGGATTTTCCCAAAAAAAATGGCGAAGTGATCGATCAAAAAATTGAATTTGCCGAGGTGAGAATACGGCGCGCGATATCTCTGGTGTCCGACATCGTAACTCTTCGGCGATTGTTGCATTGGATAGCTTGGAGTTTCCGCTACCAAATAGACCTTTCGATTGTTGAATTCGCACAAGAAATGATCGAGTTACGAAGATATTACTGGCCTGCAGACTTTCGATCATATATGATCGAAAGTCTGCAGGCCGGTAATAAAGGGTTAACATCCTGGACGAGTGTTTTCTTGTAGTCAACCGACATAATTATATCGAGTAGTATTCAGTGACGACTGAGGAATGAAATTGATCGAAGAGGAGTGCGAAGGAGCTAACTGACAGCACTTCCAAACAGAGAACTGAAGACCGTTGATACTGGCTATCAAAGTACAAACGGATAGAGTGTGTTGGAGTGCTGCAGCCGCCAGGAAGACTCCACATCAGCAGTAAACGAGGATACTGGTCCAGATTACGGCAGTGAATAATCGGTGTCATCATCGAGCATGGCGGGTACTGTATTTTTTTTCAGGATCGGAACAAATGTGCAAGCCGCCACTTCAGGCAAGACGATAGTATGTTACCGCACATGTTAACTGTCACTGATGCCAGCGGCCATCATTGATTTTGAAGAAGAACAAATCCACCAAATATATTTACCAACCCCACGATCTTGCAAAAATTTCCCAGGGACCCTTGTTGGTTCGCACACTACATTTACATGTCACACTTCTTGACAGCCACACTGGCCACATAAGATAAGTAGCATAACCTCAACAAAATGTAACATTGTCATTATCCACATTTATCTAGGATAGAATGATGCAAAATGGATTCGTGACAAAATAACTGGTATAATATTAATAATACCAAGAGTATATAAATCCCTACGGGGGGGGGGTTATACTCTTGATAATACTAGTAGTTCTTCATTGTGGGAAACTGCGATAGACACCATGTAACCTCTTTCATTTGGGTGGTTTAGACCGTTATGGGATCTCTATAACGTATACGGTTCTCACTGTTGAATTGTGCTCTGCATGTTCCATTTCTTGGCGTATAACAGTTCTCTTGAATAAAAAAAGTCTTACCATTTCATCGATTTTCTTGAGAATTGAGGCGAGCTCGCTGTCCTCGCTCTGAGCCGCAGAGCGGTGAAACTTCTTGCGCTTCGGCATCACAATTCATATCAGTGGAATACCTAAAGTTATCTGGACTGACTGCTACTAGAACTGGCTGCGGAGACGAGAACCATCAAACTTCAAAGGCATCATTCTTGTTCTCAACACAATGGAAAATGGATGGATTTTTGTGACATTTTGAACTGAAAAATTAATGATTTTGATGCTACACGTACGTATACGCGAATGACTGTTGGGACATTCTTCCAAAACATGACGTCACAGAATTCGTAAAAAAAAGACAACTTTTGTCGCAAGCGGCTAGCCTGTCGCAAGCGCGAGACTCATCATGGGCGCGCTCGAGCTGCGAAGCGCGACACACGAGCGCGACCCAAACTGTGTCACGTGTGTATCGAATCTGACCGTCATGGGGCTGTTAAGTGTGACGTCACGGCTCCTTCGATACGCATAGCAACGGAGAGCACTGGGGACAAACAAAAGTCGCGTCCTCTGGATGGAACCAGATGTCAAGGGCAACAGCATCTAAATGACTGGAGAGACAGTTGTTTTTCTTTGCTTTTTCTTCAAGCGATTGTTGTCGCTCTTTACTCCTTGTTCTTTCCTCTACAAAACTCCTGTAGTCGTCGAGTGCCTTCATGATGGCTGTGAAATTGGCTGCCCACAGTAAAACTCCGTGTTTGAGAGTGCTTTGAAGATGTTTCGCGTCCTGATGGATCAAAGTATGAGCGCTCCTTGTGGATTCGATTATATATAGGTGAGTTGTTCAAGAAATCAGTGTCTTCTTTCTGTCTCTGGCCTCACGCTGGCACAATATCAGCCTCTATATCCATGACAGCTCGTACCTCCCGTAAACTGCATGACTTAGATATATTTTCGCCCTCCGTGGTGATTGAAGACACATGGAAGAATTTATTATGTTCAGAATGATGTCCTAAGAATATAAAATAAAATAATTCTAGGGAATTGTCATAGGGTATTTTTGGAAGAATGGAGACAGAGAGAGAGAGCACTGTTTGAAGTGTTTGTCTCACTGTAATTACTCCAGATTATTGAATGTTGTATGATCTACTCTATATTTTCCATAATGTTTTTTCCTGATTTGCAGGATCTCTTCTTTTGCTGTTTGCGTGTTTACAGGAAGTGGCTGTCTGGTGTAACTGCACCAGATCCTGGGGAAATTAAGTCAGATGCAGAGGCAGGGTCGTCCAGTGATGCAACACTGCCGTTCTGTGTGCAACGTGACGCTAATACCCCCGGCGAAAACACAAAAAAGACAAACACGTGAAAAGACTACAGTATTGACCGTTCTGCTAATAAATGCAGGACTGCTCCGACAGTCGATAATCGAAACACAGAGCACCAGCATGATGTTTTCATATTGGGAACCACACAACAGCTCAATTCTCAAGCCCAAAAATTGATGAATACAAATACAGAGCGACGCAACAAGAGGTCATCCGGCAACCAAACAAACCTGGGTCTAATGCACTGAATAGTCCTGAAATACGCAGGCCAGACAAAGCAGTGCAAGCACATAATGTTACAAGGTACATGCATTGCAGAACAAAGTGTAACCAAAGATACACAGGGTTATAGCTGCACACTTGTGCATGTGCTCGCTCAGCCCAAGAACACACGATCATGATGATAGAAACAATCCGGGGGAAACACGCTAACACCAAAGTAAGCGTCAACACGTAAATAGTGCAGCTCTGAAAAAATTACATTGACATGAACATTGGTGTGTCGAGTAGTATCAGGCTTGAATAATCATCCAACCAAGACTTCATCAGGTCCCAGACGCTGAGATCGCACGCCGAATGTGAAGTGCATCTAGCCTTGAACCTGTCGCACAAGGCACACATATATGGCAAAATGACATCCACTCTGATTATTTCCAGAGGCCAATCATGACAGAACACAGAAATGAAACCACGGGCTCAACCAAGTAAACGCAAAGGAAGTTAGTCAAAATAATCCATGCAGTGCTCTTTTAATTGCAGCGCTGATTGCAGTGTTGCGTCATAGCCCGATACCCGCTGAGCACAGACACAACTCCATTCGTCAGGGGCAAGACATAGTCTTTTGGAATAAAGTCATAAAGTACAGCGTTCCAATGACATTATGGACACCTCGTGTAAATGCATGGTCTGTTCATCTGGCCGACTCGGCCACGCATGAGAGTGTGTGCATGTACATGCGCGCGCTTGCGCGCGCGCGCACACACACACACACACCATGTATTCGGTGCGTATGGTGTACCAGTTGCGGGACAATGAAGGTGGAATCATTATCATGATGTTACATGTACACAAGAGTACATAACCCCCCAGAGTGTGCAACGCCTGATCCAGCTCTGCATAGGGTCTTGGTCGAGCGGAATCGGATCTTTGCGTCATAATACCGTACACATCTGAGGGGAACCTGGGGAGTCGCGGGTACTCTTGGATCAAAAACAATGGTGCCCTACCTCGAGACCGGCCTTGCGCTGGTGTGGAGTGTACGCATGACATCAGAAGATCCGATTCCGCTCGACCAAGACCCTATGCAGAGCTGGATCGGCGTTGCACACTCTGGGGGGTTATGTACTCTTGATGTACATCTACAGTGTATGTTTGAGTGTAAAGTAAATTTTATTTTATTGGACATTTCTTCGACACAACTAATTACTTACTTCACATGTTCGCATTTCTCATAATCGATCCACCTGTACTCCGTATCAGTCGAGGAAAAATTCTCCCAGATATATACTAGTCACCACAGCCATGTGATGACATTGGGATGGGTCCCAAGCACGATTGCACTCTCCAGTTACAATATAATTTATTTGTCCAGATTATCTGTGAAGACAAAATGCAATGCATAGCACCAATCGATGGATGAAGAGAGAGTTTGTAAATACCCATATCTTTCCACTTGTTCAGGAGCTTACCTTTTGGAGTTCACATCGTTTACACGATCTCTCATGCTGTCTTGCACCTTGGTTTTGTTGACCATGGATACGCCAACCCAGAAAACATTCTACAGGAGCTACTAAAGCAGAGCGTTTTTCACGCTCGATCTCGGCGATCTACCTTGTCACGCCAATAAAATCCTCCATGACACTGGCTACAGTCACAAGAGACGTCTCAGTAAGGTAATGAGCACGACAACATCGTCGAGATCAAGGACAAAGAGAAAACAAAACACTCACTGAAAACAGCAAAGAAGAAACGAAGAAATGTACACGATTCCTATATGTTGCCACTGACAACTGGGTCGGTGGAGACGACGCTACTTTTGTTTGTCCCCAGTGGGATCGTTGTTATGCGTATCGAAGGAACTGTGACGTCATCACTTAACAGCCCCATTAAGATCACCTTCGATTATTTATTTTCGTTCTACTCGACAATTCCAAAACTCAGTGCCATTGGCTTTAGCTTTGCCCTTGAACTTGAAATCTCGTGCCTTATTCTTTCCTGGGGACTGGTGTTGGATATTGAACGGGCGGAGTTACCGCCGGGATGATGGATGCAGGAGATGATGGCCTAAACTTGGCTGCGCGTATTCTCATTTTCGCGTGGCCTGCCACTAGTGTTTCGCAGATTCACAAAGGGTGTCACAGGCATAGCTGGAGGAAGAAAGGTGAGAGAATCGGTTGCACAGTGCAGATCAACCCAGCCATTTGGTTGTTTTAATTTTACTTCGCACAGTCAAACGTTAAACGGGATGACCACCCAATAAAATTTCCGAACGTGACATTTTTTTAATTTATTGATTTTCCCGCATTATACCACAGATTGTTGTTCAGGTTATTTCGCTTCATTTTTTGAGGTATGAATTCCTTAACTGCAGACTCGACATGCAAGCTCCATACTGACCAGGCTGTGCCAACATCAGGTCACGGCTTGTTTGACTTTGTCCGTTCAAGTAGGCCGTGTTTGCATAGATATTCTGATGGTGTCAAAGACAGTTAAAGATTTTGTTGGTTGTGTGTCGGGGGTATTGTCCCCGCCGAAACTGAATGCAAGTTTAAGAAAGACTAGGTCTAGTGAGTTATGATCAGAAGTGTCCTGTGGGTCTAGCCCTCAGCCCCTCTGCGGCAAGCAGTAAACTATATTTACACAAAAAGCGCAAAACAAGACTTGATTTTTTACGCGGCTCTTTTCACCATGATAATTATTGTACACGTGTTTTGAAAATTTGAAATACTCATGGCAACTGGTGGGTGAATCATTCAAAAATGCAAACGTGCCCGCTGTTGAGTGCAGCCATGTGAATCCACACAGTCACTTTTCTCGTAAATCACTCGCCGTAAAACGTGCAAGTGGCTGTCGTGTGAATCGCCTATAACTGACTGTCTGCTGTTGTCGAAGTATTTTCACACCAAGGTTCAACTCGAGTTCAACTCGAGTGACAGGACTGCACCCAAAAAAGGTCAAACAGGCTTGTAAGTTGTACCCTGCAGGCACGGTGACCAGGTGACTGGTGTACGCGGGAGCACGTGACCGCTTGTTCAACCATGTTCGATTGGGAATAAAGGAGGAACGCTGCATCGCAGCCTTTTTGGACCAAAACCAGTCGACTCAGCGTCTAAAAGACTAGAACATATGGGCCAATGGCGGTCATCCGTGCTTTTATAAGAACGACATGGCGTTTTTAGTGACATTTTGCATACAAATCCCCATCTAGTAGGGCGCAGTCACTCAGTTTCGGTGGAAGTGCGCGAGTTCGATTGGGAATAAAGGAGGAAGGGAGCGTCTCAGCTTCCTCGGACCAAGACTATTCGACTCAGTACCCCGAAGACTGCAACTGGTGAAAATGTGATTTTAGGGTATACTTCCCCTTTAACAGTGCGCTTTGTGTGCATGTGTATACTGGGGTTACTATGATGGGGGTCTGGGGGCAAAAAGCCCCCAGATGATGCATTTTATTTTTTCATCCTACTGATATTTGGCCAAAATGATGTGGCAACACTGGTGTGTGTATGTTTGTTCGTTGACAGGCTGGATTCATGCAGTTCACACTCCTGTGGATTCGCTAGTGTTTGGTGGAAACTTTCTGCACAGTTTCAACATAAGCGGTCAGCTTGCCGTGGCGGACATTGAAGAAACTACTAAGGTACGTGAGCTGTGGTGTGCATGTCTGTGATATCTTCTACAACTCTACCACGGCAATGCCTTGTGTGAGCTTTCCAAGGCTTGGAGTTGTGCATGAAGGTTTCTGTTTTGTTATGCTCCTACGTCGTTCATCGATGTTGCCGTAGAACTGTGTGTGTATGTGTCTCTGTCTCTCTCTGCCTCTCTCTGTCTCTGTCTCTCTCTCTGTTTCTCTCTCTCTCTCTCTCTCTCTCTCTCTCTCTCTCTCTCTCTCTCCCTCTCCCCCCCTCTCTCCATCTCTCTCTCTCCATCTCTCTCTCTATCTCCGTATACTTCACTTTGTTCCACTATGACTCCCTTCGTGTCTTATCATGCAGGGTTCCGCAGAAGTTCCGCTTTCCCTTCTTCACGCAGCTCATGTGGTACGCACTGGACAAGTACGTGCACTCTCTGCGTTACTACCTGGAACAGTTTCACGGGTACAAGCCTGATGACAGTACCACCATCACACCCACTGGCACCATCGTCATGGACGCCATAGATACTGTGGACAACACCATCGACATTGCAATGGACACCACCATTGACACTGCCATGGACACAAGTACTAGCGGCAAGGAGAAAGAAGAGAGCAATACTTGCCACACTGCTACAACTACTGCTGATGCTACCGAGCCGAGTGATGCGAAGTGTGAGACGGAGAGCGTTGCAACACCAGAGCCACCTGTTGCCGACGCTACCCCGGCAAAGTCCACACGCGTTGAGAAAGCGCACGTTTCCGACAGCCCGTCCTCCGCTAGTCCCAGAATGCGGCGTCGCAAGGCTGCAATCGCCGCGGCCGCTGCCATTTCCATCACCGTGGCAACACCGACGCGCGCCTCCTCAGCCGCCTCCGCCAGCTCCAGCCCGACACCAACGCGTGCAGCAGCAGACAGCGCAGCCGCCGTAGCCAGCTCCAGCCCTACCCCATCGCGTGCCGCCTCCACCCCGTCGTCATCGCTGGTGGTGCGTACCAGTGCTGAGTCGTCACCCAGTGCACTGACGGATGAGACGCGGCCGGATCATCCTTGCATCTCCACCAACTCCAGTGCCAGTAAGTTTGGTGGAAAGCTGCGCTGATATAGTAAAATAATATTATACAATCATGTACATTCGTGTTGATGCTTTCTTATCTGATCTTAATATGATAAAAAAAAGTTTAAAAAAGTATAATAATTATTATCATGTGCGTTCCGGAAGGGAACTCACGACGGCCGCTAACATCCGGTAAACCCTAATAACACCCGGTACACCCTAATAACACCCGGTAAACCCTAACATCACCCGGTAAACCCTAATAACACCCGGTAAACCCTAATAAAAAATTAAAAAAAAAAAAAAAAAATTTCACGGTTCGCGTGAGACTCGGCCAAAGGCCCAGTTTTCCGCATCCGCAGGAACGCCACCACCCTCTTGGATCAAGGCGCAGATGCAGCTCCTAAGCGGAAAAATAAAAATAAATAAAAAATTCGACGGATCCCTGTACAACATATGCGGTGTTTATGTTTGTGCCATCATCAACAATAATAGAAAACAGGATCACTGCACTTCGGAGTATCCAAACATAAATATGTAGTTATCCTGTCAAGCAAGATTACATAACCCCATGTACTCTTGTGTCAAAGCACAGGATCTTATTCCTACAAAGGAAGAGGCTGCACAGTACACGTATTATCACAATTTATCAGACGTATTCGGAACCTGTGGTGGACAAAGCCCCATTAGACCATGTACAGACTAGTACAAAGAAAAACGTGTGATGCGTTGATTCGCCGTACACATGTCGTAATAATCACTGGTGCGTGGAACATTGCATCATAAAAAATGACGTCAACTTGAAATTCTGTCGGGACAGCAGGGTGTGTGGGAGTTTCACACTCTTCGGGGGTTATACTCTAGTTTCAGAAATTTTAGATGCTCAGTATTTTTCGGTATGAGGGCAAAAAGGCCAGGTTAGGCGAACAGAAATGTTAGGTACAGAGAAGCAGTTCCCTATTGGATTACGTGTGTAAGTGTTTGTTCGGTGTATTGAAACTTTAGGTAAGAAACAGACGCACCAAACGTACCGAAAAAAAGTACACCAACACTTTGTGAAATTACAGTACTCTTGTTGTTGGGTGTTGTCGGTTGAATGCTGTTCACGGCGGATATCCTATGCCTAAATATGGACTTGTATACCGTAAAATTCCGTAAATAAGCCAACCCTAAATAACGCCCATGTCCGATAATAAGCCCAGTTTTAGGCGGTGTACACTTCAAGTCCGTTTTAGCACCCATGCCCGAAATACGCCCAGTGCGTCAAGTGGACTCAAAATGACCAGCGCGCGAGCGTGCGTTCGAGTACAAACTGTAAAACAGTTGTAGATCGAGTAGTGGAGAACTCAACACTGTCACGGCGCGCGAGGACAGCGATGTTCCGTTGGAATGTAGCAAACTGCCAAAAAAGGTGGTTTCATGTACCTGTACTGCGCTCAGTGTGAATGGTGGTTCACTGAAACTAGTGGGTTGCTGATAGATTGATCTTCTGCAGATTGCGTCCGAAATAATGCCCATGCTCTAAAATAAGCCCATGCCCAAATATTCGCCCGGTTGTTGACGCTCTGCAAAGTATACGCCCGGGGCTTATTAACGGAATTTTACGGTTTTCTGATTGTCTGATCGCTGACAGATACGGACGCAGCGAAGCTCTCTCCGGCGCCCACATGTGCCGAGATCCCACAGCTGTCAACGGATGACACTGCAGCCCAGTCGCCAGCGGCAGCTGCTGCTGCTGCTTCGTCAGGAGACGGGAACAGCTCACAAGGCGGCAAGCCACCTCCATCACCGCCATCCTGCCCGCTCTCGGACATGGCCTGTCTCAGCTCGTATGAGATTGATGGCTTGCGACGGCTGCTGGCCGAGCTGAGCGTTTCCACGACGATGGTGAGGGCGTGTCCCGAGGAGCTGGGGGATCCTGGGGAGCTCATGTCGACCGTGGAGGTAAGTTGTCGTGTGTAATGTGTGGGTAAAACCGAAGTTACCGAAAATAAATCTCCACCGAAATTTTCCGGTTTTACAGTAGCCTATCTTCAGGGACATATAATAACTATTGGCGTAGATTTGTGTAATCGTTTTGCCTTGTATTCTCTTGTCAAATGTACACCGTAGATTCTGTTGAACGAGTATGAAAGGCAGTATTCTCCTCTGCAATGTACAAGCATTTTCCTGTGCAATGTATGCTGTATATTCTGTTGAATGAGTATGAATTCTTCTGTGCAACGTGCGCTGTAGATTCTGTTGAACTAGTATGAAAGCCGATTTCGCGAGGACAAGGCCACTGGATATTTAATGCTCATACCGGGAATACAATCTGAGGTATGGTGTGGTGAATTGCTGTGTGGTACTGCTGCTGCTGCTGCTGCTTCTGCTGTTGCTGATGTTGCTCTCCTCTCCATCCCCACCATCTGCCTCTGGAATATTTGACAGTCGCAACATGTACATGTACATGTAGTAACAGGTAATTATGTTCACGGTGTTTCTTTCCTTCTGCGTGTGTAGAATCTGCGTGTGTCGCCCGCACCAATACCTGACAACATTGTGGAAATAGTGGCAGTTGAAACAGAGATTGTATGCAAGTCCTCAGCTGCTACTGCATCTCCAAGAAAGACAGCAAGTAAGCTACAATGACAGGGGCGTCACAGGGTGGTTGGGAGTGGTACAAGGGGGGGGGGGGGTCCGGGGGTGTCCCCCGGGAGAGAAAAAATTCGGATTTTTCGGCCAACAGGGCACGTTTTAGCGCTCTACAGCCACAAAGGAGGGTTCTCGTAGCACTTATCAGACAACCTCACTCGTACTCCAGCTCCAAAAAATACTTCTCATGGATTTTTTGGTCATACTTCGTAGGTAGCCAAAGCAAAAAGGAAGCCATTGCCCTCGAAAAAATCGCAAAATCCGAAGTACAAGCGTGCTGCTTGCTGCACGTTCTAGCGCCAGCCGCTGTGCAAAAACGTATGTTATTACCACAATGACGATGATACTGTATTGCTTTCACAACAATGACCACAACCTAACTGGGTTATCAGTAGGAGCAGTGGCACAGCCTTACTGCTCCAAGTAGGATTTAGAAGAGAGTGAAGGGAGAGCAGACCGGGCCGGTCTAAGCAAGGAAGTAATCGGCATCAGAGGTGAGCACGCAGCATCGCAGATCGTCTCGAATTGCGCATCACATCAGCGGCAAAATTGCTCCTGTGCATGCAAGTGGATTTCCTTGCACTTCTCAGTTTGGGAAATGCTCGATTATGATAATTCTGCGTGCGAGTGCACTAGCCCTGAACATGCATGTAGGTGACCCGTTTGTGGTGTCTCATAGCCTACCTCACGACCTGCTTTCTTTCTGCATCACTTGTATCCTGCAGGTATATCATCTCGTGACGACCACATTGAAGTCTGAATTTGAAGTGGGAAGATGCTTCAGCAACCACATCGTACTTTTCCATTGCTTTCATTGTGCTTCTACTGTGCATGGGTGTAACTTGTGGGGTATATATGTGATGACATTGTATGCTGGCGACACGGTCAGATTTTGTCCATGCGTGTAACGTACACCTGCATGTTATGCATTGAAAAGGATCTGCCACTTGCGATCCTGGGACAAGTATCAGGTCAGCTTTGTCTTGTGTGGGCTGTACCAGATTGCTGTTCACTTTTCCATCTGTTGGATATGTGACTTTCTGCAAGTCTCCGGTGTATGGTGGCCACTTCTTTGCTTGTCACTTTGTATGATATTACAGTCTGTATTCGCTGCTTCCATGGCGTGGTCTGCAAACTGCAATCCTTGGGCAAATGTCATGTTTGCTATGTTGTGCTTTGGCCGTCAGCTTGTCTACACGTTGTAGTTGAATTATTTTGTTCCACAACTGACTTCCTTAAGTACGGTGGCCACTGCTTTGCATGGCATTTTACATGAAGAATTTCCTGTTTGTGTCGTGTGCATGTGCGTATGTGTGCATGTACCGTGTGCATCCGCGTGTTTGTGTATCTGTGTGCGGGGTAAGCGAGGTGGGGAGGGCTGGTATGTATCAGTGTGTTATCGCAGTCTCATGCCTACATACAGTACATCGCGCGCGTGTTCATCATGTTTACCTTCGGGGTTGGGGTGGGGAGGGAACGGAAAAAGAACTGAAATTATCCATATAAAAATCGCTCTGTGAGCGGTTCTGAAAAACCTTTACTGGCGCTGCCCCGTCGTAAAAGTAAGAAATTAAAACTGGCCCATTGTCCCCCCAAATGTGAACTGATCCACCTAAATCGGGAATGACGGGACCCGAACGCACCAGTAGCACGAGGTCGGGAGGGCACAGGATCACAGCACATCATAGACATAGGGTAACACCATCACTAGTACATGGTATCAGTGGCAGTGTAACTTTGCCAGTACACATAGTAGTTACTTCCATCGGATATCCAACATGGGAGTTCATCGACGACCATGGCCTGTGGACCAGCGTCCCCAGCTGCATCCACAGGTAGGAACCTGATTGATTGATTGATTTTATTTGGATTTGCGAGACCAAACGAGCAGGAGTGCTCAATAACAGGGTAGCGAATGGTTGGGTTGTGCTGTGTGACAATGTAGTGTGTGCGGAGGCCCAATACGATGAAAGGGGATGGGAGGAGAGAAGGCCAGCGGAGAGTCAAACTCAGAAGAGGGAGGAGAGAATAACTGAAGTACACATTTACTGTGCGAATTCAAATAAACCAGACAAACAGCAAAACGAGTACACAACTCACGAGAATAAAGAGGACTGGAGCACAGAATTGAACTGCTGAAGTACACAGCTGACGACAATAAAGACAGGAGCACAGAAATGAACGGGAGGCAGTCTACGAAGTGGTGGTACCACCGGTGCATGCACCACGGTACATTATCACATTATCTGCTTTGCAAAGTTCGTGGGTACTGAATACCATGGTATGGCCAACTGTGTAGCAGTCTACAACGACTTACGTGTAGGGAATGGCAGCTTGGCGGAATGCTGGGATGTTGCCCATAGCTCGCACCGTGTCAGGTATATGGTTCCATAACAGGCAACCGCGAGATGCCGGTCGGCATTGGCCTGCTCGGCTTCTGACTATTGGTTGTTGTAGGCCCAGACTGCGCTGAAGGCGAGTTGCTCCGCAGTTGCGAACAAACAGTGCCTGCAGAGAAGGACTAGCACGGTTATGAACGCACCGCCATACCAGCACGAGCAGTTTCTGGCGATATACCTCGTCCATGCGATAAACAGAGAGCCTCTCCAGGAGATCACTGGCCCTGGTAAATCGTGGTCGTCCGAACACCGCCCTTGCTGCGCGGTTTTGGGCCACCTGCAAGCGGTTTAGCTGGTTGTGGGTCAAGCCGGAGCCATATGCTGACGATCCATATATCAAATCCGGCATGATGACAGATAGGAAGTACTTGCTTCGCCTAGCTAGAGTGAGGCAGCGTCGCGCCCGCCACAGACTACCGATCTTCCTAGCAGTGCGTGAGATGCACCGGTCAACTTGCGGTGACCAGGTCATTCGTTCATCGATTAAGACGCCGAGGTATTTCGCGCTGGTGGTGTGCGGAAGCACATCATTTCGACAGCGTACACCCACGTCCGGCTGCTGCCCACTGCTGCAGGTAAACACCAATACATTACTCTTCTTTGCATTTAATACAAGACCACGAGCGTCCAGCCAACTTGAGAGGGAGGTAACCGCCAAGCTGAGTGCATCAGACACCTCTTGCGCTGTCCATCTTGCACATGTCAGGGCGATGTCATCCGCAAACTGCAGTGATGATGCCGGCGCAGATTCCGAGGGGATATCTCTGATGTATATGGAGAACAGCATGGGTCCTAGTACAGAGCCCTGCGGCACACCACAAGTGCACCCTCGTGCTACTGCTGCGTTCGGGTCACGTCATTTGCGATTTAGGTGGATCAGTTCACATTTGGGGGTACAGTGAGCCAGTTTTAATTTCTTACTTTTACGACGAGGCAGCGCCTGTAAAGGTTTTTCAGAACCGCTCACAGAGCGGTTCAAGTTATATGGATAATGTAAATAATACCCAATATGCTACCTGTGGTGTGGTGCAAGCTCAGCACTGAGCTAAATCAAGCTAAATCAAACATACAGCCTACACAGCCTCTAATGGCCCTCTATACAGTGCTGCGATGGCAGAACTTCTGAAGTTCACATCACCTTTCTTCCTCCAGCTATGCCTGTGACACCCTTTGTGAATCAAACACTAGTGGCAGGCCACGCGAAAATGAGAATGCGCGCAGCCAAGATTAGGCCATCATCTCCTTCATCCATCATCCCGGCGGTCACTCCGCCCGTTCAATATCCAACACCAGTCCCCAGGAAAGAATAAGGCACAAGATTTCAAGTTCAAGGGCAAAGCTAAAGCCAATGGCAATGGCACTGATTTTTGGAATTGTCGAGTAGAACGAAAATAAAATTTCGAAGGCGATCATAATGACGGTCAGATTCGATACACACGTGACACAGTTTGGGTCGCGCTCGTGTGTCGCGCTTCGCAGCTCGAGCGCGCCCATGATGAGTCTCGCGCTTGCGACAGGCTAGCCGCTTGCGACAAAAGTTGTCTTTTTTTTACGAATTCTGTGACGTCATGTTTTGGAAGAATGTCCCAACAGTCATTCGCGTACGTATACATGTACCAGGGAGTCGTATTTTACGACTCCCTGGTAGATCTACGTACCAATAATACAAGTACGAGGCTCATAAAAAGTCACAGCTGCACACGTGCACAGTGACACAGTCATGACCGACCCTCGATTTGAATGTATTGTTGATTGTTGTTAGAAAATTTTGGAAGTGCCTGGCGACATGGCATGTGCAGACCTTTGCCTTTGGGCGATCAAGCATTGTCCTTTGTGATTCAGTTGTAGCTACATAAATACCTCTAAAAGTAAAAGTAAACGTCTTTCTGAAGAATCTGGGAGCTCTGTGACTCCGTCATCTGTATCTTACCTGCTGTCTGGACTCGCGAGCAGCGAGTGCGTTCCTAGAGCTCACACAATAAATGAAAATTTGAATACAGAATTTTTACTGGCTGTACCATCGTGAGGGTACTGCACCTTGTAGAAATAACTGGCTAGTCATGACTCGAACACTCCGCACTGTGGAATTCAAGGATGAGCGATCCACTGTTCCCAAGGGCAGCTCTGCTAAAGCTCTCGCTTCTTTTGGCAAAGATGTAGTTGCAGGGACTTGCGGTGGCATAGCTATTTGTTTAGTCGGCCATCCGTTTGATACACTTAAAGTTCGTCTCCAGACACAGCCAACTGACCACCCCCTTTACTCCGGCTTGTTTGATTGCTTCAAGAAAACTCTGAAATGGGAAGGCATGGGTGGACTGTATCGTGGTGTTGGTAAGGCAAACATATTTGAATGGCACCTGGCCCTTCCTTTAGGATACATGTACTGTGTATACGGATTTGCGGTACAGTCATGTACAATTATCCTAATCAGCTCCGCTGATGAGACCTAACAAGGTCGAAACAGCTAGCTGTCCGGAGTTTGGGTATCATAATCATTATGAATTATGTACCGCCCACTAACAAACAATGCAGCAGCACTACCGGTAGTTGTGTGGTAGGTGCTGACTTCGGATCGCCAGGGTTATGTTTTGTTAATGTTGATAGCCCTGACGATGATGGTTTTCCGATGTTCAGCTTTCCGTGGCTGTTGTTGGTGTGTTGAAGCATTGCCCAGACCCTGGTCAGTGTGAGTTGCCACTGAACCACACCATATCACAGACGGCATAACAATAACAAACGATGAAGCCCACTTGATGACTGGATGTGCACGGCAGTGGGAAACACTTTGTTGTAGTAGACCAATGCCAGGCACCAGTGTCCTGTACTGTATCAGAAAACTAAGCCAAATTTGAACTCAGCAGAAGATGCTCCATTTCATAGTAATTGTGCTCGGGTGAGTTTAATCTCATGTGTTTCATGTGTATCGCTACAGGTTCGCCTCTTGTTGGCCAGATGTTCTTCCGAGCAACACTCTTTTCAACCTACTACCAGGTGTGAACGTTTATCCTCTTCCATACTTGTATTACAGTGAAACCTGTCTAAGCCGACCGCTCAAGGGGCCTTCAAAATGTGGTCCCCATGTACAGGTGGTCTCCTTATCCAGGGTCATTTGACTGGAAATGATAACACCCTTTGGTCCTAGTTGTAGTGGTCCTCTAGAACAGGTGGTCGCCTTATCAGAGTGGTCACCTTATCAGAGTGGTCGCCTCATCAGAGTGGTCACCTTGACCGGTTTTACTGTAGATGTATGTCCTATTAGTATCAGTGTGCATCTATCCATGTTTGCTCCCACAAATACAATGTACATGGATATACCAAGTAAAGTGTATAATGTATATCTGTCTCGTTTCTCTTATCATGACTGTATTTTCTCTCTCTCACTCACTCTCTCTCTCTCTCTCTCTCTCTCTCTCTCTCTCTCGCTCTCTCTACCACTCTCTCTCTCTCTCTCTCTCTCTCTCTCTCTCTCTCTCTCTCTCTGCCGTATCTCTCCAGACGCAAAGGATGTTTTCATCATACCCCGGTCAGCGTCTTCACCAAGGTGAATACATGGTGTGCGGCGCCATCACCGGTGGGGCTGTTTCCTTTGTTGAAGGTCCAGTGGATTTAGTGAGTGCTCGCCTCCTCTTTTTCAGCTTTACATTCAACCGTCAGAATCCAAACACACACACACACGCACACACTATAGTTGTACTCTTGACTCCATTGCGGAAGTGCAGTACCATGTCGCACTGTGCTTCAGTACTGGGCTTGCCCAAGTGTGACATGGTCGCCAGGGAAGTTACCGGTAATTGTCCAGAGCACAGGCCACTTTGCCAAGGGAATCAGTTGTCTAACAACTGATCTTTAAGATGTACATGTGCTGATGATTTCCAGACACGTACATGTATGTTGCACATGTCAGCAGTTTGATCAGGATACTTCAGTAGTTCAAACTTTGAGTTGATTAGAAGATGAGCGGATTACCTGCTATGTTATATTATGTATCGCTATGGAGTTAAGTAGTAGAGCCCACACGCTCTCTTCCATTAACACTGCAACAGTTCAACTCATTTCACAATACTACAACGTTTCGGCAAATTGCCTTCATCAGGTTCACCACTTTTACTTTATTGATATGGATGTACAATAATTGTGCAATGCAATTGATTCTATCTGTTCCTGTGACCACTACTGTGTGATATCTGATACTTCAGTTCAAGTCCAAGATGCAGGCGCAGATCATCCGAGAACGGGTGTATGGCGAAAAACCAGTCTACCGCAATGTGTTTGACTGTGCCGGGCAAATTATGCGGAAACATGGCATCCGCGGTGCGTATCAAGCTTTACCGGTGAGCAGCTGTGTGGCCAAAACTATTGCTATAGATCAAGTATGACCACAGTATCACCAATGACTTGACTTTGATATTGTGAAGTACATGTTATGTACTCACAAGTGTGAGGGATTGAAAAGGAACTACATGTAATGTAGTTGTGCGTTCTATCTTGTCTCTCTTTTGGGAAAGGCAATTTCAATTCATGCATGCCATATTATTTGCACGGCTCTAGTACAGTCGTCCCTCTCTAATCCGGCACCTTTTGCAACGGCATTTTCTGCTGGATAAACAAGGGTGCTGGATTATCAAATCCTTCCCTCCAACCCGGCCCACCTGTTAACTTAACACACATGTTTGTGTCATACGTCAAAACGTAGGGATTTTCTGTGTCAATCCGAGTACTTTGTGGAATGCATGATACACTTGGGAATATCCTATGCACTGGCATAGGATATTCCCAAGTGCATGTTACATGTGTTGTGCATGTTACAATGCTCCCTGACAGTATGTGATGTACATGTACAACTGCTGGATTAGAAAATCGAATTGTGTACAGTTTGAGTGATTTGTTGCAGAAAATCGCTGCTGGAGGCGGAATTCAAGTGCCGGATTAAAGTGTAGAAAATGAACTGAAAAAATCCGTTTTGCCAGAAAGGGTGCGGGATAAAGAAGTGCTGGATTAGAGAGGGACGACTGTGCTTGATTTCAATATCCAGTTCTCAATGCCGATGTCCTCTCCGTGTGCTTGTTAAAGGCTGTTGCGATGCGCAATGTTCCTGCCTTTGCAACGTACTTCACAACTGCTGAGGACATCCGTAACCGCTACTCGAGGAAGCTCGGTCTGCCAGTTAGCCAGCTGCCATTCTACGTGACAATGGTTGCCGGAGCGACCGGAGGCATTCTCTACTGGCTACTCTACTACCCGTTTGATGTTGTCAAGTCAGCCATGCAGGTAAATCATCAGTGCGCATAAGAACTACACATACCACCATGTTTTACATGTATGTATGTATATATGTATCACTGTCCATAACCATATTGGTTGTAGGGGCATTGAATTGTCATTGGCAATAGAAGAAGTCACGTACACTCATACACAAGCTGTCTATTTTCGACGCGCTCAGCAGCAGAGACAGAGAGACACACAAGGAGAGAGAGAGAGAGAGAGAGAGAGAGAGAGAGAGAGAGAGAGAGAGAGAGAGAGAGAGAGAGAGAGAGAGAGAGAGAGAGAGAGAGAGAGAGAGAGAGAGAGAACTGCATGACATATTGGACCATTCCTTTACATTTGCTAACCAGTTGTGACGGGGATGGCCACGTGGCCTTGATCATGGTACCATTCCTGGTACCATTGCCTTGTGTCAGAATTTTTTTCTAAATCCATAGCAAGTTAGCAGTTCCAGTACTCCCCAGGATAAAAGCTTCAGATGTAGCTGATGAATGGGCGCTGTTTTGACATGATGTGAGCTGTTTGCCTATTCAATGTTTGAACGTATCTCAGTCAGCCTGTAGTGTCTTTGAAACATCATTCTCTGTACTCCAAACTAGTTGAGAGTAATGAATAATATAACTGGGATTTGAGTGCTTAAGATCGCAATAGGAATGGTGGGCAGTTTTGGTCCTAACTAGGGTACTAGTGTTTAGAGATGGGTTCACAAGTATGCACTGTATTTACTGAGTGGATCAAGTCGTTTTAAAACCTTGTTCATATGTGCTGTCACTGTGTTTCAGGCGGACAATGCGGATATTACGCGGCGCAAATATGGCTCTTTTCACGAGTGCATCGCGGTCCTGTACCAAGAGGACGGTGTTCGCCGGTTTTACCGCGGCTTCACTCCGTGCATGCTTCGCTCAATCCCAGCCAATGCTGTTCTGTTCAGTGTTGTCGAACAAGTTCGGACTTGGCTCAACAAATACTTCACTTAATTTATCTTTTAACTTATTCTGACAACAGGCGTATTTACGTGCAATGCAAGGTGCATCTTCACTGTAATATATTATTTTTAAGTTATTCTGACAGAGGTATTCACTCTTGACTTGCATTGCCATAGGTATTTCCACTCTTTTTATTATTTTTTAGTCGTCCACGTCAGGATTACTGACAAATCCGGTGCTTTTACACTGTAGCTCGTATTATGCGCTAGTGTAGCTGTGTTATGACCATTGAGTAGGCCATAGGTGGCAAGATGCCAAGATGAGAAGGGAATAGTACTCGTACTGATGTATATTGTGTTTGTGAGCTAGGAAAATGTCACTGGTGTTTAGTTCTGCTGAGGTGTAAGAGCAGGAGCCGTGTTTGTATACGTCTCACTCTGATTGTAGAGTGCCAATACAACTGTGTTTCGTTGTCCAAGCACAATGGCGTATGTCTACTTGTACATGATAAACACGTATACTGTAAACTACTTACAAGTTGTAGTAGCGGTGGGGATCAAAAGATGCATAGGTGAACTTTTTGAATTTCACACACACACGCACATTACCAAGAGTCCTTCATCATTACTGTAACTTGCCTGCATCAGGCCCTGTAGTTGAAGTTACCAGCACACCTGTTTGGGCTTGATTCATTCCAATTCTGCATAGCAGGACTACTGTAGATTCTGCTCGGGTGCACGGATTTTCGTTCAGTCCGATAGCTAGGATTGGGTGGGTTTTTGATTCTCTGCATGCGGTGTGTGGATACAGTTGCATGATGTAATGAAAGTAGCACACCTTGCAGGTGGCCCATACAAAATAGATCACTGCTGAACAAATCCTGGTTGACGGACTCCTGATGTTTCTCGTAGCCTACTCTACTACTGTAGTGGACATTGAAATCTGATGGAATGACCGGGCCGGCGCCCTCGCTGCCCTAGCGTATACACTCACTGTAGTTTACGTACACACTGTAAAAATGGACCAGCAGTGCTCGCGGCTGCAAGGCCAGGGCCCCGTGGCCACTCAACTATTCAACGGACTTCACTGTCCACAACGTACATACAATTAGTGATACTGCCACTGTGCCAGTCAACTCAATGACTACCAACTAAACTAAAATGATAATAACAAAAAAAGGCTTGCCACATGCGAGCTAAAGCTGATGAATAGCTCACAGATATAACAGAAAAGCGATGAATGCAAGTACAGTAAGGTACTAAATAACTACAAGTCTAACGCAGTACAGCACCAGCATTAAAATTTGCAAAACTGTACAAGTACGAGTTAAAGTATCTTGGTGGATATTGGTGAAGTAGTAGATAAAATACAGTATTGTGTCCAGATAAAATACACTACAGTACGAACAAAAATAAGAGTAAAGCTGTAGGTACATTATTCCAAAACCTAGCCCAAGCTCCATTATCAAATGTGGACTGATATGACTGTTAGTGATGCTGCTGTGTAGAAGATAAGTCATTATTATTTTACTTCAAAGTTGCAAGGACGAAAATACAAGGGACTCAAATGCAGTACAGGTTAATCGGACTGCAGTCTGATGTTGTGCATTGGTGAAATCTGGAATGACTGCTGGCAGTGCAGTTAATGTCAGATGGGTGTGGGGGATCCGGCCTTTCCACGAGGTATAAATTTCAAATACGAAGTCATCATCGACGGGAGGGGCAACTGGTCAACACTTTCCAAGGTTGGCGAATTCAGAGTTTGCCGAATAGCTGTTCGGCATCGTTCAGAGAGGCTTCGTGGGAGCTCCTGCCTCAAGCCAACAGTTGCACTGGCGATATCCATTACAACATGGACATCCGTAATGTCAGCACCAAATTGACCTAAGGACGAAAGCAAACTGCCGTTCAAGAGGCAGTATACTGTTTTATCATCTGTCATCACTAGTTCCAGGGTATCATTCAGGCCAGCTGGCTTGACACCGTCCGGAAACTGCACGGTGCACGCTTGTTCCTTACTTTTCTTGAGCCCAAGGGCACTCTGAGTAATGCCAGTCAGAAAGAAATATGGTACATCTTTCCTCTCCAAGATCTCCTCCAGACCGTATGGCAGACATGCATAAGGTTGACGCGCCAGCTGCAATGGTTCTGGGCTACAGCCCATTACTCCAAGCACCAAGCCACCCCTCCATTTTTTCGTGACTCTACTTATCTGGACACTGAAGGGCTTCCAAGGCCTAAGGGCAATGCTGCTGTAGCAAATTCCATGGTCGAACTTGCGGATATCAGGTCTATATGCCTCTCTTTCCTCTAACGTGAGATTCTGGCCGGCAATTGCATGAAAAGAATACTCCATTACTACATGTACCGATATAGCTAGGACTTCATAGCACTGTCTGTATATTTGCGGCGTTGTTTACATCTACCCTGCAACCAGAAAGCAGATTACTCACTATTGTAGTAGTAATTCTATCCAGCGTATCCACAAACTCGGGCTAAAACCTGAGCCCACACTCTCCGAGTAGGTCATACAGTCTGCTCCTTCCTTGTTCAGCCGACTACAGCTATACAGTCGGATAAAGAGAACAACCTCGTTCAGCGACAGACTGAACTATTGTAGAATTACTATGGTATGATTCTATCATGCATTGCAATGCATTATTTTCATGAACCTTTTTTGAATGCAATAATTAGGGATTTTTGATTTTCTGGTCCAAAATTATTTTTTTTGTTTTACTCAGGGAGTCGTAAAATACACGGTATTTTACGACTCCCTGGTTTTACTGTATTATATTATGCCATTTTCAAGTGGTTTGCGCATGCCGCGTGCGCGTTGTGAGGCCTTCGGGGAAGTCCCCTCTACCTTTCACGACTTCACGCTTCAGTCCTCCTCTTTGCTCGGTTCAAATTTCTCAAACTTCGAGCTTCGCCTTTACTAAAAATACGTTTGTTTTTACAAGACCTTGGCATTCATAAGAGTATTCCACGTTATTCAAAGTGACCAGACTGCCTCGCATCTTCACCGCAACGTACTTACCCGAAATTTCCTTTTCCATGTAGAGAGTTAGTAATGGAGGGAGACCCAGACAGTGGTTCTCTCGAAATTGTGGCTGAACAGGTCCAGGTGACTGACGAACCTATGGAGACAATTTCAACAGACAGCTTGGATAATAGGAGGCCTAACACACCTGCAGGAAAGCATTCGCCGGAACCAAATAGTGAGGATGTACCTCCTGGACCAGGAAAGAGAAAACGTGACTCGAGTGCAAGTGAGGATGGGAGAAACATGCGTACAAAGGTCCATGACGTAGCAGGCAAATCTGTGGAGCCTGTGGATATTAGTGCATCAAAAAGCCCCATAGCTGGCAGTACAGATGGTCCAATGGCCGGTAGTAATCAGAAGTCTGATGATGTAGTCACCAGTAGTACATCTAGCACTGAGACAGACGCTGATGCAGCTGCTGCTTCCGATAAAGCGGCTGCAGCAGCGTCCACGGGCAGCCAAGATTTTCAGCTGGACAGAGAAAGTCTGGTGTTTGCGGCAGAGTGTCACATGGCCGTACTGCAGGATGAGGACGGTGACACACCGCTACACCTTGCAGTGGTGCAGGCAAATAAACACCTGGTCCATCACCTTGTCTACTTGATATCGCGCTCGAGCCGTCACGTTGACATAGCCAACACACTAAGGCAAACGCCACTGCATTTGGCTGCCATCACTGGTCAGGCTGACTTAATACGCCTACTGCTGGCCAACAACGCGTCATGTAACCTGCCCGACCGCATGGGCAGGACTGGACTACATCTAGTGGCTGAGCGTAATTACGATGACTGCTGTACAGCACTGTTAGAGGCACGCGATGTGGACTTTGAAATGCGCAACTTTGATGGCTATAGTCCCGTGCATCTAGCAGTGTTCAACAATAGCTATGCCGTGCTGCAGAAGTTGCTGGACAGTGGTGCCACTATCAACCCACGTGATGGCAAGAGTGGCCGAACGCCGTTGCATCATGCAGCCGAGGCAGGAAACGGTGCTATGGTGCAGTTTCTGATCGGGCACTTTGCTGACATCGATGCAACCACGTACGCTGGCAACACGCCACTGCACAGTGCCGCTGGTCGCGGGCATGAGCACATTGTGTCCGTGCTTGTGACGGCTGGTGCTGATACGCGTTTACAGAACACTGAGGGCGATGTGGCTGCGGACGTTGCCCGCTTCAGGAATGCATTCCAAGCACCGGCCAGTCAGTCCACGACAACAACAACAACAACAACAGCAGCAGCAGCAACATCGACAACGACGACGGCAACATCGAACCCCGTGACTGTTTAGGTATTTTAACTTTGTAGAAGCGCAGTATGAATGATGCCAGCATACTTGTCGACCGACTGCGATGGTGTAGCTAACCATGCTTTGTCTGCTGCAGACTGCGATGGCATAGCTTCATGTGCCCGAGGAAAACGTCTAGAACTGGAAGCTCAAGTTTGTTCGCCTTGATCTTAGAATACATGTTTTGCTAGTTGCAAGCAGGCAACTAAATGACACATGGCTGATATGAGAAAGTGCACCTGATCTCAGAGGGAGTCGTGCAGTCTTGATTCCAAACCTATGCAGACCCGTTCATGAGAAACGCTTTATTCTACAGTCTACTGTGTCACGAAAATTTTTATTGACCTGCCATGAAAGAGCAGTTCTCTCCGATTTATTCAACCCCATTTGTCCTACCTCTTGAGTGTTCTATTTTGATTCAATAATTTCTAGTTTTTGTGCAACTGGCAGGTACTAGGTGCAATACCATTAGTGCCACTATCTCACTGTGTAGTCGTTTTCTTGCTGGGCGTTCATCCAGATTGCCCGTCCATTTATCGGTTCAAGTTGCATCGTATTAAATTTTGTCCAATTTTGTCAGTTTCCTTTCCCCCTGTACATTGTATATACATACATGTACTACTTCAACATAGTACAGGGCTGGCAACTGAAATCCGACCCCCTGAGCGGTGCGCTCAGCTGATCAGGGGGTCGGATTTCAGTTTCCAGCACTGTACTACTATAAGTACTTCAGTAGGCATAATTACCACTGTGATGGCATAATGTTGTAATTGTTTGGGTTCTTATTATTTTGAAGTAGGATACTTGAGCATCGTTTGAAGAGAGTTCCAAATAGACTCTAAGTCTTAGGGTATATTCTGTGTGTTAGGGCTAGTGTCAGTGTGTGTCAGTGTGTGTGTGTGTGTGTGTGTGTGTGTGTGTGTGTGTGTGTGTGTGTGTGTGTGTGTGTGTGTGTGGTGTGTGTGTGTGATCACGATTGTCGGTGATCTGCGCTCACTGGATATTCCGGAGTCCGAGTGGTACCGGCTCGCACAGGATCGCCCGGAATGGCGCAGGGCGGGTCCATCAACATCGTCTTCCTCTCCCAGCACCAAAGGACTTCCGCTGCATATGCGGCAGAGCGTTTAGGAGAAGTGACGATTTGAAGCGTCACCTCAAGTACTGCCCAACTCAGTAGCCTATCATCCCCACTGGAGATGGGGCGTCAAAGGTCAAAGGTGTGTGATGTCCATGCCAGGGAGTAGTACTTCAAAGTGCAAAAGGGGGAAAATCCTAGTCCACGCATACCTTGAAAGTCTCGCCAATGTGCACCACAGTATACTATCGTAAAGAGTAACGTTAGATAAATGGACTCAGATGGAGAGCCAAGGTTTAATTTATCCAAAAGAGAAAGACCAAGGAACTACAAGTTACGCTGTATACTGTCCACAGGTTATCGCATGAGCCGATTGTTAAGTAACTGGTACATGGTGGTGTTAGTGGACAGTATAGCGTAACTTGTAGTTCCTTGGTCTTTCTCTTTTGTATAAATTAAGAGTAGATAAACAAAATTGTTTATCTACTCTTGCTATCGGTTACCGGTAGTACTAGCAGTGCAGCCTGCTCATGCAGTTCTGCACTTTTTAAATTACACAAATCAGGAACCGAAAGGCGAGATGCATGATGGGTTAGCAAGTTATAAAACTGTGAAGTAGCAGTTACAAGCAGGGAGTAGTACGGTATTGTACTACTCCCTGGCTACAAGTACATGAACGGTTCAGTCCAGGGAGTCGTAAAATATTTTACAACTCCCTGGTTCAGTCCTCCTCAGAGTTGGATATAATAAGAGTAGTATAGACATAAATCACCAGTACTGGAAATAAAAAATCACCATAGGATAATACATGCAGAAACCAAACAGCTGTGCCTTATTCCTGATTCTATGCCGCACAAACAGGATAAAAAGAAGACAAAACTGGGAGTTGGAAAGCCAGCAAAAAAAAATAAAAAAGCAGTGCAAACAGTACAACTACAAGTACCGGTACTACCACGAGATCCCTACAATGGGGGTTTTTATGGACTCTTGGTACTACGGTACTACAATGCAATTACATGTACTGTATGTTGAAGTGTCAAGGAGCTAGCTGGAAAAGCTATGAAATGCTCTGGTCCCCACCTTCAGAAGAACACAGCAGTTGATGCAAGTGTAATGAGCGAGGACAGCAATATACTCATGTGACCAGACCTCACTTACCACAACTCAACATGTATATGACATCATAGAATGTACAGCATAATAAAAACGTTGTAGAGCACCACCATTAACCTACACACGGTGTCAGTTGCTGTGCGGAAATAAAACGACAAGACCAGGGCCATGAAAACATCCTGTAGGCCTGTGGGAAACGTGCAAGGACTTGTTAGTTACAGTGACGCTAAGGAATGCAATTCAAACTAGACAATTATACGATAGGGCGGTTGACAGGTGGCTGGAAAATAGCAATACAAATATCCGGTGTGGTGATCAGTGGAGGTCCAATATGGCAGCAAGGTGGATAGAGACACAAATACTTAGATGGTTAAAAAATATACAAATATAGCAGGGAGTCAAGCGATTGTACAAGCAGAGAAGAGTCGGAGGTATGTTCGTTCACATGTCCACTAAATACAGCCATGCAGCTATGATGGCTACTGGAGTTGCAGCGTGAGATCAGAGAGTATAAAAGCAGAATAAATAGAGGGGGGGGGTGCGTGCAAGCTAGCTGCATGAATGGAGGTTAAACAATTCGGAAAGATAGCACGGCATGCAGGAGTTGACCTTGCTAGAGAACAACACAGTTGCAGCATCTACACCTTCTGCGGCGAGGAGGGACGCCGGCTTCCGGTAGGATAGTCGGTGGGAAGTAGATATGCACTATGAGTTGTGGACGCTCCTCCTGAAAAAAAAACAGGCAGCAGGAAAGGTGGCAAGCTGCTTGCTTTATATAATTCTGTCACAAAGAGGTTACGCTCTTCCAGTCTGGTCCAATACAAGGTTTGTTTTGATGGCGAAAATCGGATATGCTTCTGCTACTCCACGAAAACAGTTCACACTGACCGTATCCAGATTGCCAATGCTCAATGCCGCCAGTTAAAATCAGCTTTGGAACACCGGACAACCCTACGTGGTTTCGTCCTAGCTTACTGTTTCACAACCTCCCTGTGTTCCAGTCTTTCCGGATTACTCACTCCGCCATTGTCCAACATATCCAGGGGCGTAGCACCCGCTACGACTGGTACGACCATGGCCGTACCACTTTTCGAAAAGTGTGGTCCGTCCGGAACGTGCAAAACCGTAATAAAAAAATCAGGATCCATCCAGATGCATATGCGCACATATGACCTTTTTCTAGACTCGTACTCGTAGATCGGTTATGCATCTGCAGTCGTACTGAGTACTGTATACAAAAAAAGTCATGTGCTCGACTTGATCAATTGACTGCACAGTCAGTGTGCCAGAAGTTCCCAGAACGCAGGATTTTGTGTCTTTTTTACAAAATTTTCCCGGGGGAGGTCCCCCCGACCCCCCCTCCAACAGGGCCTTCGGCCGCGCCCACCTTCGGTCGTACCACTTCCAAAACCCCTTCTACGCCCCTGATATCCATTACATTAAGCCAACGAAGGCCATAGGTGAAGATGGCCTTACTCATGAACTCCTCAAAGTCTTGTCTCCAAGTATAGCTATACCCCTCAGTCTTCTATTTAACCAGTCCTTCACGACTGGAAACTTCCCTGATAACTGGGAAGCAGCCGTGGTTGTCCCAATTTACAAGAACAAAAGCAGAAAATTGGTCGGCTCCAACTATCGGCCGATTTCACTACTATCCACCACCTCCAAGCTCTGTGAACGGGTAGCATATGGTCCTCTGTACCAACATGTTCACCTGGTCCTTGACCAGTCACAATTTGGTTTTCGGCTTGGCGACTCGATCACTTGGCAATAGTCTAGGCTGGGCCAGAGCCTGGATGAATGCGAGAACGAAAACACTACAGTCTCCTCTGCGTTTCGACCTCAGCGCAGCGTTTGACACTGAATGGACAAGGAGTCTCCTTCGCAAACTAGCGGCTTCCTCTTTCCCCAGCTTGCCGCAGTTACTCAATCTTCTCTCCAGTTTTCACTTGCCGGATTGTCTATTCTTCTAAAAATCCCATCTATTTAAATAAGGCCTACAGTAGTCTCATTGGTTTCGGCGCTTGCAGCTCAAGTCTTCTGGGACTACCTAGTATGCTGCATTTTCTTCTGTTCTGCCTGCGTCTACCCGAGTTGAGTTGACTCTTTGTTGCTAGCAGGATCATCATACTGCTGTATCCAGGTTTCTCTACTCAATTCTTCTTATTTCCCGCTCTTCCTTTTTTTTGCTTCATCTTCTTATTCTTACTTTTTCTCGATATCAAGGCTGGTTATGATCGACTGTATCACAATTATTTTGTCATTTAGGCCATGGTAAAAAATAAAGTTGATTCTCAGGTCATGAGCCTGTGAAAATCGGTGCGAGCGAGCGATTTTCTATTTTAATTCCCACAATTTTTTTTATTTCCAAAGATAGGGTCACACATGTCACAGGTTCATAATTAATTTATAATTATTTTATTATTCAGGCCAGGGAGTAGAAAAATACCGGTATTTTACTACTCCCGGATTCATGCCTTTCGCATTGACCGTTTTTTCATGCACGCATATATGCATGCATAGAAATATAAAAAATCGTCGGTGCGCCGCCAGAAATCGGTGCGCGCGTACTTGAGAATCAAAGATAATTTTTACCATGGCCTTATATGTCATTGTGATTGTGGAATAACAAAAAATACGAATAATTCCATAATGGTCCAACTGCAAGGTTCTTCTTCTGGAAGATTTTGTTTGGAGATAACATCACAAGACAAACAGCACGATGTGCTACACAAGCATTCTTTTAAATTTATTATTTTATTTTATTTATTTTATTCCAAGCAATACACGGATGGGGTAGCCAATGACCACTTTGCGTGGGGATTGCAGGGTTTTTATATTTACCTGTAGGCGAGTAGGGTTTTTTATATTTACCTGTAGGCGAGTTACAGTGTCGCGTGAAATCTGTATACAGTCATATAGCTCCACACGTTCTAAGGAGGGCATGTCCCTACACACAGACACACACATACACACACACACACATGCACAGACACACAGACAGACACACACACACACACACACACACACACACATACACACACACATTTGTGTGCAGGCGTGCACACACGTGGAAACACGCATGCATATGCAGATACACGCACGTACACACAGCATCAGATAGAGAGCAACAATAATATCATGCTCCCACAAGACAGATGCGGCTTTTGCTGCAGCGAAACGAAACTTCGACACAGAGATGTTACAGCGCGTAAACCAATAATGGCATTGAGCTGACGAAACCTCTGGGAGTGTGCTTTGCCCATATTTAGTCCATGCATAGTACCAAGAGTAGATAAACAAGAGTGTGCAACTCCGGATCTCTCCTGCACAATCTGCAGATACCCCGCGCCCACGGCGGAATTTTTTGTTTACGTCACCTTTTTTCAGAGAAACGCGGCTTTGCCGCAGAGCAGTGTGAGAGCACGTGCTGGGCACCGACCTTGTAGTGTAAAGCCCAGCCAAGTGCACGAGGGAAAACTCTCCAAAAGGCTCGCAGCGCGTGCGTCGTCGAAAAGATTACGTCAACAAAAAATTCCGCCGTGGGCCAATCCATCCGGAGTTGCACACTCTTGTTTATCTACTCTTGATAGTACTAGTACTGAATAACACTCACATGAATGTGCTCACGCTATCGTCGGTAATCTGTGGACAGTTGTCAAGCTCGAGAACGCGTAAGCTGCCTGTCGCACTG